ATTTTTGACTTAAGCTGAAGATGTTTAGTGATCACGGGGTCCGGTCATCCGTGCTGCTTACAGATGAGGCATGTGTCTTTCATGATTCGTGTCTTTAAGACCACAGTTTCATGTAGTTTGTTTTACTTTTGGAAGGCCATCTTCGCTAGCCAAGGGATTCTGATACGCTTCTCTCCTCATAAATATCTTGGCTAGCCAAGGGTTTCTGATACGCTACCTTCCTCCTAAACATCTTCGCTAGCCAAGGGTTTCTGATACGCTTCTCTCCTCATAAACATCTTCGCTAGCCAAGGTTTCTGATACGCTAATCTTCTCTTGGGAGGTCAACATTACTGCTACATCGCTCACTATATAGTGAAGTACAATTTCGATTTGAATTCTAAACAGAACAATGCAAAGACTGTCGGTTTTACCTATATACAGTGCTTGATTTTATTTTTGAAAATTTTAAAGATTTTTCTGAAATAAAATAGATTTTAGATATAAAATAAAATTCAAAAAACATCCTGCTCAAAGTCTTACTTTCACCTCCCCGTGTTGAGCAGGGGAAACTAGACTTATACTTGTATATATGTTTTTTACTTTCAGTCTGTACACACATATAAGACGCTGGCTAACAAAAAAGGTAATGTAGCGGTAATTTATTACACACTTAGTAATAAATACAGGTTTTTTTGCATATGCGATATGGCTGACGTCACAATAGCCGTATCAACCCTGCAGGGCTGATATGGATTTGCGGGGCTGATATCCGTATCAGCCCTGCAAATCCATATCAGCCCTGCAGGGCTGATACGGCTATTGTGACGTCAATATCACACCCTTAGTAAATTAAACCACAATAACAGTACTTGTACTCATACCCAATTTTTGGTGGGTTCATATTCTCTTAATTTTAACTTTTTGAAAATAAGGTTAATCTTAATTTACAAATACATGTAATACTATAGAATATTTTCAAATTACGGATCAAGTGCATTGAAATAGAAATAGAAACAAACCCAAATCTTATGAGACATTAGACTATGTACATGTATGTAAGAAGTCCATGCATGATTATTTACTTATTTTCTTCTCAACTGTATTTTATTACTAAGTATGTAATAAATATAATAAAACATACCCTTTTCCACATCACATCCTGTATCAGCCCTCGACCAATATCAGCCAGAGGGCCTTCGGCCCTCTGGCTGATATTGGTGTCTCGGGCTGATACAGGATGTGATATGGAAAAGGGTATGTATTATTCTCTATATGTCTTTAATATGTAGCGGTAATGTAACGTTTTTTGTAGCAGTAATGACTATGTAGCGGTAATGAAAATATCGAAAAAGCAGCGGTAATGATACGCACCCCTCCTCATAAACATCTTCGCTAGGCAAGGTTTCAGATACGCTACTCTCTTCATAAACGTATGAGGAGGGTAGCGTATCAGAAAGCCTTGGCTAGCGAAGATGTTGGAAGGCTGCTCAGAAACTTACAAATGTTAATCATTTTAGGCCTCTGATGGAAAAAGGGACAAGCATTCAGGTTTGCTTCACAGGTGCTAGAGGACAGGACCCCCCCCCCCCCCCCTTTGGCCTTTTCGACTTTTTTCATATAAAGTATATATGGATGACACATTTGTGATATAATCTTTTGTACATGTATCAATTCAGAAAATTTGCTAAAACAAACATTTATATAAATTTCTACCCCACTCAATTTACTGTGATATAAATGGTATACAAGTCATAAAAGTTATACTGATGGCAAATTATCCACATATGTGAAACTCAAACAAAATTGGGGTTATGAGAATTATTTATCAGTTGTTAAAAATTTTCATCACAGAAAATCTCTATGTAAATTAAGAATTTCCTGCCACAGATTACAAATTGAAGTGGGAAGATTTACTAATATTCCTCGAGAAGATCGATTATGTAATAGATTAATTCTAACAACATAGATGATGAAACTCATTTTTTAATAACATGCAAACAATTTGATCATCAAAGAAAAGAAATATTTCAGTTAATTAATCATAAATTTCCACTATTTTCAGCTTTAGATGATGAACAAAAACTTTATTGGTTACTCAATACAGAAGATAAGGAAACTCTTAATTTTGTGGGCAAATTTATAAATGATAACATGTTATAGTAGCATTAGTCTTTTACACATACATGCATATTTGATGTATTCCTTTTAGACAGGATTATTGTTAAAATGATTTATGTCAATTACTAATTGTATAATTGTTTTGCTATTCATTGGCTTATCTTTTCCTTATTATTATAACAATCTCATACTTGTCTGTTATGGGCTCTAAATTAGTAATAAAATGTTCTGTTCTGTTCTGTTCTATATAGAACGTAGGGTATATTTTATAAAACGTATGTTTAGGTATATTTTTTTGAATTGTTGTTAAATATGTAATTGGAAGATATTTATGAGAAAGTCTAAAAGGCCCAGGGGTCTATTTCGAGGAAGGAGGGGGGAGGGAGTCCTGTCTTCAAGCACCTGTGGTTTGCTATAGGTAGTTATTAGGTAGATATACTAGTATTCTGATGATTCTCAATATGAGAGAGGGAAAAAAAGAAAAGTGACTGATCTCGAAAATGAAACCTACAAACTATACAAATCTGTGGAAAGGATATAAAACACGGCTCCGAAAATTCCAACGGTGGGATCAGGTGACCAGGAGGAGTAACCATCCCCAGGAGATCGATCACATCCGCCGTCAATTGACCATATGTATTGATCAGTTGACCGGAATGTTTAGTAGTCAAATTAAGTATAAACTAGAGGTACTGTGAGCACCGAGCTCACTAAATGATACCCCTCGCCTCCCATATGATTATAATGGCAAAGTCCATGTTTTGCTCTGGGATACCAAACATGATTATCAGATCAAAAAGTAAAATAGGAGGTCACAATGGCATTCTGTAAAAAACAAACTGTGAAAATATCATTAAATTTTATTCAGTGGTATAGGAGGAGTTGCGGACAAGAGATGGGTACCCTATAGTATTGTAGAAAGAATGACAAGTTTCCATTTTTTGCTTTGGGGAAAACCAAAATATGTCTCCCATCAAGAAGTAAAATAGGAGGTGCACAATGGCACTATGTGTAACAAAGATAAAAAGTCTGTGAAAGTCTCATTAAATATCATACAGTGGTATATGATATGCAGATAAGAGATGGGTATACCAAAGGATAACAGACAGACGGACATCCAGATCACTATATACCCTCCTACTTTTCAAAGGGGGGATAATTAATATGCTTGAAAAATTGTACGATTCATTTAAACAAATTACAACCAAGGTAGTTAATACCAGTAATTGCTAACAAGTCATTGTAACAATCATAAAATTTACGAAATGCTGACTTTAAACGAGAATGTTGAAAAACTCGTAAAATCAACTTATCTGTCAGTAGCCTGCCTCGGTTTCAGAATTGTTCGTTCTAAGAGCATGCCCTTAAGTTTTCAATATATTCAGAGAAATAAACATCATATCCATGTAAAAGTATTATTTCTACATAATCAGGGAAAGTTGATGATGGAAAAACCAGAGTAAACTTGTTTGGCCTACATTATGGTCGTTTGATAGTCCTTATCGTCTATAGTCTGAAAAACATTCCAGTATGAAAAAAAAATATGGCTGTCATTTTTGTGTCTTTTTATTTCGACTTCAGTGGGATACATCAAGTTTATGTTTGAATGCAAGTAACAATTATTTACTGATATGTTGATATGTCAGGATATCGAGTTGAGGGCCACAGCAAGTGTTTTCTTTTCATTTAGGATTTTTTTTTTGTTCAATTCTTCTTCGTAGGAATATAACAGCATGTCGGCTAAAAGAGGGAGCATAAATAGTGCTTATTGAAATTCTAACAGTGTGTTGGAAGATGTCAATGGGTTCAAACTTCAAACCATGCTTTTCTTATATACAATTACAAAGATGATACAAGTATTGTTACAAGCCTTGTATGCAGGAATGACAACAGAATAATCATGCACATGTCTTTTTAAAATCACCAGATAAATACGTATAGCGGGTTACTTTAGCGGGGTGCTAATTTTGGCGTTTTGGTGGTAGCACGCTAAAATTTTAATTGCTAAAATATTCAGTACTCTTCTTAATGTTCATCTGCAAAGAGCTGAAACTCTTTGTACGCTAAAATAAGTTATGCCAAAATTATTCGCATACTTTTAAGCAGGCAAAATGCCAAATTTTACACCCGCCAAGAAAACCCACTATACGGTAACAGATGGTTTGCATATTATATAACAACGTTTTTACGTGTGTTTTTTATGTTTATGTAGGTCTTTGTGTTGGGATTAAATTTTTTACTCCAAAACTCCTCAGCTATTTTTTTCATACTTGTAATAAAACTTCATGAGTGAAAATTAGTCATGTTAATATGCAAGAATATTCATACAGCCCATACAGATCTATGACAGAGTCACACAGATATTAAATATCTGCCAATCATAGCCCCATTGTTTTGAATGAGGGCAGAGTGTCAGGAATAGATGGGGGAAATCTTTAAAATTTTGCGTTCCCAAGATCTGCAGGTCTGCTTTTACTCCAGTTCATTTGCAAATGTCTCCTTTTATCTTTTATTTTCAGAACGATGACACTTATCATAGTTTTTGTGTTTTCCACAGCAAAATACATTATAAACAGCATAAAACAATAAAATACAAAGAATTTTGCTTTTAAACCCATTATTTTTTCTATTAAAATATAGTTCAGGTCAATTGGGATATTATTTTGAAAATTTCACAAAGGATAACATTACTCAACTTTTGAACTAAATGTTGTAAAATACAGTAAATATTATCTACGTTAATACATCAAAACTAAACAAGAAAGTTCCTCTATAATGAATTACCAAATACGCGGGGGGGGGGGGGGGGGGGGGGGGGGGGGGGGGCTTCATATATACTGTAGTTTCCAGTATTGAGATCTTTTGCACTATGTCTATTATGCAAATAACAAAATAATGTGCCATGTGTGCATACATGTACCTTCATAAAACAGTTATTCAGAGTTCACTATGATGATACATTTACATAACTGATACATTGTTAACAAATCTGTTTCCATTTTGTTTTATGCTCTCAAGATTTGTGTTCAAACCATCATTCCCTCAGTGTCAACAATCAACAACTTCATAGGGAATTCACCAAATGACTGCATAATAAACAAGTCTGTGAGCTAATGTTCACTAGCAATACATTGCTCTGATGTGAATTTGGCAGGAAAAAGATGCAGAGATAAAAAGGAAGTTAACATTAAACTCGTACAAAAAATGAATCCAGTCATATTGCATGCCAAAGCTGTGTACTCAAAGTACAAGCATCTTTCACAAGTTGTTGCTGATAAAACTTGGACAAAAAATATGTAATGGACAGACAGACACACAAGGGTACAACAGTATACCACCTTACCTTTGGAGTGAGGGTATAAAAAGTAAAAATGTGATTATTGATTTTTAAATGTACATTTGAAAACAATTATATAAAAAGAGATTATGCAATACTATAAAACAAAGCATTCTTATAAAATCAAAATAAATTCAGAATGGATGTTTAACTTTCATTTTATCCTGATAAATGTTTCGGCTATCACATGTCAAAGGTAAATGTAACAAGAATTCTTTAACATAATAACATCTTTTTTTTACATGATCCCATTAAAAAAAGGGCACCCATACAATTCATAATACAAATGGTACACAATATAAACAAATGATTACAGAAACAGACTGTATATATTTAAAATGGAATTGCATAATGTGATATAATTTCCTACTTCATTAAAAATACAGCCATTAAAGATATTGAAATTGTAAAGAATAACTCTAAATACTTTAAACTAATAAATTCTTAATGGGACTAGAAATATTGCACAATAATTATAGAAAACACAGTGTTTGACTCTTACAAAGAAAACTACAGCAACAATTACTTGTATTTTAAAAAGGTCTGCAAATAATTAAGAACACATACTTGGAATTCATATATTGAAACAGACTATTTTTTCAGAGTTAAGGTGAAATGTAGAAAAAAATGAAAAGTTAAATAAATAATAAATTTGATTTCAACAATCAAACAGATCAAGAGCCAAACTATCTGATATTTTGAAGGTCTTTACATACTTCTAAGACATATTTTTAGGGAAAAATGACTAATAAAAAACAGAAAAAAGAGGACACAGTTAAAATAAAAATGAAATGAACATCAACTGGACATTAAGTTTGGGTGAAACTTTTCTAACGCCCACTGCATAGACCAGATAGCCAGTGGCCTCATGTAACCTAGGGAGCGGTAGATGTTGTCGGTCATATAGGCCTCGGGGGTCTGGAAGGCGAGGCCATACCACTCCCAACAGACATGGTACGCTCCCCAGGCCGTCTTAAATGCCTCCTCCAATAATCCCTGTAACAACAGGCGATACAAGTCATGGTGTCAGATGATAACATAGGTAAACTGATTTATGAGTGTCACATGTTTTTTTTAAAAAACTTTGTAGGAATGTTACAGCTTTTAAAGTTTTAAATGAAATGCACATAATTTACAAAGACACAGAAGAGAATGGCAAAGAAAGATAACCCCCTCCAAATTACTCCTGGTCTTTAACCTTTAAGTAACTGCTATATTTAAATTGAATACTAAGAATTTTGCATGCACTTACTAAAACGAAAATTTTAATATCATATTACAACTAAAATGATGATTTTTATAAGAGAAACAGTTTTGCCTTCATTTGAGATTGAATTTGGGACCTCTGACATGTCAGCCCCACACTGGTACAACACTCACCTCCTGAATCATGTTAGCGGCTAGTCCATACGTGACCCCTACCCAGAATTCCTCTGACTGGCAGCTGCTGATGTCTTTACTCCCGTCGGGCCGCGTTCCATTGATGGCTCCCATGTTCCCGTCCTCAAACATCATTACGTTGTTCTGGAAGATTCTTTTTAAAGAGGAGAGAACTCTGTCTGGTGGAAATATCTACAAACCAGGCAAAACATAATCAATACTGGGAAATACCAACAATCCAGGATCAACATAGTATTAATACTCCAAAATATCTACAATCCAGGATCAACATAACCAATACTGAAATATCTACAATCAAGGATAAACATAATCAATACTGAAATATCTACAATCCTGAAATATCTACAAACCAGGATAAACATAATCAAAACTCCAAAATATCTACAACCCAGGGTAAACATAATCAAACCTCTAAAGTATCTACATCCAAGGATAAACATAATCAATACTCAGAAATGTCTACAATCCAGGATAAACATAATCAGTACTGAAATATCTACAATCAAGGATAAACATAATCAAAACTCCAAAATATCTACAACCCAGGATAAACATAATCAAAACTCCAAAATATCTACAACCCAGGATAAACATAATCAAAACTCCAAAGTATCTACAATCCAGGATAAACATCATCAAAACTCCAAAATACCTACAATCCAGGATAAACATAATCAAAACTCCAAAGTTTCTACAATCCAGGATAAACATAATCAAAACTCCAAAATACCTACAATCCAGGATAAACATAATCAAAACTCCAAAATATCTACAATCCAGAATAAACATAATCAAAACTCCAAAGTATCTACAACCCAGGATAAACATAATCAAAACTCCAAAATATCCACAATCCAGGATAAACATAATCAAAACTCCAAAGTATCTACAACCCAGGATAAACATAATCAAAACTCAGAAATATCTACAATCCAGGATAAGTATTATCAATACTCTGAATATCTACAATCTAGGATAAGGAAAGTCAAAACTGGGAAATATCCTCAATCAAGGGAAATATTTATGAACATGGAAAATATCATAATATAATAACAGGTAGATATTTACAAATCTGAACATTTACAATCCTAAGAATTATTAACAAAACAGGAAAATGTTTACAAATATTTACAACAACTAGAGTATCTTTAAAGTAAGAAAGTCTTTATGAATCAAAAAAAATATTTACAAATTTGAAAACTTCAAATCAGGGAAACCTTATCAAACCAGGGAATAATGAGCTAACCAGGGAAATCTTTTATTTACCATATACTTAAAGTTTGATGTATAAAACATTCCCCTTAAAGATTTTTTACATGAATACTGAACCATGAAATGGAAAAGCAGGAATGTAACAGAATTTGCCTCTCTTACATCATCATCTTGTAGTCCAGAAGCTTTGAGGAACCAGTGACCAGCCAGCTGGTCAGCCATTACACTGTCATGGTGGCCCCCTTTACTGCAGTCATAATTGTAGTAAGAACCTAAACAGTAATACAGTATTGTCCTTGAATGAGGAATACATCAATTTCATTTAAATGTGAAAAACCTATTCCAAACTACAACCTGACTTTAAATTTGGAAGATATGTGTCAAGACTGCATATAGTTCTTGTTTATTCATAAAATGGTTAATTTTATACTTAATTTGCCATCAATTAAATAGTGCAAAATGCTTATTTTAAAACTCAAATATTTAACTATATATTTCTTGAACTTCACTGCTATGAGCTTGTACATGTATACCGTATCAGTGGAAATTTTAGCGAGGCGCTAATTTAGCGAATCGTCCTTAAAAACTGGTAATTTATTTTTAGCAAGATGTTATTTTAGTGATTTTTAAATGCATATTAAAGAAGCTATTTCAAATAAAACGCAATTCATTTTTAGCGATGTTCAATTTTAGCGTTCTCGGCACTCTCACTTATAATAATGCCAAAATTAAATCCTCGCTAAAAATTCTACTTATACGGTATGTAGATTGTAGTAGTTTAAAAAGAATTTATGTTTAAAAAAAAAAAAAAATGTTAACAATATAATGATGCAATATTTGATGTGTCTGAATGACAATTGATACAAATATTGTGAGCAGCACTACCATTCCAGAGTTTGTTTTGGTAGGACACTTTTCCTTTGTCTAGAATTTCCCTGTAGTGGAGAACATCATCATCTTTCTTCAGAATGGTAGCCATCTCTATCATCATACGCAGTGCAGCCAGCCACATTCCACCACAGTAGGCACTGAAAGTAAACAGAAAGCGTATAAAAGTAAAAAATACAGCTAAAAGTGAAAGTAAAGACAGGAAAAAGGGGAAGTAACTGTTAAATCGTGATTGTTCAAAATCAATCAGTAGTTGTCATAGATCATTTCTTTTAGATAAAAGAAATACTGTGCAAATTCCATTTCTTAAACTCTTTTCAAATGCACAGTGTAGTTATAGTATGTAAGCACTTTCAGTTGATCTTTAAGTAATGTATTTCCTACAAACCTGGCCCCTGACATGGTCCAGGCATCAAAAGTCTGATCAGCAAAGCCACCATTATCTATAATGCCATCATTGTCCACGTCCCACTTCTTAGCTGTCTCCATCACATACTAAATAACAGAGACGGATAACCATTACAAACTGAAGTCAAATAACAGATACACGTAGATAACCATCACATACTGAAGTCAAATAACAGATACATGTAGGTCTCCATCACATACTGAAGTCAGAAATGATAAATTTCATTACTTTATTAAACAAAATACTGTAGATTCCTTATTTTTCACAAGTACTTATTATTGCAAATGGGCTTTTTATCGCCAAATCGAGAGAATAATAATTCGTATATGGACGACTGATCAGGAAATTTTACACAGATTTCAACACCGTAAAAATAAAGGAGAGTAATTTTATTCGCATGTGGTGCTTCTCGCAAAATTACCCAATTATTAATTCCACCTATATAATTAGGAATTTACAGTAGCTGAACTGCATCTACCAGTGACTCTACATAAAACTGCACTGCTTCACTTTGAATTTTACGATCAATGCTAGTTTTTAATATTTTATAATTTGATAATATTTTATATATAACATAAAGCATTTAAAAGTCCATTAACAGCAAGTGATTCCTAACCCTAACTTCAAATTTATAGTATGCAAATCTATGATCAACTGCCCAAGGAGAAATACAAGAAATAGGCATCCACAAGTTAGCACAGTATTTTATAGCAAAAAACAACTGTAAAAATTAAACATATTCTACCTCAGAACATACCACAAACAAAGAATCTCATCTAGATGAAGGCAATATACCGTAAACCAACTTTTATTCATGTGTGAGAAATATCCACAAGTTTCGCAAGCTACTTTATCTCGTAAATATAATCTCTGTGAACCATCCGTTTTTCTTTGTATATGTAGAGAATGTTTCCTCAGTCTTGAAAATTTATTGTTGCAGGTTAATTTCAAATTGATGAATTGCAAACAAAGATAACTTAATGTTAACAACCCACCTTGGCTACTGGGTACATGTGTTTGAGATAAGCCTCATCTTTTGAAGCGGAATAGTCTCGGAATGTCTGCAGAACAAACTTCATGTTCAGATCCTTCCAGTTACAGGTCGGGTGTATCACATAACAGTTTACCCTCTTCCAAGGTTCATCCTCTGTAGATAAGATTTAGAGCTTCAATTTACAAGACACTTATCAGTACATTACAAAGAAATAATCTTTGTGTAGAACATACACCTCTAAAGGCTTTGGGCCTATAACACTTACACTTAATGGACACACAGACCCAGTGACTATTACTGACTATTGAGCACAAGAATCTTAAAATTTGAAATGTCTTGAATTAAGTAAAATACTGGCATATTTCCATATTTAATATCAGGTATCCTTTACAACATTAAAGATGAGTACTTGCTGTTTCAAAAAAATCTGTTATCTATTACCTGGATCTCCCATATCATGAGGCACAGCGTGTAATCTTTTACGGATCCCATTTTCTCCACTGGTCAGAAATTTGATTCTAGTGGCATCCTCAGATTCAACTGCTTTGGCTGAAAATAGAAATGGACTTTGCAGCAGGTTTCAAAGGATAATTAACCATTATTCTAATTAGCAACATTTCATCAGATTTGTCTTATAATGAATTTCTAGAGACTGACAATTCAGTTATATGTTTTCTGCTTTTTAAAAAAATTTAACTGTGAAAGTTAGCGATTTACCCTGCCAACAAAAGGCCCATATTGTTTCTGTGATGACATGTTTAATTAGAAATGCTCTGCATATACGGATTACAGGGTACACATGTACTATAAACATCAATACTCATATCTCCATATACATATACTTTACTGGCCTTATTACCAGATGTTACATCTAATGGGTTAAGATTTTTAAATTCCAAATACATGTTCTCAAAAGCAACTTAATGGAATAATGGCAACTACACATTTAATACCATGATCAACAACAATATCTAATGAAGATCAGCAAATATTTGTAACACTTTTTTTTGCAAGATGGGTATATGGTATTTATAACTTTATAAGTGAGACAAAAATTTCATGAATTCTGTTCATTATAGTAACACTGAATATACCGTATCATTCGGTACACTAATTGATTTGAATACCTCTTATATAATTACAATATAATTGTTTCTTCTTTCTAGATTCAAATACTACTAAGTTCAAACAAGAGACTCATGGGTCACAATGCTCACCTGACTAATCTTCATCTTTCTGAAAAAGAGTATGGAAATAACTTGGGGGAAATGTAACGTAACAAATGCACTCCTGATGATTTTTTTTTTAAAATTAGTTTTCCCCATATATTACTTCTTAAAATCTCCCCATTCAAACCACTGAGGTTTTTTGGCAAAATATAAAATCTATGTTACAGAGGAATTCTTTTCTTTTAATTTTCCCTGCCATCTCCTTTTAAATCCCCAAATAAAACTTTGACTTTCTAATGTCACCCAATCCTAAGCTCAGATGCCATGGTTTGAATGAATTTGAATCTCCTTGCGCTGCATGAAGAACCTTGCATATTAACTTGATAACATGTAAATGTAGCCTTGTTGTTCTTGATAAAAATTCTGTCTAATACATGTTGTTGGTGTATTTCAAGATGTAATTGTTACCCATTCTTGTGACCTTGACATATCCCTGAAGACTCTGATTTGATGTAATTGATACTACAGGTATATTAATATGGACTTCACCATTATTTGTCTGTTCTGGTCCAGTAATTCTTAAGAAAAAACTTTTAACACAACTAAATTGTTGATTGAATTCCAATGAGTGGGAATACAAGCCTTCATTTGAGTCTACTTCAATTTCCTTCATCTTTGTTCCAAGTTCAACAAAAATTGGTTAAGCGTTTTGGAGTAAAATCAAATGTTATAGGTAAAAACTGCTTGTACATAAATGCAAATATACTTAACATGCTTAAGGCAGACAAAATTTGATCAGAAACACTCTATTGATCCCTGGCTATGTATAAACAAATAACATACGTCAGCTGTAAAGAGTGCAGTATATCTTACAAAGATACATACTGATGGCATACTGCAGAAACAGCAGGTGTTCTTAATTTGATAGATAAGTTACTTATATCACATTTTATATTGATCGTCTTTATTTGACATGTCATATCCTATAACCTATATTACAATCATTTTTTACAGAAGTATTTACATGTACTTGTACCATATTATAGAGACCTAGTGTTCTATATTTTAGAGAAGTGTAATTACCTATATCCAATTGTATAATGACCTGGTATTCTTTATTTTACAGAAGTTTTCTTTACCTATGTCATATTGTATAGAGATCTGAAGTTTGGGCCACAGCATGATGAGGGAGAATGAAGCATAATGGTGAACGTCGTATGTATTATACATCCTGTACTCATGACCTGAAAATAGGAGACTTTTATTTATGTTAACCAAAGGATGCATGAAATACTGACTGAACAATATTTTAAACATATAAAGCTGAAAACTTGTTACCTTTGTTTAAATCAACAAAGTTTATCTACTTAAAATGACCACCCTGTATATTAAAGTTTGATAAAAATCTGGAAAAGAATTCTAAGATATTGGGCTATGTTTGATGTGGATATAGCAGATAGCAATGTGACCTTTTCTCCATTCTTTTTTTGTTAAAATGTATAACTTTGGTCCCTTTTTGTAGCTCTACCCAGTCTAATTAAAATCAAACTTTTTTATCTACACCATATACACTCTGATGGGGATGAAACCGGGGAACGCAAAAGAAGAGGTGGGAAGACAACATCCCCGAGTGAACTGGACTGAGCCTCGCAGAAACCCTGAGAGCGACAGAAAACAGAGATTTATGGATAAAAGTGGTGGATAGGTCTTCAAAGGTGCCCCAACGACATCCACGGAAGTCAAGGGATAGGTGAAGGGAATATACACTCTTCTTATGTAGAGTAAATGGTGCAGATCTAAGAAGTCTTATTTTATTTAGACTGTGGCCCTAACTTACCCAAAGGGATCAATATTCCCAATTATAATTAACATGTCTGGCATAATCATGGTGACTAGTGAGATTTACCTTCAAGATAGCCAAATCTGCTAAACTCCTGAACAATGGGAGGGTCTTTGGGGTCTGTCACCCTCACAAGCTTCCCTCCCTGGCCCTGGACAGGGTCAATCCACACCGTCCCCCCATCACTGACGTAATACAACTCATTAAACAGGGCAGACTTATACCAGGCAGGAAGGTTTCTACACAAAGATGTATAAAAGCAAGTTACATAAGGATTACTTGGTAAATTCCATACATAACCATACATACATAACCAAATCAACTCAAATTAATCCCATTAATGTTGGAGAATTTATTTCAAATCAGACAATGTTTTTCTGTTTTAGATACCTTCTGATACAATCATGTGCTTACTTGTTTTCTAGGGTGGGTTTTTGCCACTCCTCTATTTTCTGTTCCCATGTTTTATAATTAGCAGCAGCATAGCTGGACATCCTGGGTCCTGCCTCTCCATCCATCCCAAACCAGCGAGTGTATCGTCTGTCATACAAAAGCACAAATAACAAGAACTTAAATTGAAAGTTGAATCACAAGCATTTTATTACAAAGATGCAAATTTTTCTTAATTTCAAAAACTTAAAATACAGTCAAACCTCATTGTCTCAAACTTTATGGGACCGAAAATAAAAATCAAGATTTCTTAGGATTCAAGATATCATAGGTAAAATACTGAAATAATAAGTAGTTGGCACTTTCAAATCACTTGGACATATCCATGGTATTTGAGATTTCAGTGTTTAAGATATCCAAGTTCAACTGTATTTCACACTAAGGAAAAACTAAAGCGCAACCTTGCATAGAAGTTCTCTCTGGCTTTGAAATGGATGATTGGCATGTCCCAGGTCAAGGTAAACTCGAGGTCCCTGGTCTGTTTGGGGGGGACACTGGCCTGGACACAGACAGCTGCTGCACTCTCCTCACCTTTACCTGTACAGGTATTCCTACCTGTAACACAGGAAGACACTCCAATGTCAAGACAATTCTCAATAAATATTATAACTTGTTATGGCTGTACAAGTTCATTTCATGTTTTTTTGATTTTTAAATAATAAAAACTGCAAATAAAATCTGTGAAGTAGAACATGTACATGTATGTATATTGTTAATATCTATATCTACTATTCTCACTAGAATTTGAATTTGATTAAGCTCTGAACATGCAAGAGATGATTATGAGCACTAAACATGCATGAGATAATTATGCTACAAGCACTGTAAATAAGGATGAGAATATTACAAGCACTAAACATGCAGGAGATAACTATATTACAAGCACTGTAAATATGCATGAGATTAGAATAAGCCTCAGTCACAATGTAAAACATTCCAGAGATATAGAGCAACCAGGCATGTACAGCCACCAGGAGAAAGGAACAAAATACATTGGTTTGAAATGAAAACACAGTAAACACATAATTCATGCAAGGGTCTCAGCTTCCAATTACGGGAACTCTACTACTTTGATATAAAAATTTACTGTATTCATAACAAATAAATCTAGTAAAACTTAATAACCAGTACATATACACAGACATTATAACACCCACCCCTCCAAAACATCTACCAAGTGAGTACTAGGTTTCTATATGAACACACACAGTTAAACAAAGATTTAGACAGTCAAACAGCCAAATGTCATGTCTACCTGTGGATCTAGGTAAATCCAGAGGCCTGTTCAACAGACCAAGCACTCGTGAACATTTCTGTTGGAGGTATAAGGAATTTTGGTGAGCACTCGTGAACGTTCGCTCTGTTGAACAGGCCTCAGGTGTCATGTCTACCTGGAGATCTAGGTAAATCTTACCTGTAGGGATTGTAAATAATCTAAGGACACTGTGTGCCATATATAACAGAAGATGAAGTAGAGACGAGAGGGAAGTAAACGCCCCACTCTTCTCCTCCACTTGTTCTACAAAACAAAGGGAGGTCATTATTTGGGGAGAAACCATTGCTGAGACCATTGCTTGTGTTAGATAAAATAAAAACAACTCAAAGTGCTGAATATAAGATCCATTTTGATTCTGAATATTCTTTCAGATTCAATGCTACATTATTTATATTATAAAGTCAATAAAAGTTTAAAATTTTATACACTGTATAAGCAGAAATTTTAGCAAGGATTTAATTTTGGCATTATTAGCGAGGGTGCTGAGATCGCTAAAATTTAATATCGCTAAAAATTAATTGTGCTTTATTTGTAAAAGCTTCTTTAGTGAACATTTTAAAATAGCTAAAATTGCATCTCGCTAAAAATGAGTTACCAGTTTTTAAGGACAAATTAAATTTGTGTCTCGCTAAAATTTCCACTTATACGGTATTTTCAAACATTCTTTAGTACTGCCAATCTTTTTATTATCACAGAACTTGGGTATTTTGGTTCTTTGAAAACTTGTGAAAGTTAATTGCACACGAGGGAAGGTTGGTATACAGTAGCAAGTAAAATGAATTTCCCATATATATATATATATATATATATATATATATATATATATATATATATATATATATATATATATATATATATATATATATATATATATATATATATATAACACAGCCATACATTAATTTAAACCAGAAGTCTCTGTCGAGACTGTAGCTCTACTGGTTTGTAATTATCATAAACCAATGCACTATTATATGTAAGTTAGTGTAGTCTACTTGTCTTATGTGCCAAGTAATAATGAAATCAGACTAAAACTGTAGAAGGAGTAGTGTTTTAAAGTAATTTCTCAGAAAATTCTATTTTTAGTAACCATGGCAACACCGTTCATCGAAATCAAAAACCGATGCACTATTTTATGTATCTTAGTGTAGTCTACTTGTGTGCCAAGTAATATTGAAATCAGATCAAAATTGTGGAAGGAGTAGCATTTTAAAGGAATTTCACATTTTTAGTAATCATGGCAACACCGTTCATCCAAATCAAAAACCGATGCACTATTTTATGTATCTTAGAGTAGTCTACTTGTGTGCCAAGTAATATTGAAATCAGATCTAAAATTGTAGAAGGAGAAGCATTTTAAAGGAATTTTACAGAAAATTCTATTTTTAGTAACCATGGCAACACCGTTCATCGAAATCAAAAACTGATGCACTATTTTATGTATCTAAGTGTGGTCTACTTATGTGCCAAGTAATATTGAAATCAGACTAAAACTGTAGAAGGAGTAGCATTTTAAAGGAATTTCACAGAAAATTCTATTTTTAGTAACCATGACAACACCGTTCATCGAAATCAAAAACCGATGCACTATTTTATGTAACTTAGTGTAGTCTACTTGTATGCCAAGTAATATTGAAATCAGACTAAAATTGTAGAAGGAGTAGCGTTTTAAAGTAATTTCTCAAAAAATTTTATTTTTAGTAACCATGGCAACAGTGTTCATCGAAATCAAAAACTGATGCTCCATTTTATGTAACTTAGTGTAGTCTACTTTTGTGCCAAGTAATATTGAAATCAGATCAAAATTGTAGAAGGAGTAGCATTTTAAAGGAATTTCACAGAAAATTCTATTTTTAGTAACCATGGCAACACCGTTCATCGAAATCAAAAACTGATGCACTATTTTATGTATCTTAGAGTAGTCTACTTGTGTGCCAAGTTATATTGAAATCAGACTAAAATTGTAGGAGGAGTAGCGTTTTGAAAAATTGTTTACAGACAGACGGACAGACAGACAGACAGACGGACGGACGCCGGACGCATTACTATCGCATAAGCTCTTCTGGTCTCTGACCAGTAGAGCTAAAAACTACATTTCACATGATATTTATTTCCCAATTTTTTAGTCAGGTGGGGAATAGAGAAAAACAGAGACTAAATTTTTTTTTCAAAATATCAGAATCCATAACAGTACATTGTAGCACTATTTTCTCTATATAGCATGAAATGAATAAGTTAGAAATACTCAATCCTTCACTACACAGGCTAAATACTGGCCCCCTTTATTACTGGACTTACCCCCCTCAGGGTTTAGCTGTCCGTCCTCTTTGAGGTCGTCCCACACTTCCTGACCAGAGCCCCGGGGGTTGAAGAACTCCTTACATGAAACTGTTACATCATCCTGAAATTGTCCAGCATCAGTCAAACTCTTGTTAAATTTTATTCCTTTGAATACAAAAACACACTGTGTTGTTGTAAGATAGATTTCCTACCTAACATTTTCTGTGCTGTGTTCATAATAATTTAAAAAAATCACAGATAGGACTTATGATTCAAGATTTCTCCTACTAGTCCAGGATTCAGAAAGACATAAAATTATTATTTATATATGCCTAAATAAATGCATACATATGGTATACTGAGAAATACTACTTAGTCAGGAACTTACAGTGTGTACCCCTGCTATACAGTAAGTACACTTCATGTCCTGTATGTTGTGATTGATGGAGACCCCTGACACTCTCTTCCCCTCTGTGTCAAGGTCAAACAGGTGATTGTGGCAGCCTCCATTCCCATCATCCTTCACTCCTCGCCCGTTCTTGAACGTGAACATGATACTGATATCCAGAGGTTCACTCCCTTTGTTCTCAGCCGTCCAGATAAAAGCGGCCATCGGAAAACTTGTGTCCTGAAATCAACAGGCAATAATGTGAATTAAAAATTATTATGATAATAAAATATTTTATCATATACCAGTACTTTTGATAATAAACACACCAATTCTGCACTGTGTGATATGGATGACATCACAATACCTCATATACCCCCATATCATTGATTAAGAATGATATATGACAGATTTTAAATCAATGATTTTAAATTTACAACCTTAAACAATGATCGAGTGTTGACAGAGGGGTTTGTGGGAGTGTAGTAGAAATGACAACTATGGATAGATATTGACTTGATAGATGATAGAATTGTTGCACTACGTTTTGATTTCTTTCCAAATTAGTCTTTTCTCATAATCACGAAATCTTTTACAACCTTCATTTTTTTCAATTCTTTATCATTTTTTTATGATACCCTGTGGCCTGTCATTACATTTGAAAACGCTTTAGCTCCTTATCTTGTGAACTATGATAAAACAATACCTGAACTGAAGCATTTGAAACATATGCCATAGTTATTTCTGTACTTGCTTGTTCCAAACACTCACAAGAAATTTCTTTTTTGTTTTGATGTAGCGATTAAATTTTTCTAGACAAAGAAAATAATAATACAGTGTATGTGCGCTTTTATATATTCCTCTATAGTACCGGGTAATATGTTTCAAGAAGGCTTGTGATTATAGGCATTTCAAAGGAGATTTATATGATAATCCATGATATGTGTAAACACAAACCTTGTAATCATGTGAGTATACTACATGTATGTTGAGAGAAACCTTGTAGTCATTTGGGTATACTATTGTTCGTTTGCATAAACTAGCATATTCAAAATTTAGCGCAGACACAGAGTTTTTGGCGTATTCATGAATTAACGCTACACACTTCCATGCTGTAAATTGTTTCGACATATGATATCTTAGCAGTATTCATTAATAAGCACATCGTTGTCCACGCCAAAGCCGCTAAAATATGAAGCCTGCTTTTTAACCTACACATACTGTATGTTGACACAAACCTTGTAGTCATGTGGGTAGACTGGGGACACCTGTCTACAGATCAGCCTCAGATTGAACTCGTCAAGGTTATAGACTGTCCAGGACCGGGGGTACAGGGCGTGGTAAACATCACCCTCCCGTGGCTCCTCCCACTCCCAGGACTTCAGGGTTTTAGAGGTTTCCCTCTGCCCTGTCAGGACCTTCTGGTACACTGTTTTACCATTCTTTCTTATGCAAAGGATGAACTGTTTAAAGACAGAGGTCAGGCTAATAAGAAAAAATGCATTTCATGAAAGCTTGCTATTTAGAAATTTAAAAATAAAAACATAAACATATATGGAGACCAAGGATATGTATAAATTTAAATTTCTATAAATCAAATTTTAAAAAAATTTCAAATTGATATTTCATCCTTGCATTACAATACACTGTAATACTTTTGAAAAAGTATTATCTGAAAAAAAAATCCTCCTTGCTTCCCATGATTTACTATTAGGGTAGTTTCCTGTTTATCCATTTCCTGTTATAAAATGATTGTGATACTTTAGATAAAGGTATTCCAGAAAAGAACATTTCCTCCTTGCTTTATGAATACTAAGGGAAGTTTCCTGTTTTTTTATTAGTCCCCTAGTCATGAAACCGGAGGGGACCATAGGTTTCCTCTAAGTCTGTCTGTCTGTCTCTCTCTCTCTTGATTTCTGCACTTTTTTCCCTAAATGCTTGCAGATATTGAGCTGATTTTTGGTATGTGAGTGTATATTAATGAGTTATAGATCAAGTTTGAATGTTGTTTCGCTTCCTTGAATTTTTTTTTATGGAATTATGGTATTTTTATTAATTTTTCAGACTGAGTTTGTGCTGCACTAAATTTATAACTATCCAAATCGAGATTGTCATGTTCAAAATTATTGATTTGAAACTTGCTGGATAGCTTTATAGTGACAAACTAAATAGAATGTTCTATCTTTAAAATGATATTTTTATCTTACAGACCCTGTTTAACGACAGAATGCTTTATGTGTATTGACAATATATAGCAAAGAAAAACAACGGGAGATAACTCTGACTCAGTGCATATACTAGGTCAACATAGTAAATATGAAAAAGACATTGAAAAAATGAGTTAAATTTTTGTCTTTATAATTGGATTATTTTTTTTTAAGTTAAAGGCATGCACAACCTCCAAATTTTAACATCAAGCACTTTTACCTTGATCATAATTTTTGCACCAGAGCAACATTGCTTTCAAAATAAATATTTTTTTCTGCATGATGGATAGACAAGCAAAGAAACAGTATGTTTTAATTAATTTGGTAGTTATTTTCAATGCAATTCCTTTTGTATTCTTCAAAATCGTCTTGAGGCGATTCTCATTCTGCAATTCTTTGCTACATTATGAGTGTTTGGGAGGCATTCTAACTGTGGTAAAACAAAGTTGGATTATTCGAACTAAGTGACAAACCAAAGAACAATTTTGATTTTTTTTTCATATACATGTAATTGTTTCTTAATCATGTAAAATGTCTTAAAAGAAAGACAGATCAATTTATTTCAAAGAAATTTCATCATAAACAAGTAACTACCGAAATGTCCACATTTTGGGGGCACATTTTCATAAACAGGATATTATAAAACCACATCCTTATTAAGAGAAAGGAGACCCTGGTAGGGGGCATGTATTGCTTATGCAATACTCTCAGAATGCTTGTTTTACCTGATTTGCCTGAATCACAGTGTGATCATAAATCCCTGGGACCATTTGAAATCTGGCAAATTCCCCTCTGTATCCCCTCCCCATAGTTCCACATCCAATCCCCCCTATAGGTGCACCTGAAACAGGGAATTAAAACTATTAAATCATGACTATATAACAAGCAGTGTATGTGTGTACATTAATTAAAATACCAAAACACAAGCAACAAATATTTTTTTAATACATGATCCTATTTTGCAATTTCATCTATTCATAATCAGCTGTAAGCAATTCTGAAGTTTACCATATATTGCCTTGTGAAACAACTGGTCCATGTGATCTATAAACATTTTCCTGCCTAGGCGTCGCATTTTCCACCATTCCTTTGCATACCTGAAAATCGACACGGTCAAGTTAGGTGTTCTTCATTTTTTAATTACTTTAAAATCTAATTTAAATTAACCCTTTAAAATATCAAATTGAAAATGCATATGATCCACTTCAGCAAAAATTTCCATGTTCATTTTAATACAATCTTGCCGCAGTACTCCATTTTTTTTCTTGTTACTCATTTTGGGTGATCTCTTTTGTAACTTAGTATAGAGCTTATAAATGTGTTTTACATTATCTTTCCACTGGGCAAATTTTAAATGGATTTACATTAAGATTGTAGTTGACTTATATTTGCACATCTTACTGTAAGAGCACATCCCATGTTTAGATAGGATTAGGTTAACAATTGTATTTTAGATCAATAGGCAGCTGATACCCACTGCCTTGGGGATAAATAAAAAAATTAGTACACTGCACCAAGGCTGCAAGCCTGATAAAATATAGTCCTCTTCAATAATTGTAAGAATGATAATTTTAAAAGGTCATTTTTGAAGTATATGCATTCTATTTGAAGATTCTTATGCACCATTAATAACAGCTGAATAATGCACACAGCGAGCACACTTTCACACAAGTCCATGCTTGTTTACAATGCATCAACCTGATATTTAATAATTAAAAGAAAAGCATATTATATAGATCAATACCTTATTCCCAGACCAATAAAACCGATGACTTGACTAAATCGAGGTTGTGCAAACGGTTTACATTTAACATTACACTCATAGTTTAGGTTAACTCGCCACCCAAAATCTGGGATCCCCTGGATGTTGTTTTTAGGGGTGGTTATGCTGTTGTCACTATGGTGTTGAGACGCCATTGCTAGTTGCCTGTAGCACAGGTTATGCACAATGCTGCATCTGCAGTTTCAAACTTCAGGGTTTTAATATCCGTCAAATCATTTCGCAATCAGTACAATTTGCACACTCAAGCCTTTATGTTTTCAGAATGCTTCCTTATTAGATCGGGTTCGCGGTCTCTTTATTTCCTATACTAAGTGTATAACGAACCCGAATATATACGACCTTTTAAAATTGTGTATTCAAAGAAAAACGCCATTACACATTTTTCGGTTTTAAACTTTTATTTTAAATATATTTTAGTTTTTGTTAAATCAAATATGAAAAGAAAAAAATTTTGAAATATTAAAATTGTACTTTTTAATGATTTTGATATTGGTAAAATCTTGTGAAAAAAATTCCTTGGATTTTTTTTAATGTATTCACATCTCATATCATAAACTTTTCTTTGCTACATACATCAGGCATGTAGAGAAGATAATCAAAGAATTAAAAATGAATAATCAGAATATAATCAGTTGATCCCCACTCTAACTCTAGCTGGGACCATAAATTTCCATAGCGAGGTTCAGTTAGGACATATCCTCGCATTAAGTCAGGGGTCCTGAGTCAAAACACTGCCGTCCAGCGGCAGCATATTGACTCAGGACTCCTGGCAATGATGTGTTCAGGACCGAATGTATATTAAAGAAATGCAAACAATTTGATAGCTTGATGCCCTGGATTAAAAAGACTTTTGAAAATATGGCATTTAATTGATGGATTTGGCCTCAACCTTCAGCCCCCCTTTCCGGCAGTAGGGAGACAGACACCATGCGTAGAATTAAAATGCGAAATTAACCTTAATCGGTCGAAAAGTGTATGGTCCTACCTATACCATATTCAGTCCAATAATGCGCAAAGACTAATCGAGATATAATCAGCTGAGTTGTGGGCGAGGATGAGCCCAAGCAATAACACGAAGAAGTACAGGATGTGTTTGTGAAAAACTGATGCCCCCGTATGGTAACATAGCGAAGGGTTAAATTTACTCAAATGCAAATCAAACATGTTGATACCCAAAGTAAGGCTTTCTCACAAGAAATGCAAATTTATGCGAAATATAAAACCATAACACAACCAGTTAAAATGTTATGGCAAAGGTTAACTTTTTAATGGTAGATCAAACTCCGGGGTCAAGGTCAACGGGTCAAGGTTGTTGGTTTCTAAAGAAACGCCTTGCCACAAAGATTATATATGTCAAGTATGAAAGCCCTAGCCTTACCGTTCAAATGTTATGGCCAAGGTTAAAGATTTTAAAACTAGGTCAATCTCCAAACGTAAAAGTTGTTGGTATCTTATGGAAGGTCTTGTCACAAGGATTACATGTGAAGTATGAAAGTCCTACCTCTTACCATGTAAAAGTTATTGCCAAGTTTAAAGTTTTTTTTTAAGTTGGACAAACTCCGGGGTCAAGGTCAAAGGGTCAAGATTGTTGGTATCAAAGGAAAGGTCTTTTCAAGGATAACATATGTCAAGCATAAAAGCCTTAGCCTTTAACGTTCAAAAGTTATGGCCAAGGTTCATTTTTTTAAAGTAGGTCAATCTCCAAGGTCAAGTTCAAATTAGTTGGTATCCAATGAAAGGTCTTGTCACAAGGATTATATATCTTGAGTATAAAATCACTAGTCTTCACCGTTCAAAAGATATGGCCAAGGTTAAAGTTAGGAATTTTGGTGTAAAAGTGTGTCAAACTCCAAGGTCAAGGTCAAGAGGTCAAATTTGGTGGTATCCAAAGGAAGATCATATCATAAGGAATACACCTGTGAAATATGAAAGCCATAGTCCCACAAGTCAAAAGTTATTGTCAAAGTTAAAGATTTTGCGGAAAAACAGACAAACAGACAGGGCAAAAACCCCCGGAACTTCATTTATAGGGACAAAAAACAGTAAAATTGTATACAAGGATCATTACTGAATCGTTATAGCTTTTGAATGTAGGACACCAGCGTCAAGGATCAGAATATTGTGATGTCAATAATTTTCCGCACCATAAGAATTTGGCGTAACAAGCCATCGCACTTAGCGCACCACTTCTTATATATGAAACGAGCTACCCTGGTGTCCGTCCGGACATCAAACCATCTGGGTTTAGTACAGACCATCAGACTTTGACACGACTATTGGACTTTGAATCTGATATCTTTTACTAAATGTAGTCATCCACATGGTACAGTGCTTATCTAGATCGCGTTTGCAGTGGTTAGAGCGTTTGCTCCAAGAGTCGTGTTGCAGATAGTGCTGGCACGAAAAAGATCCCTCACTGCTTAATAGCCCTGAGTGCCGAGCATATGTCTAAATTGCAGACGTCCACCTGCAACTGGTGGCTTCTCGATCCATATGAGAAAATTTCTCGAGATGGACGTGAAACAAACAAACCAATAAAAGTAAGAAAACTATAAAATACATGTATATACGAAGTATATTCTCTGTTCTCTCTCTAGACTAATAAAATAAAAGTGCGAAGAGGCTAGAGTACTGTAATATTTAATCAAAATTGTCATAAATACATTTTCCAGTTATAATGGAGATACAGTTCCACAATCTGTTTTTAATCTGGCACGTGGCATTCTTCAGTTGCCCGTCGATGACGTAATGAAGAGTGATGTTCGATTGGTATTTCCCGAAGATGTTGATAAGTAGATCATCCTGTAAGTAATTTATTCCCATCACTCTCATCCTATTCACCGGCATCCACTTAGCCATCTCCCCCAAAAGGTAAACGTCGTGTCCGCTGAAATACAAATATCCAAGTTTTTCATGTTTTTAATTAAAAAATAAATAAAATATTCACAAAACAATCACTGTAGTGAGGATAGGATTAGCGAGGAACTTTCTAGTAATATTTCTGTGGTATTTTATGATATCCTTCATTGGAAATTACATTGTAAGTTACCTGTTCCAAATCTCAATTTTTTTCTTCGATACTTATCAAACTTTCGGCAAATACCGGGTCGTCATTCACTTATGGAATGCAGACAAAATGTAAATAAAGTCAGAAACACAATTCACAACGATTGTATTTTTTTGGGATCTAAAGCATATACGCTTGAATTGGTGTTATTTTCATTTTTTTAGCATATCATATAAAATTATATACGTATATTTCAGTTCAATTTCAAGTTCTTTGAAGTACCTGTGTGTTATTTTTGGAGGGAAATGATAAAGACAAAAATCAGTTTTAGTACAAGAGGGAAGGCGTAATCCATTATTGCTGTCAAACAGCTGGAAACTCCCAGGGTCCGTGTAGCTAAAGACGCCATAATCATTACCATCATCCTGAAATGAAGATTTAATAGGTTTATAGAGTACAACCTATTGTAATTAATGAAAATGCTTTGATTCATCACATGAATTACTTCTGATTTTCGACCTAAAAGGAATTTTGAAGTCTTCCATTCAAATCTCACGAAAAACTCTGATATACATTGATCTGAACCAACCATAAACTTTAAATCCTCCTTGAGAAGTTTGAGACCAATAGGTGTGTCCACTGCCAAGACCACGCCCCACGTCCAGTTTACATCGATAGCGGTACTGTTGACCCTGATTCTAGTGAACGACCACCAAACCTCCATGTCTACATCTGAAAAGGCTTTCTGAGAAGAACGTAAAAGATAGAGCTTCAATCTGAAGTAGGAACTACTAAGTACCAACCAAATACACACACAATCTCATTACAAAGAGTGGGAAAGACAAACGGTCACAAACCCTTTTGATTTGCAAGTCTGTGGCAGTGATGGGCCTGTCTGGTTTGTAGATATGTCCATATTCACCACAGCATCTGTAGACAAACGTTAAAACAATGGTAAGTGTTTTCAGAATGTTATTCAGAACAGAAATCTTATTTACAGTTACATGTATTTGCCACTGATTTGTCTTTATTGATGGACGAATATAACATGCCAAAAGCAAATACAGTAAAACACGCTTATAGCGAACAGGCTTATAAAATGAATTGATACTTCAACGAAGTTTTTTTCATTCCCACTGACTTTAAAATATATTATACACTAAACGAATTTAATGAAATACATCTGTAACGAACCAAAATCGTCAGACCCTTTTAGACTAAGCGTGTTTCACTGTTAATACGTTGTCAAATGCGAACTAATTATAGACAAAGAAGTATTTTTTAAAACGCCGATGTAGGGTATACCGCATCAAAAGGGAGGTATTGATAGCCCCCATTCTGTCGCTGGGTCCCACTGGCCCCATTGAGAGTGTGGACACCACAGCATTCAAAGCGCTGTTAGGCTCAATCTTTCCTGGGTTGACATAAGAAACAGTTGAGCAGGCAAGTGTATTCAGTACATGTATACATAAAATACAGTATGCTTGAAAAAATGTACGAATAAAATACATCGCAATTTTTATTTTAAAATTTCTAAATACATGTTTTAAATACAAGCAGACTCGTACATGGTACCTGATTCATCTCCGGGTTGGGATTTTGAGGTCCAGAAATTGTCCTTGAAAGGTCGCATTCCAAGAGCACCCACAAATAAAGACGTAATTCCAATCCTCCATTGCTCGCCTCCGGGGTGATAGTCTTGCGTAACCCTAACCTGACAAATAATCATTGTGCTCGTGATTTACTTCGCACAAGACGAATTCACAAAACGAAAAGTTCATCCTCACACATTAGCCGGCTACAATAATGTAGCCCTCTCCTTTTTTTTGGAGGGAACATATCAGATAAAAAAAAATCGGAGAGGGCTACATTATCGCAGGTACCACATACAATAACATATTTTTTAATAACAGAAACTACCCATTTCTTTTATTAAGATTATGGCAATACAAGAATATGAAGGAGGACATCTAAGATTAGAACCTGTGTAACCCAGGGAAGAGCTACAGCCTGCATCACGTGACGTGGGTTTGACATACAGTACTGGATCGAGTTGTACTGCTTGGCAGCCGCGTCATGCATCTGTGTCAGCCAACGTTCTCCAAGAAAGAGGTCCGTCTTTAACTTTTCAACTCTGTCCAGTTCTCCATTTAACCAGTCCTATAAAATGGAAAGTACTTCCGTTATTTCTACTTAGTAAATCAGCAATAGGGACGTTGTAAAACTGTGGGCATATTTAAACTATGGCATGCAATAAGGAATGACAAAGAGCCATACATTTTCAGAAAAAACGAGATATGTGCAAAAAGCCCACTTAGAGGTTTTACAAGTGACACACATGTATTGATTAAAGAATTCCATGACTTTTTTAAGAAGAGGTTGGGGTTCAATGGTATCTAGACCAACTCTCACATAATGAATATAATTTGAAGTTTAAAGACGTGCTTAATGTTTTTCAAACCCCGTAATCATAAATCTTGAACTCGATACATGGAACCGAGAAAAAAGATATTCAAGGATTCCTGATAATAATGTACAAATACTTTAAGAATATACTAGTTGCAACTTCAAATTAATTTGACATATATCCATTGTATTCGAGACATCAGGGTTCGAGATCCGAAATTCAACAGTACTTGTACCAATTTGATTGATTGATTGTATGTTGTTTAACATCCCTCTCGAGAATTTTTCACTCATATGGAGACGCGACCATTTGCCGATGGAGAGCTGTAAATTTTGTTCTATGCTCGGCACTCAGAGCCATTGAGCAGGGAGGAATGTTTTTCGTGCCAGCAACTACTGCGGGACCTCGGTTTATACGGTCTCATTCAAAGGGCTGGTATCCATCCCACAGTGGGATTCGAACCCACGACGTAAAGATCAACTCCTTTCTTCGCGACTCTAGAGCAGACGCTCTAACCACTGCGTCATGCAGGCGACACCAACTTAAAGTAAAATTTGATGTAATAGGTGGTTATAGGCTTACAGATCAATGCGAATCTTCAATGTCGATGGAAGATTTACAGTGCTTTTCATTATTAAGTCATTATATCTGTTCAATTTTTTTTTAAATTGTCTTACAATCGATTTTTTTAAAATCTATAACTAGTAAACTTTCACTTACCTGTTCATACAAGAACATTCCCCATTTTGAAGCATTAGTAAACAAGTCATCCCAAAATTCCTGAATTTAACAAAATTATACATGTACATTCATTTAACCATTTTTGTAGATAAGCAATCATGTTACTTTTTACTTTTGTTGTATTCTCAAAGCTTTTTTCTCTTGATTTGTACCAGAAAGATTTTGAAAAAGAAGTGTAAACACTCAAAACAAAAATCCTAGGTTGTAGTATGCAAATGTTAAGTGTTATCAATTCATTCTAAATTTATTTTTAATTCATATGGAAAAAATCTGCATGAGAGAAGTTTTCTTCTGTAATAAAAATATTTCTTTATATGCTCAGAAAACAAAGTTGGTTTGAGTTGAGTTATAGCGACTGATGCATAATAGAATGTTTAATGCTATAATTACCTGCTGTAGAGGAAGAGCACCGAGATCCTCTATGAGGAAATCATATTTCCCGCCATTTTGCTTTGCGTAAGAGTTGTCAATAGACCTTAAATCAAAACCTTTTAATCATTTGTCAATGTATGTGGAAAAAAGTAATATGCTCCTGTATACTAGTATTTGTTTTCTTGAAAAATATGTGTGTATTATTCTGGTAGATGCAATAAGTATAACTTACCAATATTTACTATGTAACGCCACCGGCATATTAGTAGTTTTAAACATGTATCTGAAATTAAAGTTTCGTTGTCTTCACTATGGGGCATTTTTGAATTAGAATTCAGATTTTCCAGATCTAAATAATGTTTTCGTCTGTGTTGAAAACCCTACACAGAGATCTGATAATTATTCTATAAATTAATTAAGTAACCCATCAATTACTCGAGTCCATCTGGAAAGATGTCTGGTCTCGGTTGCCATGTTTTTACGCCATTTCCGGCTCCTGTATAGTACCACCAAGAATCATACTGGATGTATCTACAGCAAAATGAGAATTTCTTAGCTATACTTACTAGACGTTCGATATAAATACGTGGCCTAAGAAAAGAAATAGGGATGAATTTTTCAGATAAATCTATGATTTCAAAGATGAGACTGTCATATACCCCATATTCAATCCCGCAACATTGATTTCTTGGTTAATGACCTCTGTCATAGTCTGCTCATATGTTTTGTTTGGTTCTGTTTTAAAGTAGTAGTACCCTCCTTCAAAAGAAAAGAGCCTAAATTTCATTTTAAATGTTTGTTACCAAGTGAGCAAAGTAATTAGACGCCTTAAGTAAAAAGTCCCAAACCATTGTCTGACCAGTATCCCAGAAAAATAATGGTATCGTCTTGCCAAGTATACCATTCCTTCTCCCCGTATTGTCTCTGGAGGAATTCGCCCCATCCGTCAAAAGCCTATCAAATATTAAATAAATAGCTTAATACTAGTACCTATTGTCTTGTAAAATATGGAACTTTTATGAATGCGTTTTCTTACAGCATGTTCAACGAGGACAATTTGCTGTTGACCTTATTTATTCCGTTGGCGTAATAGATGATAGTGCTGTACGTGAAATTCTCAGAAACTTCATCGACACCTCCCATTATACCCCAGAATATGTTGCCACCTGTTTCAGAATCATGCCAAGCGGATGCCGCCATGAATCTTGAGAATGGAGAGATCAGAAATGTTCTCCCTTGTTCGTCAAACACCGCCAGAGGGCCTCCTCGTAGTCCATCCCCAATGGCGTCTGTCTGTAGGTTCCATCTATAAAACAATTGTCAAAGACACATAAACCTTTGTGAATAATTGCATTTTGAAGCATTCTGTATATTGAACACCGGGGTGGAAGTGTTAAAACTGTTATGCACAAAACTGTGCCAACTTAATGAACAACCTGGTGAATGCCACAACATATCCCTTAAATAGCACGAAGTTTGAGTTTGGCTTACAATTTGAACAAATCCGAAGTCACCGCGTTTTGCGGACGTTTGCATCCAAGTTTAACCACTTCTGACCACTTTTTCTTGAAATTGTGCTTTCACAGACTCAGCATCCCGCTATGATTTCGGAAACCGAACTTAGTCGAAACTCAGCAACCTTTATGATCTCGGAAACCTAAATTAGTCGAGACTCAACATCTCTCTATGATCTTGGAAACCTAAATTAGTCGAGACTCAACATCCCTCTATAATCTAGCAAACCTAAATTAGTCGAAAGTTAATATCCCTCTATGATCTCGCAAACCTAAATTAGTCGAGATCGACTCAACATCTCTCTATGATCTCGCAGTCCAAAATAAGTCGAGATTCAATATCCCTCTATGATCTCAGAAACCTAAATAAGTCGAAACTCAGCATCCTTCTGTGTATTTGGAAACCTAAGTTAGTCGAAACTCAGCATCTCGCTATAGTCTCGGAAACCTAAGTTAGTCGATATCTGCAATATATTTTAGTACTGAGTACCATTTTTATAACCTACCGTCCTATGTGCTTTTTTGTGTCTCCTGCCATAAAACCATCAAATGATAGGTAGCCTAAATCTGTGTCATAGCTGTCCACCCTAAAGCTAGGGAAACCAGAAATTGTTTTGTCGTATGAGTCCGAATTTGTTCCTTTGGCATCGTTATGATATGTCTGGAATTTTAGAATTAAAGGAATAATAAATATACAGTTTTTTTCAATGGGTGGAACTGTAGCTCTCCGGTCTGTCAATATATTTTTTTCGGAGAGCTACAGTTCTGCAGCTAGTAATATTTTTTTGCCCCCGTCAACGAAGTTTCGGGGATATATAGTTTTTGTCGTGTCCGTCCGTCTGTCTGTCTGTCTCTCTCTTTGTCTGTTTGTCCGCAAAAACTTTAACCTTGCCCATAACTTTTATTTAGTGGAGCTATGTCTATCATATTTCACATGCTTACACCTTGTGACAAGACCTTTCTTTGGGTACCATCAAATTTGACCTTGACCTTGGAGTTTGACCCACTTTTACACAAAAATTCCAAACTTTTACTTTGGTCATATCTTTTGAACAGTAGATACAAGGACATTTATAAACTTCACATTATACTGTATTCTTTGTGGAAAGACTTTTCATTGGATACCAACAACCTTTACCTTTTGACCTTGACCTTGGAGATTTCCGTACTTATGAAAAAACTTTGACCTTGGCCATAACTTTTGAACTCTAAAGGATAAGGCTTTCATACTTCACATATGTAATCCTTGTGAGAAGACCCTTCATTGAATACCAAGAACTTTGACCCTTTGACCTTGGGGTTTGACCTACTTTGAAAAACAAACCTTGACCATAACTTTTAAAGGGTTGGGGCTAGTGCTTTCATACTTTTCATATTTAATCCTTGTGACATGACATTTGATGGCAAGACCTTTGACACTTTGACCTTGAAGTTTGACCTACTTTTAAAAGTTTTAAGCTTGGCCATAACTTTTGAATAGTAAGGGCTAGGGCTTCCATACTTCACATATGTATTTTTTGTGGCAAGAACTTGCATGGGTACTTATTACCTTGATCTTTCGACCTTGACCTCAGATATATTTACATACTATGATTTAAGAAAAGTTTAGTCTTCGCCATGTTGCCATACGGGGGCGTCAGTGTTTCACAAACACATCTTGCTTTTTATATATAATGATCAATAACACCAATATGCATATGCAGTAGGTTTTCAGATAATGGCAGGTCCTGGAGTCAGTCAGTATTTGCACATGTGTGGTTTTCTAGATCTATAAAAGTTTATTTAAAAAAAAAAATATTTTAAAGATGTATTTTTTATCATAAAAGGAAGACAATCCCTTTACCTGTGTGAAAATAACAGCATCACAATCATCATAAATTGTAAATGACGTTGAAATGTTCGCTTTCCCAGCCAGATAGAAGTTCTTTATAATAGAATATTTTCCATGCTGGTCGCTTCCACTGTAAATTTGTCGATTCATGAATTTCAGGCTCTGGTCTTTCAGAGAGTATGTAGTTTTGTCCACTTTGAAGAATACATCAGATGACTTCAGAAAAGTGCTGTTCCCGACTCCAAAGGTGTAACTTCCATCGGGCAGATAAAGGTCCATATCAAAAGATATGGAGGAGGTAGTTTTCAAGTGAATAGCTGGATATCAAAAAAAAAAAAAGTAGAAGAAGAAGAAAGAAAAGAACAAAAAAGAAACAGAGAGATCAAGTCTGTTCCAATAACTCTTTGAAAGATAGCACTATATATCAGTATATAAGCAGTGCATTGGAGGCATACGCGTACGTGTAAGAGGAATTTAAGTCTTAAAAAGACAATGTATTAGTAAAAAACAGAGAAACTTCAAGGAAGCTCTAAACACTATCAAAAAGTGGTGTTTGGACTTGGAAAAAATTTATCATATGAAGTTGTACAAACTGAGGCTATTAACTTAAGTTCATTTTCAACATAGGGTATAGGGTACCTGCCTTATTTCGGCAAGTAAAAATGTTCAAAGACAATTAATGAACTATTCATGTTCACAGAAATCACCGTCGCTTACTTTTACTTGCGTTGTTTTTTTTTTCTATCTTACTTCTAAGGGCAGCTAGATCACTTTAACTGCTTACAGCCTATCCTAGAAGTAGAATTCTTTAGTGCGCAGTGTTTATAGCTTCCTAGATCTATTCTTCTGGTGTATCTCATTGAAAAAATATAAAACTAGTACAATGTACATGTAAGTAAACAATACGTGCAATGCTAAAGACGTGTAAAATTAAATAAAATATTTAGTGGAACACAGATTGAACAGACAGGGACTAAGGGGAGGCGGAAGGGGAGGGAATTCCCCCTCTTTTTTGCAAACATTAATATTTACTGAAAATGTTCACTGAAAGGTCAGTTGCCCCCCCCCCCTTTTTTTGTTGAATGGTAATGTAGTACGTAGTTTAAGAAAAAACTGGAACTGAGAGAAGTTTGACCCCCTCCATCACTACCCACCACCCCCATCCCCGCCTTCCAAATAGGATTTTAGAGTTTGAACAAAGTTCCCTACTTTTTTGTGCTTGTTATGTTTGGTCAGTTTTTCTTCCTTTAAGCCCCCCCCCCCCTTTCAAAAGTGATACGACGTCTCTGAAATAAGGAAAAAATATGTGGAGGTAAGATATGCTGTTACCTTGCATAAGAAATACAAAACTGTGAATGCACATTTCCATAATATTCCGATGGCTTGTAAACTTATCTTATCCAAAACGACCATCCAAAAAGAATGGTGCTATCTGACACTGATAACACGATCTAACGGCACATTCACTTGTCATCACCGTATAAATATGTATGCAAACAGATTCTTTTTTTAAAAAATATCTTTCAAACAACGATATATGCATCGTCTATATGGATAGTACTACATTTACTACAAAAAATTACTTCATTTGGAAAGAAAGAAAATATCACGACTGACCGGAAAATCTTCTCTTACTAAGACCAGTTTCATATATTATGTGGCGGTAGTGATTTCCTGCGATAATTTTGACGATGTGATACTATCGAAGGAGGACGAACAAAATAAGATGACATTATATAAAAAGTCTTCAAGCCAAAGACATACCTGACAAGTAACGTACATAAAAAGTAACACATTATTTTTCTTGTAAATTTAAATATGGATCTTTATTACTTGACCGATAAATGATATGATTTTCTAATTAGATGTTTAAGGAATCACTGTCTAGTTAGGAGAGTATGCCAGGGCATCAACAATAGTGGGAAAATGGGATAATTTGCATAACGGGCGTTGGTCAGCATGGTCAGGACACAGAATTCTGTGTGTTAAAATAACAGAGGACGTTGAATTGCTAAGAAGTTGGATGGTAATGACTAAGGGACGATTAATCTCAGCGAGATTAAGGGACGATGTCTGTATATCGGATCTAATTATCACAATGCCGATTTCTCCATGGTTGAGATGGGCTGTTTACCATGTTTACAGAAGTGATGTTCTTGGTCTCGCGAGGCCTCTGTGATAATGGACAGCGTTGCGCTACAATCGCATCATCTCAGGTCTTTCCGTCAGAGGTCGGAAAAACAACCTTGAATGTATTAACATCACCGGATGTTAAAAATTTGTACATTTCCTGTTTATTCAAATATAGGATAGACTGAGTTAGAAGCCCCTTCTATAGTTTAGGTAATATCATTACATTGAATAACGTTTAACTCCATATTCCACAGATAAAAGGTCTCCATGCATTTATTTCAAAGATTGTGAAAAGGGAGGGTTGTATGCCCGTTATGCATAAATTATCCCACGTTTCCCACTATTGTTGATGTCCCTGGCATACTATACTAACTAGACAGTGATTCCTTATATTTCCATTTCATTGTGAAATAAAATTGTAGATTTGGACTTTAAAAATGCAGACAAAGATTTAAATTACACGAGGATTCCCATCCGAATTTCAATAGTCCTCGCCCATGCACTGACGTCAAACTTAAGGGCAGCCGCACGAGATTTCCATGCATATTTGGCCCCCTTAGCATCAGACTCAAAGACAGGTGCGCACGAGATTTGCATGCATATTAGGCCTCCTTAGCTCCTGACCTATTGGCCTGCCTAATTTACATTCTGGTAGAAATATCAAGAAATTAACTCCGCTAACTTTCAAAGACTTATCACAGAGAGAAAAATTAGAAATGGAAATATTTACGTATATACTCCACAGTAACTTGCAATTTTGTCATATATGGGATCACCTCCTCCTTTTTTGTATCACAGGCTACCGAACTTAATTTTTGACACCAGCACTTCCAACTACTTTATTATTATTATTATTTTTTCAATTAATACCTACTTTACTTATGGTAATTAAACAAAGTTCTCTTTGTGACACTCACCAGTTTTTGTGTTGAAAACTCATTTGAAGAATTAGTGTTTTATGCCCAAAAAATGGGCATTACATTAGCTGCAGATCTGTAGCGTTAAGGTTTTATATATTTGTCTTTGACCATAACGCTACAGATCCCGTAGTGCAAAAAAAGTGCAATTTATGGCGCAATATTTTTTGCGCTCTTTTGGGGAGAATTTCTCCACTTTCTAGCTTTGGTCAATCAACTACCTTTCACTCCCTAATTCTAGACACATTCTGTAGCCAATATGTATAGTTTATCCACCTCCCAACCATTTATAGTTGTCTCTATAGGCAATAAACTCGCTGGATATGAATTTTCAGTAATCTAACAAATAATTTTAATCAAGCGAGTTTATCACTTGTAGAGACGACTAAAAAGGGTTAGGAGATGGATAAAATATACAGATTAATTAAATAATGTGTCTAGAATTAGGGGTTGAAAGGTAGTTGATTGAACGATGCTGGAAAGTGGAGAAATTCTCCCCAAAAGAGCGCAAAAAATATTGCTCCGTAAATTGCACCTTTTTTGCACTACGGGATCTGTAGCGTTATGGTCAAAGACAAATATATAAAACCATAACGCTACAGATCTGCAGCTAGCATTACATGTGTGGCGGTCATCCGGGTTGAATCGTTGGTGGCTAGATAGCTCAGCTGGTAGAGCACCTGACCGGAGATTTAGGGGGCCTGTGTTCGAATTCTGGTCTGGTCCGCTGCATTAATTTTCTCCTCTCCCATTACAAATGCATTTTTGACGAGGCATTTATGTACTTAAGAATTACATGCTTATTATGCCACTGCAATAATACATGACTAGTGTGTAATCCTTGTGGCAATGGACAAATAAAAAAAGATATATATGAAGAAAAGAATGTCAACAATATTGGAAATCACTTTGCTCAACATACATGTATATTGGATTGGATATTTCCCACTTCATATGTCCAAATATCATTTCAGGGAAAGGGGGTGTCAAAGTGTGCTGCCATGTGCACCATTGATATACATATACCAAATACAGCTGTACAGCTTATCCCCCCCCCCACCATTGAAAAGTGGGAGGGTATATTGTGATCGTGTTGTCCATCTGTCTGTATGTCTGTTTGGCGTACCCATCTCTTACTGGCAGCTTCTCTTAATTATCACTGAATGAAATTTAATGAAACTTTCACAGAATATTTGTTACATAGCGCCATATTGTGACCACCTATTTACTTTTTGATTGGATACATATTTCGGGATTCCCACAGCATAGACACTGCCATTTTTTCTATTATAATATTGAAGGGTATCCATCTGTTACCTTGGTATCTGCAACTCTTCCTACACCACTGAATAAAATTTAATGATACTTCCAAAGATTTTTTTATAACATAATGCCATTGTGCACTTCCTATTTTCCTTTTTGATCTGACATTTAATTCAGGTCTCCCAGACACAGGCACATATTTCGGAAATAAATCTTTAATTTTAATGTTGGATTAAAAATTTATCTATTTATGAAACAAGTGCCTGTGCTCCCAGAGCAAAACATGAACTTTGTGATTAAAATCATTTGGGAGGCAGGGAGTATCATTTAGCGAGCGCTTTGCTCACAACTTTCAAACACTGAAAATAAAAACAATAGAAATGCTAGTATCTAAAATGATAACTTTTTTTCTTTTTGGACAGACTATGTACCAGGAATGTTCACCTTCACCCTGAGGAAGCTTCTTTACCTCTACTGCTGTGTCTCCGCCTTCATCATCTTCTGGCTTCTCAATTACCATGGTAACACTATTCTCATGCTAAATATAAATGTCTAGATTATAAATACTCATATTAAAGTTAGTTACAAATAAAATAAATGTGATTTTTTAAAAAAATCTTTGTAACCAATGAACTATTGTAGTTACTGATAAAGGAGAGGATGATGTTTTAGAGGAAAGACTTGAAGTCCTGCAAAAAAGACTGGATAATAAACAGAAGTTACTGGAAGAATCAAAGCAGAAAGTCAAAGACTATGAAGAGAAGCTATATAAATGTAGAATGCTTAAGCCATTTCAGAAATCATTCAACACATCTCTCCCTATAATTTATTTAATCACACCTACATATGACAGAATTGAACAAAAGGCAGAACTAACACGTCTGTATTACACCTTGCTTCATGTGCCTAATATACACTGGATATTAGTGGAGGACTCTGAGAGAAAAACTGACAAAGTTCAACATTTTTTGGCAAACTGTAAAATACCTTACACTCATCTTAATGTTGCCACCCCACAGCAATTAAAGCTGAAGAGTTCTGACCCCAACTGGCTGAAGCCCAGAGGAGTCCTACAGAGAAATGCGGGACTGACGTGGATACGGGGGTCCCTTGATCCAAACAAGGACAAGGGAGTCGTGTATTTTGCTGATGATGACAACACATACAGTTTAGAACTTTTTGAGGAGGTAAATGTTCTTACATACAATACTGTACTTATATTTGGTATATATGCCATAGAATACTATATGTTTGGATTATGCCATCTTCCATGAAGATACAGTAAAACTAAATACGTGAATAGCAAAGTGCCAGAGATGAATATAATGATTGCCTATAACTTTAAATCATTATATCTGTTAAGTTCACAATATTTTTCATGGCCAATGAAAATGACTTTGCTATAAATGTGAATTCATATTAAGCATGTTTGCCATAACCATGTTCTACTATACTTGTTTATCTGCTATAAGTGTAACAGTTTCACCAGATAATTTTGTGAACTGATTTTGTTGTTTATGGAGACAGAAACATTTAAGTACGATACTTTGAAAATGTGAAAAAATTGAATGTTGTGAGTTTTAGGTTACTTTTGAGAAGCTGAGAACAAATTATAAACCTGTAACAGGTTTATAAATGATACTATTTTATTGTTAACTTGCTTCAATCTGCCAATTTAATATTTGCAGAAATTACAGTCATTATTAATCATGTATTTCAGATGCGTCTCACTAGGAAAGTTTCTGTGTGGCCTGTGGCAATGGTAGGGGGGTTGAGATTTGAGAGTCCAATCTGTGATAAAAATTCAGTGAGTGTACAAAACTTCAGCCTAATAATATTAAACAATTCTTACTCTAACTTCTCTCAAGGATATTTGAATGTTTACAATTTTGCCAAGATCTACTTTGTAAACATACTGCAGTAAGCATGACCTTATATTGTGGCCACATAAATGATGTCCATTTATCTTATACCTAACAGGTAACTGGCTGGGGAGTGTACTACAGACCAACAAGGCCATTTCCTATTGATATGGCCGGCTTTGCTGTAAATCTCCAGCTGTTCTTTGATCACCCCAATGCTTGGTTTAGTAATAATGTACAGCGAGGCTACCAAGAATCCACCATTCTCAAACTGCTAGATGTTACAATGGCTGACTTAGAACCCAGAGCAGACAAATGCACCAAGGTATGGGTTGCTTTGAACACAATTATTTAGTAAATGCCAGCTAAAATTTTGTTTCGTATACATTGTTGTTTGATGTCCCTCTCAAAAAATTTTTCACTCATATGGAGACCCCACCACTTGGCGATGGAAAGCTGCAAATTTATACCTATATACGGCACTCAGAGCCATTGAGCATCAAGGGATCCTTTTCGTGCCAGCACCTACTGCAACACAGAATTTTGATCAGTTTATATGGTTTCATCTGATCAATTTCATGGTCTGCACATCTCATATTGAAAGTAAGAGGGATTGTCAAAAATTTCATGGATTGATGTATGAAATTAAAATTATGTATGATGTGCCAAGGAAATATAAATGAAACACAAAACAACAAAATGCTAAGAAGTTTTACAAATTTTGGCTTGACATGTTGATAATTCAGCAACTTCTCATTCAAAACAGACCTGATATCCTTGACAGGCACTGTCACCATTAAGGCTAACAATGTTCCGACTTCGACTTCATTGATTCTTAGTGTACTCTCCCTGTATCTCAATATGCTCTCTCTTGATGAGATCCCTGGTGTTAATATTGACTGAAACTTTTCTCATTTATTGACTTTAAAAATGACTTTAAAATTTCATCAACAGCTGATTTTAGAGTGCAATACTGTAAATGATTCTAAACCAAAAATAGAGATTGATCTAGACCACAAAACGCTTTAATATTAAATGTGTCTTCTCTCGCAATCTTTTGTGCAATTTTTAAAACAAATTACCAGTACTGGTAATCTGGAATTATTTTTGTTTCTCTCATGCATTTTCATATATATATATATCACATAACATAAACATTTGATACGTCTTTGAATTATTTGCAGATTTTAGTTTGGCATACACGAACAGAAAAATATAACCCCAAAAATGAAGCTAAATGGAAACAGAAAACTGGGAGAGGAACAGATCCAAATGTAGAAATATAGGAAGATCACAAGATGTCTGACAAAGAAACTGTTTTAATAAATTCTTTTTATATCTCTGTATTTAATGGTGCCATGTTATTTTGAAAGTTTGCATGTTTATGCATGCATTTTAGAAGTAGGCTCAACATATGGTGATGAGATATTTCAGAGTACAATTGTTGATATTTTGTTTATAACTGTTTATGACAGAGAGCTAGTGTGAGTTATAGTGATATGATTGGATAACCCAGAATACATGCCTGTAAGGAGTTGGGGAACACATTTTGCTAGCTTTAACACATACATATACACACATGCACAGCCCTGTCACCATTTGTCAGATTTTTTTCCCAGGGACCTGAGATGATGTACATATCTTTTCATATCTATAGCAATGACCTCAATGAATTATGCATTCCCTGATAGGAATTATATTCATGTAACTGTCTGTATAAATATTACTTATGGTGCAAGATCATTTCACTTGAGGGTGTTAACTACAACAAGGCGTGCAATCTATCATGTATTAAACAAGAACTCTCAAGTTTGATCCATTCATATTTATTTTGACACAGGTTTGATCATTTCTTCAGTACATTTACATATATGTGCATGTTAAACCTAATACTTGAAAGACTTTTAAAGAACAGTGTTTTGTAATTTAAATTAAACATTTTCACCATCAATGCTAAGAAATTCTGTTAAATCATCATGCAGGTTCATGTAGATGTATTTTGTCTTAACTAAAAGCATTTCTGCTTCTTACAATTAACTGTCAAGAATTCTTTTTTGATGTAAGGGTTTATTACTTGTACACAAGTTGTTACAGTAACATTAAAAGATGAAATATGACTAATCTGTTTTTATGTTTTCTCTCAAAATTAATGTTAGAAAAAAAATCAACAACTGACCATATGAGGTTTAAAATGAAAACTCGTGTAAAAGAAAAACACAAATGTATAATTCTATCCCCAAGGATTGAGTATATAAAAATCATATCCACAGGAGATCCCATATATAACTTGTGCTGCTATACTGTTGTAAATTTACATTTTAATTAACCCCTTCCATGGCATATACGCATTTCTACGCATCTGTCTTTAAATACCAGTACAGTGTGAACATACATTCATAACTTTGTTGATACTGCAAATATCAGAAAAATTCTTGCACAGTTAGAAAGAAAAAATAAGTATGATAAAATACTATACAGAAATTTTTTTTATTGGTTGTTCCAGTATTTTGCTAGCTTGAGTTAAACTTTGTGCACTATTCAAGCGATATTGCCATTATCGAAATCAATACGGTGGTAAACATAATGAGTAAGAATGCTAAATTCTGGTGATTACCTCCAAACCCCACCCCCATTTTTCTAAAATACTTTAAATTAGATTTTTAAAAAAATGTACAACACACTCATAATTTTCAACACAAAAATAAAATATTTTAAATATATCTAACTAAGCAAAAAAACAACAATGAAACTCATTCTTGAAAAACGGAAATTCTAGCATGATCATTGTGTATTCCGTTGCCATGGCAACTGAAATTATATTTTTATAACCATTTTCAGAAAGTACACAATACCTGCTTTCAGAACATACATGTATATACATTGGTATATACAAAAATTACAAGAAATACCCGAAAAAATGCATTGAAATCCTAATATCAATTTGTCTAGATCGAAATGCTTAAAATCTTTGCCATAGAAGGGGTTAAACTGTTGAATGTTTATTGTAATAGGGAGCTAAAAGCATAAAATTGTAACAAAATTTATTTCAAATTCCATATACTATAGGTACAAATGACACAGTATTCTTGCATCATATAATATCCATGTAGTTTTTCAGTACTATAATGTTATAAATCAATTCAGTGGATGAAACTCAAAATTTTGAATGTTAATTTACAGTTTAAGTACAAGAATTTAACAAAGTTGAATGAGAAAAAAATCTATGGATCTATGGCCTTATAAACAAAAATACACACCCAGTATTTAATAACTTTGTACGTAAAAATTAATCAACAATCTATCAAACATCAATGTCTATTATATACATTCAAGCAAGATACCCTGTTTAAAAATAATCCGAATAAAGACAGCTCCAGTATTTAATTGTTGTAGACTTGGAACACTTCTGGATGATGCACATTTTCTCTACTGCAGATGGTGGTATACATATTTTAATATAGATACAGCAATGCATGCCACATGTGCAGCATTAAATGAATTCAATGGTATAAAAATGATTTTTACAAATGTACAACATGTTATATATATTTAGTTCCAGATAGATTTTCATCCAATGAATGCAGTTCAGAATTTAATTATGCAACTACAAGCTCACATCCAGCATCAATATCTGAGCAAATAATTAAAAAATATTCACAAAGACTGACACAGCATGACTTTAAATATATGATCTGCAAAAAGACAGTTCCCTGCACTATTATTTGAAATATAACAAACAAAACATTCATAAATTTAAAATTCTTCGAAATATCTCACACCTAAAGTTTCTTAACAATAAATAAAATAAATATTTTGATAAAAGTACAAAACAAAACAAAAATATATCACATTTACCATACATGTAATTTTAAATCATTTTTCACTCACACATTCTGAAATATTGCAAATCCATTCTCTCATACACAACAATACTGAAAAAGTCTTTTGACACATACATTAGTTGCGTCGGTTATGTATATGAAACGCCCCATCTCTCTCACTTCGTCCTGAAGCACCCCTGGGGTCATATTCCCGCACAATGGGTTCTTGGATTGCTTGCTGTAAGGCTATAGGGGTCAACCATTCTTTGGGTAAAGCACGCTCAAGAAAAGGAATACATGTGCTCACATATGCCAGTCTATTTACCCAGCTAGGCGGGCTCTTCCCACACAATATCTACAAAGAAAAATGAGCAGAAAAAAATTGTATATTCTAAAGTATAAATACTTTTATATGCATGCATGGCTGGGGAGTGGGGAGAGTGTGCTTTTTTGTCTGGTAATGCTGATCTTAGATTGATCAAATACAAGCTAGAACTATACTCACCGTCAATAGAAACGCAACACCCTAAGTTTAGGATGAAAATTATATACAGGCTATAACTATGTACCAAAAAAGTTAGGATATCTTTTACTTTGCCAAATCAGTTATTTAACGGTTGAATGAATTTCTTTCCATTACCGGTAGTTGCTTTTTAGCCCTCTTAACAGAATTCAAAATTTTCCATTTTTAATAAAATTTTAACAATATTTTGGGTTTCCAAGGTTTTGAAACTGTTAGTCATAAGTATTGTTCTAAAAGGCCGGGAAAAAATTCTTCTTTCTTTACCGGATGTGATGCCTATATTTCCTCAAAATGACTGATTTTCATTGCTAATGCTGGAAACTCTCAAAATAAAGAAAAAAAGAGCTGCAGATGCAAATATACACTATATAACGACCTATCAGGTTCATGTGTTTCGATAGCATAAATGGCAGTTTCTTGACCGGAAGTCAAAAAGTTGCTACACTACGCCAGGTTAGAGAAAATTCGACCGCAATATCTGAAAAACGTATTTAAAAATGCCCAAGAATATATATTTCGCTCAGATTAAGACATTAATAAACTTAATGAATAGTAGAAATCGGGCTGCATTTGTTGTTTATGGCGGACTAGTACGTTTTCATTAAATGGTCGGAAGGGGGGATGTTTTAAGATTTAACGGGTATTTGTTTAGTTCTAAGGTCTCAAAATAACATTTAATGTTTAAATGGAGCATTATTTTTTTGTTAATTTACTTTTTACCTAAATATATTCATTTTTAATGTTATCATTAAACTTTAGAAGGTAACACATAACTCTTAAAACATCCCCCCTTCTTGCTATCAGTCATTTTGAGGAGAAATAGGCATCACATCCGGTAAAGAAAGAAGAATTTTTTCCCGGCCTTTTAGTACAATACTTATGACTAACAGTTTCAGAACCTTGGAAACCCAAAATATTGTTAAAATTTTATTGAAAATGGAAAATTTTGAATTCTGTTAAGAGGGCTAAAAAGCAACTTCCGGTAATGGAAAGAAATTCATTAAACCGTTAAATAACTGATTTGGCAAAGTAAAAGATTTCCTAACTTTTTTGGTACATACGAGGGTTGTTAGAAAAGTCGCAGACACATTGAATTACGGAAAATCTATTGTGTACTGTGAAGTATGACCTATGTCTGATTAAATTCCTACATTTTGTTTATTGGTATGAAAAAAAATTAAGTCCATATAATGAAATCTTGAAAATTTACAACGATTTTTACTATGAGGTCATGGGATTCAAGGAGCAATCACTTGACGTAAGGCGACGTGACAACCAGATTTCAACCCGTTTAGCTTTGTCGCAGTTCTATAAATCTTTAATTTCTTCAGATTTTTCTTATCTTTTTTCTACTTTAAAATTACCTATATTAAGACATGTTACTTTTCTACTATAATGTCTTTTGTACTGATTCGGATATTATTGAGATCTTTAAAAAAAGTCTATGCAGTTAATCGATCAGGTATTGAAACTATGCAAAACCATATAGGCGCAACGCAACGTCCATGCGCTAAGGGGGTATTGAAGTATCGATGGAGTTAATCATTTAAAATGTTAATCCTTCCATTCTTATGAAGCTACAACCATTTGAAAACTTGTCCTTTGTATGTGTAGGAAATTCCCGGCAGTATCTTGAACATTTTAATCTATTTTTAGACATTTTCCTGTCTGCACACATAATTTTTACGTTGTGCAGTGCTCCATGACGCTCAGTGACGTTCCGATTTTTGGCTGTGTTTTTACGCGTTGTCATTCATAAACGGCTATAAAACAGTCATATACCATCCAATTTAGTTCAAAATTTCTCCCAGTGACGTTCTATAAATACTTTAGCGACAAGTAAAATATCATAAATCTCTTTGCGCTACAATTGTGCAATTTTTAATTTTAGTAAAGAGTCTTTGTGATGTAAACGTGCCAAAATGTAGCATGCTCCGTGAAGCAAGTTTTATCAAAATAAAAAAGCTGCATATATTTCAAAAATCACCGGAGAGCACAAAATTCTTGTATATTTATTGGAAAAAGGGTTAATATTTTATCTGGAAAGTTGAACAGTTTCATGGAAATAGCGCGTTCACAATAGAACTTGTCCGCGAACTTTTCTAACACCCCTCGTAGTTATAACCTGTATATAATTTTCATCCTAAAATTAGGGTGTTGCGTTTCTATTGACGGTGAGTATATATTTTTGTTAATTTTTCTTCAAAACACACAGGATTGTCATCATTTATATTAGTTCAAAACATGCAGTAAATGAATGCTGATTTTTTTTTTGTCTAAGTACATCCAAAGGTTCTATGATTTTAAATGAAAAATATTAGTGGGAAAGGTAAATTGTAAGTACAGGTACAGATACATTGTGTATGACTAGCTTCATTTAAGGAATGAATTTATAGCTTACCATTTTATACAGCATAAACTGGGTTGGGGCAGTTTATGCTTTATAAACCGCGAAATTGTGTGGGAGCTATGAGTATCTGGTGATGTTTTAAAGCCTGATTTCAACAGATAAAATTTTCTAACCCCCATTCAAGCTATATAAAGTAGGGACTAAGGAAAATTAATATTTTGACATCCCTAATGTAAAGCATGTAAACAGGAGAACAATCTTTTTAAAAGTCTCCTTCTCCAGAACATCAAAGTTATGTTTTTCAAATTGTGATTATTGCACAGTTGTGGACAGGTTGCACTTGTGTGTAGCTGGAACCTTTCAATCATTGTCTGTACCTGTGTTAGTGAGGCAGTAAAGTGATTACAGTTCTTGTTTAGCAGGTGGTACTGATCCCCCTTAAAATCTTTTCCCAGCTGATCCACAATTTTCCTCACATCATCTGGGGTGAAGTCTGTTGTCCCAATTCTTATTGACTCTCTGTTAAAGAACAAATCTTTTAATTTATACAAAGTTTTATTCACATGAAGTGAATGGGATCGGGCAGCAGGTAAAGCCTGTTAATATTTTGTTGAAGGGAGGCAAATTTTGTTTTTCCATGTCATTCTCTATTAAAGGAATATTTATTTTTCCCTTTTTCTTTTTCAAAAGGTCTTCAGTGTCATAAAAGATTTAACTCCAGATACCGGTATTATTTTGAAGATCTATATTTTTACCCTATGATTAGACATAAATAATACACTGTACTTGAATTTGAATTGCTCCCCCAAGTCCTCTGCATCTTTTGGCATAATCTCAAACACTCCCGTCACGGGGAATGGGTGGCCACCATACGCATACTCTGTCAAATATTAGATAACAAAGGTTAAGATTTTTGTAACAGACGGACAGACTAACAAATGAATGAAAGATGTCCCCTCACTGCAAAATTGTACAATAACTGATCCTCATTCTATGAAAACAAGCTGGTCAACAGACTTATAAATGCCTAAACTGATAGGCCTGAATTTACCTAGCAGGAGTGATAGCTACTTAATGTACTTACCTATTCCATAAACCTGTACCCCTGAGTGAAAAACTCCAAATCCCAGGTTTGATGTGTACTCATTGATCCAGTACTATGGAAGAAATATCAAAGCATTAGTAGGAAAAAAGGTGTATTTGAAAGTAGCCATTACCTCAGTATTGTATGGTTGTGGAAAAGTACATCTTACTTCCATTTAAGGACAATGACTTGACTTGGAGTCATGACTATAACCTTCCATTAAAAAACCTTAATCGTTGAATTGTACAACTAGACTTTGTGATCATAATAATTTTTTTTAGTTTCTTTGAGATAATCATGCAGTCATACTTTCTGCAACATCATCTATGGACAAAATTTTAAGTGGAACAATTATAACAATATTTCATAAGAGACTGACAGTTGGACTTATTGAAGCTGCTTTTTGGTATTGTTTGAACATGTGAAAGCAATTAAGTACATTTCAAAGAAAAATGTACAAGAAGAAACATTACTAAATGTTCCTAGATGCATCATCCATGCAAGTGTGGTCCTAGTAGGGCTTATAATTACTTGGGAATGGACCTGCTCCAAATACTTAAACCTGATCACTTGTCTGGAAAATGTAGGTCAGATTGAGTCTGGTAGTGTCCATCCCTAGATGCATCATCCATGCAAGTTTGGTCCAGGTAGGGCTTATAGTTACTTGGGAATGGACTTGCTCCTAAAAATTTTACCTGGGACACTGACTCTAACACTGATGTCAATTGCCAGGGGTATAGCATAAGCTCATCTTGACTTCATCAAGGTGAGTTAAAACAGACCTGAATCTAGAGATGTGTATTAATTTTCTGTTTTTTAATTTCATTTTATGTACTCAGGACAAGTACAAGAAAAGTAAATCTACTAGCTTCTAAGATCAGTTGACTGCCTGTGATTCTTTTCACAATGTTTCCTCATTGGTATCTAAAAATGTGTTGGATGTCATGCGGGTTTATTTACTCCCATGGAAATGATGTGAATGTGGAAATAGCAGGAAATTAACTTGCACACAGTTGTTCCATTTCATGAAAGGAACTATCAATATTTTTTGAGAGAGAGGCATTTTTTTTCTAGTGATTGAATTTATGGGCCATATAATTATACATGAAGCTGTTTACAGAAGTCAATTTCTCCTGGGAGAGCCAGAAAATTGGATATTTGAAGACTGCTAGTTTTATCTATGCTCACATCACAAGGCATTTAATATGCATTCAAATCTGTTTGAGGGCTCTGAGGAAATAACAAATCAAGAAGTCTGTGGGCCAACGCTTAATAGTGATACCCCCACTCTGATGTGAATACTCACACACTATCATTTTCATATACACAAGATAAGTTATGGACAGATGCACAGATAAATAGGAATGTGTTATGGACAGACACACAGCTACAGACAGACAGACATACAAGGGTACAACAGTATACCCCCCTCTCTTTTGGAGCGGTGGTAAAATTAGACTTCAGTAACACAACATAAACCTCGTCAATAACATTGTCCCAAAAAACACAGGGATAATATTATAAGAAGTAGTCACTGTAAATACTACTGAACCTTGAACCATAAGGCCTAATACAATAATTTCTACTGTACAATGTAATAAAATTCAGTACCAAATATATATCAATAGTGAGAATAACAGAAAAAGGCATCCATGTAAAATATATACTTCACAGACAATAAACAGGTCTAGGAAAATCACTATATTTAGCTATATATAGCTAAATCTACCTATGTAGATTTATTTACCTATATAATATAGCTTTATCTAGCTATTTCAGAGTAAATTTCTGTGTTATGAAAAGCAGACAAAAAGTCGCATAATATGAGGCAGTATTAGTTTTCAACTTTGAAATGGACTGAAAACAATTCACCAAAAACCCACTTTTAAAAATGTTTCCCCTTTTGTGCAATTGCAATCAAAGATCTAAAAGTTTTGGGGCTATGTATAACAGTTTTAAAATCTGTGATTAAACAGCTACTTTAACAAAGAAAAGCAGTTAATTGATAAAGCAATCACACTTAGACATGCACCTCATTGTACTTCCATTGGGGGACAGCTATCCAAACAATAGAGATGCATTTTTTGGTTAAAAAGTGTTTAAAAGAGGCAATGTTTTTACTACCTATGCCCTATGTTATTTTTATTTATAAACCTTTTTAAAAAAGTATATCAAGCCATAATTTTCATGCGACTTTTTGTCTGCTTTTCATAAAACAGAAACTTATTCTGAAATAGCTTAATAAAGCTATATTTTAGGTATTACATAAAGCTATATTGGTAAATTAAGCTATATAGCTAAATATAGTGATTTTCCTGGACCTAATAAACTACACAACATAAGGTACCTTGGGATATTTGATTACATATACTACAGACTCACTGTGTTCAAAAGATCAATTCATTGATTCCTTATAAATGTTACTGCATCAAAAGTAAGTCATTTATCTCCATACTGAACACAGAGTCTTTTATTAGAATGTTATTGTATTCCTAATTGTCTCCATTAACACACAACACACTGTACAATCTCTGAAGAAAATGTCTTCTTCATTCAAATATATTTCCAGGCCATTTATTACTTGAGAACTTTTTGACATTAATTATAGGACTTCTATGAACTATAAATATGTCCATAGGACATTAATGCTGCACCAAGTGTATATTACATGTAGTAATGCAACATGAACATTTGTATTTAGTGTATGATGTCTGATGGGAATAATATATCTTGAAAATATTCTTTAAAATTGAAATCTAAAAAAATTGGATATAGATGATGAATTATCACCAAGTTATGTATAAGTGCATGCTTACATATAAATATCTTAAATGCTTTCTTTAAACTAAGCAAAATACAAATTAAAGAGAAGGAAGGTCAGGGTCACAGGAAAGTGTAAGGTGAAAAGTTTTTGATGCAGTTGAATTAGGGCTGTCACGGGTACCCGAAATGACCCGGAACCGCGGAACAATTAATTCGGGTCAGCATTCGGTTATTGTGTATAATTGATTTTACAATAAAAATGGCGTCAAAAACGAGACATTTTTTAATACATTGCTATTATAAAGTGATTTAAATAATTTGGTACAATTGTTGTCTAGTCAGGAGGCTACTTTAAACTAGTTATAATGTTGCTATTTCTAAGATTAAATGAAAATATTCTTTTTATTGTTGAAAATAATACAAATCATGAGCTTTTCTTCCATTACCTACCCGACCCGAGAAACCAGAAACCGAACCTTAAAAAATCAGAACCGACCCGACCCGAAAAATTTTGGAACCGTGACAGCCCTAAGTTGAATAGCTCACAAATACATATCAGCATATTGTGTTTGATAAAAATATCTTGAATGGTTTATTTAATATTAACATGACTAAGCTAAACACTAATTCAAGAAAAGAGGGGTCAAGGTCAAAGGAAAGCTTGAGGTCAAAAAATGTTGATGTAGCTGAAAAACTTACATAAGTATGTATTAGCAAATGAAGTTTGAAAAAAATATCAAAAATTTTTAATTCTGGTAAGGTCCAGGTCAAAGGAAAAGTCAAGGTCAGAAAATGTTGATGGTGATGCAGTTGAAAAGCTTACATCAATATGCATCAACATAAATTGTTTGATTACACTATCTTGAATGGTATCTTTAAAACTCAATCTGATCAAAACCAGATCCTCATTAGATCCACTCAAACACATAGATTACCCATATATTTATTATCAGAAGAATGATAGAAAAAAAGAACATCAAACTTAATCAGGTAAAAGTCTATTTAAGACATGTGAATTGTTTTGTAAAAAAAAAATGTTATCATGGTGATGTTTTGGACACTCTTGGCCTTTGTTGCATTGAGAGTATTCATCAAAATGTTGAATGTGAATATATCAGGTCCAGCACAATCTCTTGATTAAGCTATATAGCTTTAAAAAGCTATATAGCTTTATTAAGCTATTCAGAATAGCTTGATAAAGCTATTTATATGCAGTTTTTCACAAATCCGTTTTTTGAAAGAAATAAACAAAAAGTCGCAAGTATTTGATTATTCATATATGTATTATGGACTACCAAAAATACAACCTAAATCATATAAAATTCTTACATTGCTGCTGTTGAATACTTTAAGCAAAATAAAAATTTCCATTGTTTGAGTAACTGTGTGTTCGGTGAAGCATGGGTAAGTATCATTGTGCTGAACTGTTACTAATCAATTATCCTGTTGGCCATAACTGGCCTCTTTTATACTTTCATTCAAGAAATAACTGTGTTGTCACTCATCAATAGCCCCAAAACTTTTAAGTCTTTGAGTACAAAGTCTCTTAAGGAGACGCATTTTGGTGAGTAATTTTTACATGCATTGTATTCAGAAGAAAACAAAGTTTAATATTTCCACTGCACTTAGGTGCGACTTTTTGCACATGTTGGAAAAATAACACATTTGAGAAAAAAGTCTGAGAAAATAGCTTAATCAAGCTATTCTGAATAGCTTGATAAAGCTTTATAGCTAAATCAAGCTATATAGCTTAATCAAGACATTGTGCCGGACCTGTATATTACATGTAATCTTACCATATCATACACGTTCAGAACCACCTCCTCCTGTGCCATCTTTCTATTAAGTAGCTGTAATTATATCTCTATTTCGCCAATATTACGATATAATCACAACATAATTGTCTCTTCCAGGTCTGAGTCATCTGTGTCAATGATGCGGAGGCTGTAAATAACAACGAAGAAAGAGAAGCGTGTAGATCAAATCATGGCGAAAGAAAAAAATATAGAAATTGTAGATCTGAAACACAGTTCACTGTCTCGCGATAACAAAATTTTGTAATGAGGGTACTAAGTATGTATGAAGTGTCAAAACATCAATAAATAGGAGCGCAAGCAAAGCGGAAGCAATTCAGTGCAAGAGTGAAACGTCACAATTTCCGTTGTTAATCTGTCGTACACTAAATCTGTGACGTTTTTCGCAATAGCTGTCAAGGTCAGCTAGCGCGATGGCAGCAAAATTCGGGATTGTATTACGGTCCTTGCGGTATCTTGCCAATAAACCTTTGTCATGTCGCATGATTTGCACAAGCTCATCCCTCAGATGCGTAAGTGAATTCAAAGTAATGTTATTGATTTTGAATTGCTGACAATGCTTGCAAGAAAAAAATAGGCCATGCTAACATTAAAGGACCTTAATTGCAGTTGTTTACATTTAGACAGTGCATATTTAGTTTTTGAGTGTCAAATATGAGATGTTTTTGATTATGAAAAGACCTATCTCTATAGATTTACCCCCCCCCCCCCCTGCGCCACAAATATTCTGTAGTGGTTTGGCTAGGGTAGGTAGCTAGAGCACCTGACTAGTGATGCAGGGGTCCCTGGTTCAAATCCCGGTCCAGTTGTTTGTTTTTTTTTATTTTGCTTTACATAATTTGGTGCTCTTGACCACCGCTGGACTTGCAGGTGAAAGGGGACATACTAAAACAAGTCCCACGGGGAAAATAAGTCCCATATGAGTCCCACAGAAAAATAACGAGTCCCACCAGGAAATATGACATTTTATTAATATTTAACATGATGTCTTTATAGATTATTATCATTTAGATATATTTTGAATAAAATTTTGTCATTTTTTTTTTTCAGAAGCCGGTTACAATGATTAGTTACAAAAACAAAAGAACGATAACTCATATATCCTCACATAACTCTGTTGTGTTTCATAATCCCAACAATAATTATAACATTTTAGTAGTTTTTGAAAACAAATATTAATAGATATTATAATTTTATAATTAAATTAATTATATTTTTAGAAATGCAAGAAGTTCAAAGATTGATCATGTATAAACAAAAAGCAATAACTCCTACATCTGCCTCAAGTATTAAAGTAACAAGCCATCCCAATTTTAATTTTAAAGATTTATGAAATTTTCACAATGTTCCAGGATTTATCTGCCTTCTGTAGCAGTTCTAACGACTGGGAAAAAAAATCTACTACTACCAAAAACAGACATTTTCAATCAAATTTTATATAAATCTAACAATTTTATAATATCAAAACTTGTACAAATTTGTACAAATAATTCATGGTGTAAATCGAATCACTATAAAATTCCAAGTTTATTAAAAAACAACTCTTTTTTGAAAAGTTCCACATCCAAGATTATCACTGGCTTTAATAATCTAAATTTTTGATTTATATTTTTTAATCAAGAAAATGGATAGATAACAGCTACTTCTCTGCATGTTATTTGTTCTACAAATTAATAAAAAAAACAAACTTCAATGGTTGTGCCTTTAATACTAATATTTTGAATCTTTTCATACAATACAAGAATTTACAATACAGTTTATTCTGACTTAGTCTATTTTAAATCACAATTCTTTATTAATTTAATTTTCAAAGAATGTTTTTATTTATGAAATCAAATACAAATTTTTTTTTTTGATGATTTCTTTATCTTGACCTTATTTGTCATACATAATAGTAGCTGAAATTTCAATAATTCTACAATTAATTAAATATTTTATTTGAATTCTAAATAGTGTAACCTAGCCCCAGCCTTGTTCAAAAGTTATTGTAATAGGTATACAAACAACAGGGGGATTGAAAGGTGTGAATAACATCCCCAAGGTGTTGTATACAGGTATACCAGGGACGTATCTCTACAGGTGTCTGTGTATATACACAATAAACATGGGTGTCAGGAAAACTTACCAAATTGTTGTTAAATTACATAAAACCACAGTAAAACTATTTTTGTTTGTAAGAAACAAAGTAATAATATACAAATATATAAGATAAAACGTACTTTTAGTTATATATAACGTTAATATATGTTGGAAGAATATTTTCAAAAGAAACTTTAAAATTCAAGTGAAAGAGAAGAACAAATTAAATTCAGAAATAACACCATTATTAATTTAACTTCTTCTTTTTTTTAAAGTAATCTTTCATTAGCGATCAAGTATTGCAATGTCAATATACATGGAGTTCTTGGCCATTGTTTACATTTGAACAGAGTTATCGTTCATTTTCTTGACTGTGGTTTGAAATTTACAATCGTCTATTTAACACACTAAAAACATTTTATCAAAACTTTTTTTGATATATGATCATATAAATATAATATTCTTTCAAAATAACCCTTCATTATATGTATTTTTCAGACTTATTTTCTCCGTGGGACTTGTTTTAGTATCAGCGGGTGAAAGTCCTGCCAGGGGGCAATAAGATTTGAGTTGTGTCTTCAAGGGTAAAGGCAAGGAATGTAGTGATTTGGACTATGGAAATTAGTTTTCAAAACTTCCAAGAGCTCCTTACTAGTGATGTATGGGGTTCCCAGTTTGATTTTCATATGGATTTTTTTCATTGACCATAGTACTCTAACAACATATAGAAGAATTCAAATGGCCCCAGTTCTGCAGTGGAGTTGGGGAGGGAGGGGGAGGTATTAAGTAATTTTATTTAGGAGCTTCTTATGGTTAACTTAATTGTTACTTAAAAATAGGCTAAAAACTCTAGTCATCTGAAACAAAACAAACATACTGACACTAGGTACTTTTCTCTTTTAGGAGGACCGTCCTCAATTCCCAGGGTCAAAGTCAAAATTCACTTATAAAATGTCATTTCTGGACCCGGATAAAGAGGAAGGTATTCCTGTATACAGAGTAATGAACAGTCAAGGAGAAATGATCCCAGAGAGTGAAGATCCAAAGGTAAGAAGCTGTAAATATAAGTATAGAAGATAAGGATTGTAACAAAGCAGGGACCTATATACTAACGGGATAGGCAACTCCTTCATCGCCATGTTTATTTACCCAAAACATCACGCACGACACTACAAGTTTTTCAATTTACATTTATTCCCAGTAAACAGGATGTTTTCTGATTATTATCATTTATTCCTTTTCTGTATTGGAATTAGGGAATAACTATCTTCTAATTTGGTATTTGCGACCGTTAATGCTGATTTAACGGTCACAAACTGAGTTTTACCGGCGACGCGTAAGCGGAGCCGGTAAAACGGATGTTTGCTACCGTTAAATCAGCATTAACGGTCGTAAATGCCAAATTAGAAGTTTAGTTATTCCCATTCTAATGCAATCCATGCATTTTGCTTGTTGTTTACGTCTTATTTTGTTGAATTTTGTTACATGAAATACGTCACGGAGCATTGTATTTTTGCGCCGCTCTATTATGACGTCACAATGAAAAGGCTTTCAAGCTCGTTATTGCTCGTTTTACTGCTTCAAACATCAGTGCATTCACCAATCAAAGAGTGTTTTACAAAACAATTGCATTAGAATTGATTTATTAATAAATTTTAAAGCATAATAATAATAGAATTTAAATATAAAGAAAACAAACACCGAAATCGGCGATTTCTCGGAAATATGGCCGATCGGGGCATGTGCTGATTTTGCATAAAACAAAATTACTACTAAGATAAGGAGTATAAAACGTGCTAACAACAAATCTTGAATGATTTTTTGACAGATAATTAAAGGATTTGATCTCAAATATGCGATAGCTTTAGAGATATAAGTAATTAAAGTTGACTTACGAAATCCCGAGACTTACGAGATATCACGAGACTTGCGGTAGTTGCTTATCCCGTTAGTATATAGGTCCCTGAACAAAGGTACTGTAAAATCACATATTTTTGTGGGGTCAAATTTTCGTGGTTTGAGGAAAATTTCTTGATTCGTGGGGATTTGATTTCGTGGATCAAGAATTAATGAGTGCTTATGCATGTAACATTTTACATTTCGTTGTGGACCTGAATTCGTGGGTCTCATCATACCTTGAAAAGAACGAAAACTAAACCCCCACGAAAATTTGTGATTTCACGGTAACATGCTTTTCATGATCACATAAGGTGAGGTCACAAAGGTAAGAATCTGTTAATAATGATAATGCAAGGTGAAGATACAAGAGTAAGGAGCTATAAATAAATATCCGGTAATCGCACAAAGTGAGAATCAAACCAGATTTCGCCCAAGAGGCTAAAATTCTTAAGGGTAAGGAAGCCAGAAATGATTCTAGAGAAGATCTACATTAGGAATTCAATGCAGATATGGTCCTTCCCAAAAAATAAATATTTTGAAAAGGTAAAAGAAAATTTAAAGTAATGATAAAAAGGTAAAACTTGCATTAAATATTATGCACTTACATCTTATCATTTGATATTCAAAACTTAATTTTAGAAAATTTAAATGTTAAGTATTTTATGAAATAAAAAATTCATAAATTGTGCTCTAAATATAACTTCATAGACCGTGTTTTCTATTGTATACTCAGTCTGTTAAACTTTGAATCTTTTACATGTATCTTGACAGATTGATAAGAAGACTGTTCTCAAGATGTACCATGATATGACTCTGCTAAACTCCATGGACAAGATCTTGTATGAGTCCCAGAGGCAGGGGAGGATCTCTTTTTATATGACAAACTTTGGGGAGGAGGCCACTCACATAGGTTCAGCTTCAGCTCTGCATCCAGAGGACCTGGTGTTTGGACAGTACAGAGAAGCAGGTAAACAGGGGGATTGGGACAAGTCAATAATGTGTGTATGCATTATACAGTGGACCAGATAGTGTAAAATTGTCGGAGAACTGTAAAATGTGTCAATTTTAAAGCTATACATTGTGGTTGTTGATAAAGTTTTTGTTTAAATGCATTAACTAGAGAGCAGGTAAGCCAATTTTTCATTTAATATCTTGATTTAATATTTTAAAACTAAATGCATTTTACTGCTATGACTGTAACTCTGTTTACTTGTCCTGATTGTAACTATTAGTTTACTTGTGTTTACAGCTGTGACTGTAACTATTAGTTTACATGTGATTACAGCTATGACTATAGCTAGTAGTTAACATGTGTTTACAGCTATGACTGTAGCTATTAGTTAACATGTGTTTACAGCTATGACTGTAACTGTGTTTACAGCTGTGATTGTAACTATTAGTTTACTTGTGTTTACAGCTGTGACTGTAACTATGAGTTTACTTGTGTTTACAGCTGTGATTGTAACTATTAGTTTACTTGTGTTTACAGCTGTGACTGTAACTATTAGTTTACTTGTGTTTACAGTTGTGATTATTACCTAACCTACTATAAAAAATGTAATTAGGCATTTTGAACTGTTTCACAATTCATTTTATGTTTTTGCGTGATCATGAAACAGTCGAACTGTTGACCGGGCCACAGAATGAACTTTTGCCTGTTTAAAGCGTCATGGTGATATTCAAGCATTTTGATGATCACGACATCACTATTTACCTGCTATATAATTAACTAAATTGGAATAAAACACATAAACAATCAATTTATTAAGTAGTAATAAAAAATTATTAAATATTATTTTAATCTGTACATTCTGTGTTCAGCTAAATTAATAGACTGGTATGTGGATAAACAGTTGTTAAAACTCTTTATTGATTGTCTGTGTGTTTTTATTCCAATTTAGTTAATAATATAATAGTTTAGGTAATAAAACACTTATTTAATGACTACGAGGTAAACAGTCAAACTATTGTCCCTCGGTAGTGGGAAAGACCTGGGAAACTGTTGCCCTTGGCCTTCGGCCTTGGGCAACAGTTTCCCAGGTCTTTCCCACTACCTCGGGACAATAGTTTGACTGTTTACCTCGTAGTCATTAAATAAGTGTATACTATAACTATTAGTTTACTTGTGTTTACAGCTAGACTGTAACTATTAGTTTACTTGAGTTGTAGGGGTCCTGAATTATACTATCTGTTTACTTGTAGGGGTGCTGATGTGGAGGGGATTTACATTAGACCAGTTTATCAATCAGTGCTATGGTAACATGGATGATAAGGGTAAGGGACGACAGATGCCTGTCCACTACGGATCCAAAGATCTCCATTTTGTCACCATCTCTTCTACCCTTGCCACACAGATGCCTCAAGGTACAAAATGTAGCTGGAATATTTAATACACACAAAGTCTCATTTAAAGTAACTACTCATTCTCAATACAGTAAACAAATTAATTTACAATGTTCATTGTTTAAAATGTATAATTTATGTTTTTATGTGATTTTTACATATGAATTAATTAGATTTGTTTAAGATTTTTGATACTTGCTAGAAATAAATTCTAAATGTTGTGTACTATAACACAGCATCTGGTGCAGCCTATGCCTACAAGCGAGCTCAGAATGGTAAGTGTGTCATCTGTTATTTTGGGGAGGGAGCTGCCTCAGAGGGAGATGCCCATGCTGCCTTTAACTTTGCCGCCACTCTAAACTGTCCAGTCATATTCTTCTGGTATGTACTGTTATAAATTTTTATTCTTTTGTAAAACATGTAACTGTATATGCTCCTAGTCCATTCTTTTGAAAACTTTGATGACATTTTTTCTCAGAATTATAAATGTTTTGAAATAACATTTTAAAATAATTTTAAAAGAAGAAATAAAACCAGAAAAAACTTTCATTGTTTCTGTGTGATTTCAGCAGAAACAATGGATATGCTATATCAACCCCTACCTCAGACCAGTACAGGGGGGATGGTATAGGTAGGTACTCTATTATCTCTCCAAGTGTTGGGCATCATTTTGACTTTGATACTTAAAACTTAGTAAGGCAACTTGGGCTTGTGTTTAAGATCCTGGTCTAAAAGTAGTAGATATTTTTCTGTATTATTTTTCTATGCTTTGCTATGCCCTCAAATTTTCTGAGTTCATTCAGTTGATGCATCTTAATTAGGTCAACAAAAAGTAAGCCACATTGATCTCCTTTTAGAATTTGTGGTTTGAATATTTCAGATAAGAGGCTCAGAATTATCAAATTTTGTCTGTTGGTGTACCTTTTGAGTATTTTAATCAAAAATAGGCTACTGTGACCTACTTTTGGATTTAAGATTTTATCTAAATATTTAGGATATTACATGTCTTAAAATTAAAGTGATAGGGTTGTACAATTTGTCAGAATTTGGTCTCTTGTTAATCAATTTTAAATTATTTTTTTTAATTTGGTAGCATCTAGGGGCAGTGGTTATGGGATGATGACGATACGTGTAGATGGTAATGATGTGTTTGCTGTACACAACGTCACTAAGGAAGCCAGAGAAATATGTGTCACACAAAACAGACCTGTCCTGATAGAGGCCATGACATACAGGTAATTTCTTATCCTTCTAAACTTGTTTAAAAATGAGTTTGAGATTACAAGGTTTGACTGGATTTAAAACTTTACATACATGTATAAAAATTTCATTGTGAAATTCATACATTTTGGGAAGGCTTATCAGCATACCGGTAATACTGGACAATAGAACTCATAACATCATGAACAATAATGTGATGATAAATCTTTGATTTTGCCTAATGAAATACTGAAATATATTACAAGTGCAGAATTGATTTTAGAAGGTCACCCTTCATTGAGATGTTGAATTACTTGTAGGATAGGACATCATTCCACCTCTGATGATAGCTCTATGTACCGCAAAAAGGGAGAGGTTGTCAAATTTGATACAAATAATCCGATTGGTCGATTACGGAGTTACATGGTCAAACAGGGTTGGTGGGATGATGAGCAGGAAAACCAGTGGAAAGAAGAATCAAAGAAAATGGTGAGTATTGTCAATGATGTAGTTTTGAGGGGAAGAGTGGCCAGATTACTCTGATAGATGAGGTAGGGAGGGGCCACAGTTTTACATGAAGAGGAAAGAATCTTCTTTTCAGTATCAAGAAAAATTATGTTTAGTCATGTTGACATGTAGGCATCCTCATTTGAAGATTCAAATTTGTTCAACCCATGACCCCTGGGTGTAGGGAGGGGTCAAAATGGGGGGTTAAATTTTTACAAAGTAATACATTGTATATAGGAAAAATCTGTAAAAATCTTCGTCTCAAGAACAGCAAAGATATATTCTAAATTGATATGAAGGCACACACCTTGAATAGTATAATGATTTGTGCTTTTTCCTAGATGATGTGCTCAAGTGAGCAACATGACCCATGGGTCTCTTGTTTTGCATTTTGTGTATTTTCTTATTCTGGAGATTTTTTTTCTACTCCTTTTTCATGCACAAAGGTGATGGAAGCTTTTGCAAAAGCAGAGAAGAAAAAGAAACCAAGTCCAAAAGAAATATTTCATGATGTTTATGATGAAATTCCACCACATATACAAAAACAAATGGACTCCCTGAAAGAACATGTGTCCAAATACGAGGACAAATATCCAGTCCAGTCCCATGATGCCTGGTCCTGAGGGACGGGGAATTAATTAGGGTTGTCTTTTCATCAGGAATCTCATCAAATTTTCCTACTACATGTGTATTATCATCATGTATTGATCTTGAAAGCTTGTAAAACAAAGAGAAAACCATACGGGGTACATGTAGAGTGGAGCAAGAAAGAAAAGACTGCAATTATTTAAGACATATCATATACATGTCTGTTTTACAGAGGACAGATGCTGGAATCTGCAGGTTGATATCCTTTAAAAAAAATAAGCAGTTAAACTGTTTTAACTCTGATATTCCCAAATTTTATGAAGAATTTTTTTTTTTTGAAAAATAAGTCATTGTTTAATGTTTTGCATGTAGAAAATCAAATTGTATATCATATCAATTGGTTTTTATGAAATATTACCATCTTGGCTCAGAACAAACAAAACATGAACGTTTAATGAAAAGAAATTTCTTTTTTGAAAAAAATATACCAGTTTAGATACATGCATTTCTTACTTACTTACTTAGAGGCCATAGATATATGCAATGCAGAGGTTCAATTTTGCGGTGTGCATAATAGTGTCTTAATTATTACATGTAAAGGAAGGTTTTTCCTAGGTTTTATACAATAAACAGAATTTAGAATAGTGCACAAAGACTGTAGCATGTATCTACCTCAGCTAATTACAATACAGTCATGCTACATAATCATGGTTGTGCTGTAGTATAAAACTTCTGTGACGGTAAAAAGACCTATTGAACAGAGAGTAGTCTCAGGAGCATAGCAACTTCTATAATCATGTTTTAGAATGCTGATCTTTGCCTGTTTATGATTGAATTTAAATGACTGCTTTGCAGTACACTGGGCCTAAAATAAAAATTTGTTTGTTTGCAGTTGCTTACCGATCCACGAAAATGCACCCGACCCAAACTTTTTTTTTAGCCATTTTGTAATATCTTTTTTCTCTCATTTTCAGAATATTGAAACTGTTTTGATTTCAATTTTTAATTAAGTTTTTATTAATGAGTGGTTTATAACAAGAATGGAACTTATTCATGTTTAGTAGGCTTATGAAAAGCTCTATTATTTGTTATCTAGTAAGAAAAAATTGGAAACAATTTTATTTACCGTAAAAAAAAGAATGCCTTCCTACCTACCCAGTCTAAAAATTATAGGTCGGCAACTGCAAACAAGGAATTTTTTAAGCTTGGCCCTGTATTTTTTTTTTTATTGCAGGTATATATTATATATTAAATTTATTACACATAAATCTTCATGCAAATATGTAACACTGTAGTGAATATTTGTGATACATGTACAACCTTTTTGAAATTCCACATTTTTATTGCATTTTGATCTGAAACAGCACCGCCTCACATGCAAGGGGTTCATTTTTCTCATGAATTATATAAATAATATTTAGAGGAACAAATTATGAATATTTTGACGTCTAGGTACGAATATTGTGTGTGTATTTTTGCAGCATTCTAGACAGTATTTGCAGCTTTGATTCTTTATTTTGAGTGCCAAATTAAAACAATTTTGAATTCTTGCATAATGGTGTCAACAAAATGTAATCAATTAAAAAGGTGATAAATTGCTGATTTTTTTTTCTTTTGTTTATATTAAGATGGGACCTGTTGCATTTATGTCTGTTTGCCCTTTTCATCTGTTAGATGATAATGTTACAAATATCACAAAATCCTAGCTGGCTCATAACTGGAAAATCAAATGAAATAGATCACCAAACTTATTCATTTTAGGTTGAAGGTGTGTCTCATCTTACATTAAGGTGACTGTGACTTTAGAGTCATTTCTTATATAGAAAGCATTGCATGGAGGCAATCTCTACTAATGTAAAGGTTTTGCAGTAACCATATTTGAAAAAAAATGTTACATCAAGAATAGATATTTTCTTGTAAAATACTGTACAGTGTATATATCTAGTATGTTATATATAATATATCAGTATCTGCAGATATAATACCTCTTTTGATTAAAACAAGAACAAGAGAAATTGTATTTTAAATTGAAATTCCCATGGAAGTAGCATGGGAAATGCAATGGGCATTTTGATAAGGTTCCTTGGTGAGTTTGGAGTAAGAAGACAGTCAATCATTTCCATTCGAATATTCTCTGATCAAGCAGGTTTTATCTACATCGCAGGGGAATTGGACAGAGAATTGTGGCCTCTTAATTCATTATGTATGTAGCATATGTTACAATTGTGATAAATTATTAGCCTTTATTTTCAAAGTGAAGAGTACTTTTTGAACAAACTATTGCAATGGTGATGCTTCTTGAAAACCACCCGTTGGTCTTTATTTGATCGTCATATGTTTCGATGACGTGTTGGTTGTAAACTAGTACATTCATTTTTAGTACCCAGGGGTATAAAGCAAAGACAGAGGAAGGGGGCTGACCTTTTTCATATTCCTATGAAGCAGAATTTATACAAAAACATTCATGAGGAATATAGCGCTTGCTGTAGCATTCATCTTGACATCCTAATATACTGACAAAATTTTAGTATGTTTGATAAATACCCAGCATCCAGAGATCTCGAAAGTTTTCAAAGAAATGTTAAAATGCATTTTAATGATGGCTTCAACTCAGTCCTGCCTTAATTAACACCAAACCCCCTGACCAGGGTTATGAATACATATGTATTACAATTAACAAAACCATGCAGACTATAACTAGAACCCTTTACCAAAAGTCCATGAAAGTCACTACTTTGTAAGAGGCACTCTTGGTTATCATAATCATTCACTTAATTTATCTGCTTAATCTCGGGATCAAAAAAGATTTCAAAGGATTTATAAATTTTCACCATACATGTGTATATAATCATCAGTGGAGTCCCTGCCAACACCCAAACCCCAGGGCCATAAATTTCACAATTTTGAAGAATCACCCTCGTTTATGATAACAATTCACTTTGTTTATATGCTAAATACTCAGGAGAAGAGAAGAAGATTGATTTTCAAAGAATTTTGCATTTCACCATATAATCCAGAATCCTTGACCCCAAGAACCACATATTTTACAATTCTGGATGAAAGCTCAATGCTTACTGTATTACAATCAGGCCAACAGTTTGACTAATTGATGTCAAGAAGAAAAGAAGAGTATTAAAGATGTTTTAATCAAGGCCCATGGGAGGAAGGAACATACGTAATTTGCAATCTTTATTCTCCTCCCGTCATGGATGCTACATGTATATGCAAAATTATTAGAATTGCTTCAGTACTAAAAAATGTTTAAAAGTTAATAACTGACAAACAACAAACAGATAGCAATAGATCACCAGAATTACTCAGATAATATAAAGAGTTGTTAAAGCCTATAGCATAGACATAATATGAAATCCCTGATCTATTGTCTATGAAGAATAGGCAGTAAGAATAACAAAAAATCTGTTTTTATGTTTATTGAAAAAAGGTAACTATAATAAGAAAACAATCAACAGAAGCTGTTGTTATATGTATATGAATGACAATTGCAGATATTCCCCAAACTACTTATACATAGTAAATGTACCAACAAATGATAATGCTTTCAATGGATCTTGTTATCATAGAAAGCAAGCACTGGCTTGATTTCAAACCATACAGAATATTCCATATAAATGTAGGCATATATTAAAAATCTCGTATCAATTCAATAAGGGCAAAGAAGGTCACATTCATATACCGGTAAATATAAATAGCAATTTTTTAAATTCTCATCTCAATTAGTCCACATGCACCGATCTACATGCAAGTTGCAATCAAGCCCAAGCCTGGGGGGGGGCATAAAACTTAGATGAGCTCACTTTTGATCTCAGTCTCACTTTTTCCAAAGGAATAAATAGTGGAAAAGTGGGGCTGAGATCAAAAGTGAGCTCGTCTAAGTTTTATGGCCCCCAGGCCAGATCATACATCTTTACAGCTTGCTTGTTCATCCCTTAAATGAAGGTTTCATCTGAATTGGTGTATTTTTATGCGCCCTGATCGATAGATCCGAGGCATATATTGTTTTTGTTCTGTCTGTCTGTTTGTCTGTTTATCTCTTTGTCTGTTTGTCTGCAAACTTTAACCTTCGCCATAACTTTTGAACCATGAAAGTTAGAGACTTCATATTTTTTAGAAAATGTGGATAAAAAAGAACCAGAAAAGAAAGGAAGGAAGAGAGGCAATGATTAGAAACACAGTAAAAACAATATGCTTCTATTCTACATATGGGGAAGATAATGACTAGTTTTATATGTGAACACAGGATAATGTGGGAATATGTAAATGCCAGTATTTACCGATACATGTACTAAAAATACATCATAAAATCATTCTCATAATCAGTACTTCAAAGGAATGTAAATTGAGGATCAAGTTTTCCAGATATTACATTACATGACATAGTCTAAAACATGAGAGTATAATACAAATATAATACGAAATTTGTCTAGATGAGAAGATATAACAAGAAGATACCATGTCTTATTTTCTTCCTTTACTACTTTTTATATCTTGACAGTACAGGATTATATTATGATAACAGATATGGTATGGCACATATATAAATAATGGTTACAACTTTCTTTGGATTAGTTATAAATATGTGCATTAATTTTTGGGTAATTATGAAGTATAGCTGACATGGCACTGGCAGCTTGCTGTTTTGCACATAGCAGCACACTTTCTTAAGGAAGATTCTTCTCATATCGTCAGTTATGTCATCCTTATACAGACAAAAAAATAATACATTCATATCTCATATCTACAGGTACTACATCTAGTATACCTAAATTAATAAAATACATGTTCACTTTTAAATCTCAAGTTCATGTTGTAGAATGTAGTTTTTAGCATATATATATCCGTATTTAAAATTAATATTTCTTAATTTACAGAGTAATAATCTTTACAGCGAAATAGTAAAGGAAAGGAAATATAAAAATTTAAATATATACATTCAAAACTCATGGTTGTTCAAGGAAACAAAGTTTAAGGTGATAATAAAGATTCTCTGAAACAAGAAAGCTTGAGAACTTGGCAGTGTTAACATGTATATTTGTTGTAAAGATATGAATATTAACAGTGTTGTGAGATGTGTATTGTTTCATTATGTATATAATTAGTAACATTAAGTTTCTTGAACATTCCAGAGTGGTCAACATGTTTTGTCATTTTATCTAGAACATTCTTAAATTTTGTGTATGTCCAGATTGTTCCAGTAATATCATGTTTTAACAATTTCTAGTTATATTACTGTATAAATACCCTGTCCATTGATGCATGAAATACTTTGTCGTATAAGCACTATTGAGATATAAATGGGATATATTTTCACTGGGACATTGTGTGCAGCAACGGACACTCTGATGTATGTATTTTTGTTAAGTTTGTACTTTATGTTTGATATATTTATTATATATTACTGTAAATAAATTATTGTTAAGTTTAAATTGTGTTATTGATCTTTGCTGGCATTTCGGGTAATTCTGACCCATAACAACAGTTTCTTGCAATTTAGCATTGTGTGAATGTGGTGAGTTATTTTCCACATATATAAATATAGCATTATCATAATATCATTATTTCATAGTAAAATTTCCCACTATATTTATGTATACATAAATGCAAAACTAGTATCAAAATACACCTGGTGTATCTTTTATCACAAACTTTCATTGAGATCAGGCTTAGTGACAAATTAACTCTCCCGTCTTTAATTTCTCAGATTGAGAAGGACCAGGAAAATCATATCCTGCATGAAAACTTCAACACTTAATTCCTATTCATTTCTTGAGTTCACCTGCATAAGCTCTATGATGATTTCTGTTTTTTGTATCGTTGGAGATAGAGTCTTCCCATGAACGGGAGATTATAAGATCCAAAATACAGCACGCCATCTTTGTCCTCGACCTCACTGACCCCTGGGATGACCTCACCAGTGGGGTCGTGTAAACTCTGGATCACCCTCCCTTCCTCATCCACTTCCACCACAAGGCCATACTTTGGTAAATATTGTAAAACCATATCCAAGGAAATTACCTGTAACATTATGCATTTTAGGTGATTAAGAATTCATTTTGGAAGATTTACATGTATACCAATAAATTCAAATTAGACAATTATCGAATAATAAATATTCACACCCAATGAATTAAATAACATTTAATTTTATATTACTATGGTTTATAACTTAACCTTCATGATTAAGCTCCTTAACCAGGGCTTGTCAGCACAGTAATCTATAAAGCTGAATTTGTTCTTCTTGCGGATCATCGCCATTCCTATCCAGTATCCGCCTGTACTACTGCGACGGATATTATCCGGAATCCCGGGAAGGTTGTTGTTTATCACTTCTAAGGAATCTTTTTTTGGTCCTTTTAAATGATATCTAAAAAAGATTAAATCCTGGGTATCAAACCTAAATATACCAGGAGATCATATATCAATACAGTACATGATCTAATTTCTCAATGTATGAACATTGGCAATATAAGAATTTTTAGTGCAGAATTATAAAGTAAATAATTTTAAGGTCAAGATCTAGTAAATGAAAGGTGCCTACAGATTTATCAAACTTGAGAAATAAATTCCTTTATTTATGCTTTACAACTTTAGCTTGGACAAATAAGGTGTTTCGGGGCATAATTTATAGGTAAACAAGATGAAAAACTGTATTTTAAACTGTCATTTTCAATGAAAAATTAAGAAAACCAGTCATGAATATGGGAGTTTTTTGCGTATTCGGCAAAGGAAATGTATCCAGATTGCCTACAGTCTCTCAGAAAACGGCAATTAGTATGTTCATGGCCTCTTCATTAAATCAATATCAAATTTGATATAGGTATCCGGTTTACTTTTCATATGATTTCAAATTGAATGTCGTGAAAATACCATATTTTCTACATAATTCTGCCAAAGCCGTAAAGTACGGGAAAAAGAAAGATGAAAATGATTATGACGTCATAATGGATCTAGCACAAAAAATTAGTCTCACGTTATTTACTAGATCTTGACCTTAAATGCAAAATGTTTATATAATGCATGCCAACATTTTACATAAAACAACAATATAAATCCAAATAGACTGACTTTGTGACACTTACTTAAGAAGTCTGGCTCGAGAAGTTTCACAAATTAAAAGTGCCTCTTCATCCCTGGTTAATTGTATCCCATTGGCAAAGGACATGCTGTTAATTAGTTCGGCAACCTCCTGGGTTTTAGGATCATACACAAGGACTCTATTATATAGAAGATTTGATATCATTACAGAAAAAAATTGGACAGTAAACTTTCTAATGCATCTCTTGTAAAGTTTGAACAGTAAGAGATTGTAGATTAAATGTTCTTATGCATCTCTTGTCTACATTACACAGTATGTGCTCTAGAGCACCTGTAGCGAAGATCTTCAGGCTTACCTTCCGGTTACCTCCCCTTCCATGATTTGATGTCTATTGTGTCGACGATCCCACTTCACTGAGGAGTCTGTCATGTAAATTGTTCCGTCTTCAGCAATCGTCAAATCATTCAGAAACCTTGGCTTCTTGCCATTTACTGGTATTTCAGAGGAGTACAGCTGGAAATGGTCTCCTGTGGAAGATTTATTTAATCTATGTCAACAAAAAAAATCTATGGCTGTATTATTCATAATTCATAATGAAATTTGAAAAATCCAAATCCAAGTGACAACAAAATATTTTTTAAACAGGGTGACTATGGTAAAGAACAAAAGACATTCAAATTTTTGCATTTGCACCCAGACAACTGTTTAATACCTGTAGCCACATTGACTTTGTAGAGTCCCAGGTACGTATCAATAACTATAAGATATCCATCCTTGTTTAATCGCATACCTAGCGGTCTACCACATGTTGGTTCATTATCAAACCCTCCTTAAACAAAAATAATAAGTTTCAAATTAAAGATTTACTTTTGGTAGAGGGGATAATAAGACCAAAAGTAAGCCTTTCATTTTAACTTTTAGTCCAGCTACAATTGTAAAATAGAAAAAATTCAAGCAAAAGTCAATGAATGCAAGCTACACAAAAATGAACTTTAAACTAGAACTGTCCAAACGGGACAAAATACCCCCCGCTGGGTTTTTCAGAAGTAAATCTTTCCATAAGAAAGATACGTATCAAACATGGATTATGAAATTTTTCTTCCAGTGACCTTAAAGTTCCCCAAATGACCTTAGGTCAAGGTCATGACACACCCTTGGGTCATGGGCAATTTTTGTGTGAAATGAAAAAATTAGGCCAAAATAAAAAATAAATTTTACCCTCCGACCCTAAAAGTTTTTATTACATTTTCATTTTTTGGGTAACTTTTTTTCTAAAATACTAAAGTCGACCAACAATATTTACAGAACTAATACATCACAAGTGTACAGGATATCTTTACTTTATAAATAACTTGCTCTGTAAAATTCATTGAGTTTTTTAAATAATTTTTTTGAAGGGGAAGGAAACAAGAGTATAATGAAATTTTTCTTCCAGTGACCTTGAAGTTCCCCAAATGACCTTGGGTCAAGGTCAACAAATCATGGGCAATGTGTGAAATGAGAACCTACAAAAGATATGGACCGGACACGAATTATAAAATTGTTCTACCAGTGACCTTAAAATTCTCCAAATGACCTTGGGTCAAGGTCATGACATAATTGGGTCATGGGCAATCTTTGTGTGAAATGAGAACCTACCAAGTTTATTCATAAGAAAGTTATTGACCGGACACGAATTATGAATTTTTTCTTCCAGTGACCTTGAAGTTCCCCAAATGACCTTTGGTCAAGGTCATGAAACACCCTTGGGTCATGGGCAATCTTTGTGTGGAGTAGTAGATTCTAATGTCCCTCCATAAGAAAGATATGGACCGGACACGATTGCACAGACAGACGGACAGACGAACGGACGGACAGACAGACATGGTGATTCCTATATACCCCCGTTTGCGGGGGGTATGATAATTTTGAAAAGGAACCAAACTTGATAGTGGAAAAATAGATGCACTGAATTACAATAAAAACACTAAAGTTACCACAGGGCTCCTTCCCTAGCTTAGCCAGTACACTGATTTCTCCTCTGTAGATATGTAAGATTTTCCCATCAGCAGTTCCTGTGTAAAGATGATCTACAACAACAGTAAAACTATAGCATACAGTAGTAAATATATAATGCTCATAACCTTAACATTCCTAGCACACAGATGTAATTCAACATTTATCAAAACTTCAAATGGATTTTCTAAGCTTACTTCCATTGAGCTCTAAGTATTCTTTTGTTTCCTACCTCCATCTGCCACAATTGACTCTGGTCCTAATAACTCGTTCTCAAACAGTCTCTCTGACTTGTGCAGTAAGTTGTTGGGTTCTATCGCTCCTTCAAAAGCTGGTGGCTCTGGCAATCTAATTTATATACCATCCAGTGTATCTTATTATTTCATGAAGGACAGGCTTGGCAAGGGAATTAAAGCAAACAATTTAGATACAAAATCATAGCACCCAACCCAAAGGGGATTCTTTTTATCAAATTTTACCAGCGCTTTTTAATGTTTTATTTATGTTTTAACCACAATATTTGACTTGGTCAAATTAACACAAAAACCAAAAGCACAACTATGGATGTAAAAATGATATTCTATGAGCCATATTGGTTTCATAAATATGTACATGTAACCATGTAATAAACATAATATAATATGATATATAGCAATACTTAGAGTAGACATATCTATTGGTGATGATTTTGACTTGGATACTTGTATCAGAGGTGGAGAAAGTATAGGCACTTAAAGTAAGAGATACAATCAAAGGATAAAACACAAAGTGTCAATCCTGACATACATGTAGTACACATGGTACATTATTCATATTAGAAGCTAAAGTAAACAGGGTCTATCAGTTATGAAATACTTATAACAAGAGGCCCAGGGGCCACAGTGCTCACCTGAGCACATGGGCTAGGATTAAAAGCACATATCAGATCAGAATTGAAAGTTTACTGAGGTAGGGGGGGCCTGAATTTTAACCCCCCAGGGGTTCATGATTTGAACAAACTTGAATCTACACTACCTGAGGATGATTCCACGAGTTTCATCTTTCCTGGCCCAGTGGTTCTTAAGAAGAAGATTTTTAAAGATTTTTCCTATATCTTCCTATGTAAAACTTGGGTCAGCCATTTTGGTCCCACCCTAGCCCCGGGGGTCATGATTTGAACAAACTTGAATCTACACTACCTGAGGATAATTTTACATGAGTTTCATTTTTTCTGGCCCAGTGGTTCTTGAGAAGACGATTTTTAAAGATTTTTACTATATCTTCCTATGTAAAACTTTGATCGGCCATTTTGGCCCCACCCTAGCCCCGGGGGTCATGATTTGAACAAATTTGAATCTACACTACCTGAGGATAATTTTACATGAGTTTCAAACACAAAGAAGATTTTTAAAGATTTTTCCTATATCTACCTATGTAAAATCCGGACATACATGATTTGAAGAAACTTGAATCTACACTACCCGAGGATGATTCCACATGAGTTTTATCTTTCCTGGCCCAGTGGTTCTTGAGAAGAAGATGTTTTAAAAATGGAAACTTGGAAAAGAGGTGAAAAAAACTGAATCCCCTTTACCCAAGAATGCTTTGTGGCAAAAGAAGTTCTCGAAAATGTGAAAAACAAGACAACGGACAAATTTTGATCAGAAAAGCTCACTAGCCTTTAGCTCAGGTGGTAAAAAGGAAACAGAGGTCTTACGTAACAAGTAGCATACTTACGTAAAGTAGACTGGGTTAATTGGTGAAGGCGTCAAAATAATGACAACAGGGGTCAGAACAAAAGCCAGGAGTAATGCAACACAGGCAGCAGTCTTCCATCTGTTCAATATATAAGAAATAACTTGAACAAAAATCAAAATAATTTTCATTATCAATACAGTGAATATGATTGACATGATCATCATACTGTAAAGATATAAAAAGGAGACTTATTGACACATTACTAGAAATAATGTTACACAAATGAAGATGGATAAAAAGCAGATTCAGAACCTTTTTAAAGCTAATTATACATGTAATAAACACTGTTTCATACTGGTAGAATAAAATTTATAGGTAGGAACCATAATGAACAGTGAACTTCAAAAAACAAACTTGTCTGAGGAATGAGCTCTTGACTTTTTTTCTGTTCCCCCATATCGGTCATCTTTTAAAATTGGACGTCGCTGTCTAAGTTCTGGTCTATTCATCTCCTAAAATGACTTTGCTATGAAACAATAAATTATGGAAACATATTAGTGTCACATAATATTTTTTATAAGTTGGAAATTCAAACTTTAATCTTGGCTTTTCCAACTTTAAAGTTGGTAATTCCAAATTTAATTTGAGCCATTCTAGACCTTTTGGTTATTTTTTTCCCTTTGTTTTAAGTTATACCAACTTAATTAATGAAATATTAACACATTGAAATAGACTGGATAACAATTAATCTTCACAATCTAGGGGGAGGGGGTTGAAAAGGGGGAGGGGCACTTTAAGAAGGACGGACATGGCCATAGGGAGTTATGGTATAAAACTTGAATAATGCGAAGTAAATACTAGTAGTAGCTGAGTAGTGTACATTGAAATAAATTGGTGAGCATTGATTGAACCTGTCTGACTGCCACCCATGGATTCTACAAAAAATAGTCAAAGTGGACAATTATCAAATCTTGTCAAAATCGTAGAGTACTAATACAAGGGATTAAAAATTGCTATTATTCAGATCCCCCTTCTTTGTTTATGCATAACATAAAGGGTGATCAGTCATGATGATAAGCCCTAACGAAACTGACCCATTCACTGAACCCAATAATTTGTTCAAAAAGTCCCAAAGATTTGATCAATAAAAAAAAAAGGGTTTATAGTGATATATTACCAACTACCAAGTCGCGAATAGTCTCGTTCAACCAGACCCTCGGCTGTCTTCGTAAATCTCCGACCACCCAGAGGGTCTGGTAAAGATACGTGATATCGTAGCACTGGTTCTCTGCCCTTGATTCCAGTCGCTGCCGCTAGGAATTACAAGGACAGGTAACCTCCGCCGCCATGACAGTGGAAAAACTCACTGCTTTCTTCGCGCATAGTACTGCGCATTCCAAAAATAAATAGCATCAATGCTTGCTGAGAAGAATGTTAGGTGGATCCAGCGATTTAAATAACAGAGAAAACAAAACGTAGCATATCTTTCTTGATTAATAGAGCAATTGAATACGGCAAAATTATTCAAACAACATAGTAATGACTTTATTAACTGAGTATATCATTAACTTACAATATAATGTCACAATGAACTTTCAAATGTTCCGTAGTGTTATGCTCCTATTCCTGGTGCATGTACTATAACACATGGAGTTAGAGAGACGAGTTATAGCATTCCCGGTAAACTTTAGAACATAATAAATGTTAAAGAACAAGTGTTGTAACTTAATCGATGATTTAATTATCATATCTGTGGCAAATATGTAGGAAAATTAATCATGCAATAGATCTTGATTTGGTAGCTAGGATATGCATATGGGACCTGTGATATCGCTTTACATTTAATGGTTTTTGAGGCAGCACTCCTTTATGGTTTTATAGATGCTTTAAAATCCGTCTACTTTCTTTGTTAACAGCAGTGTAGCTGTGTAGAGTGCAGAGAGAAGGGTTTATTTACTTCAGCACTTCTGGATTTACGCTAGTCTAAATATAGATTTTATCATCAGTGCCATTTCCTGTGACGCGATAAAATGGCAGTGGTTACCTGTCGTTGGTTTTTTAGGGCGCTTGCGCCCGTGAACCAATGTCAGGGTACCAGTCTACGTGATATCGTTTGTAACGCCAAAACGAGGCTTACCGAAATTCTGGTAAAGTTTTTGATTGGCTGAAAAGAAAACACCTACAAGATTTAAACAAATACTTGATAAATCAGCAGAAAAATAACTTAAAGATGTGAAAGTTATATGTCTAAAAGTTAAAACCGTTAGAGAGGAATTGTTAACGGTAATGCCCACCAGTTAAAGGTAAGTGTGTTTTATTATGTCTTGCAAATATTCTGTACGAAAGCAAAAGTGAAAGTAGTGAAGCCCTACCTGCGTAATACACATTGCTTCGATTGATATTGTAATTTCTCGTTTGGTATCCCTAATTATAGACCAGTTTATTAATATAAAGTCACAATCAAGCAGAAGAAACGTCTTGAACGTTTGATTACAAAAAGGATTTTTAAAATGAAAACAAGATAGCGCCCTCTGACGGTTACAAACGCGTACGTGATTCTTTACCAGACTCTCTGCTGGTCGGAGTTCACGGAGACAGCCGAGCGTCTGGTTGAACGAGACTAAGTCGCGAAGAAGGAGCAAAATGTATACCGGAAATTTAAACTTTATTTCACAATTAAAACCGTCAAACAAGGACTGTAAAATTCCGGAAAGAACAAAACGAGAAAGTGCATCAAGGTACTAATGTCCTAAAGATAGGGAGTTTAATATTTCATAAGGAGTTAAATAAATTTTAAAATTATTTTTTTAAGTGTATCAAACTCCAAGGTCAAGGTCAAAAAGATATCAGGGAAGGTTAAGGTAGGATTCGTCTTTGGTTTCTGACTAGATGAAACATTCAATGTGTATTTGCTGATATGTCTTATATTTTTAAATGAAAGAGATTTAAAAGACCATATTTTTCGTTCCTCATCACAATTGTACAGCTTTAAATAGAAATGGTAAACTGTGTTTGAAAACTAGCAAGATTTTAATATTTGGCGGAATGGTGGCGTATGAAAATATCTTCTTTTCTGTCTCTCAAAATTAATACAGAACAATGAATTTAGTTATAATTTTTACACAATCAAAGAGACTTGAAGAATTTTTCAAATGTGAGCTAAATCAATGATAAGGGACTAAAGTTTTAAAATATATCAAATAAATATATGATTTTCCAAACAGGCTACAATTATGTTAGCTATTAAAAGCTTACAGTCTAAGTACAGATATGAGCCAAAAAACTGTAGAAAGTGTTTTTACTCTCTTATTAAACGGTCAAAACTTTTTGTTTTTGTATCATTTTGTACCTCTATATGACTTCTTTACCATATGTGAAAAATAAGAAAAATTTAAATATAGAGCGCATATGAAAATAACTTAAATATCCTAAAAATTTAAGAAAAATAGAGAAAATTCGGATAAACCAAAATCCATTTTTGCTAAACTATTCGCGCCAATTTAGTAATATTATCTTATAGACCTTTTATGGTTATATCGTTTTAGGCAAAAAGAAAAACATCTAATCTTTTGAAACAGAAGACCGTATCACATGATTCAGTTATTTTTATTCTTAATGGCCAGGGAAAAGGTAATGACCTTGACCTGACCTTGACTCTAATGTAAAACGGTCAAAATGTATCTAACTGATACCATCTCTAAGTAATATTGTCTTCTTGATTCTGTGAAAATTTTATTAATTTTTAAATACAAGAAATACAGTTTTGTGTGAAAAGAATCCTACCTTTCGTAGCACTGTTCAAAAGTTATGGTCATGTATGGCAAGCCAAATTCACAAAAATGAGATAATCATAGTTTCACAATCGAAAAACTAGGTTTATCGGTTGTAAACTATAGTTTACGGACTGTAAACTATAGTTAACAACGTTAATCTATATTTTACATCTGTAAACTATAGTTAACCCGATAATTTATGTTTCACAACCGTAAACTATACTTAACACCGAAAACTATCATTTGCGATCGCAAAACATAGATTATCTGATAAATACAGTTTCACGATTTGTAAACTATAGTTTACAAACCGTTAACTATAGTTAACGATCTGATAAATATAGTTTCACGATTTGTGAAACTATGATTAACAACTCTTAACTATAGTTAACGATCGTAAATTATAGTTTACAGACGTGAATCTATGTTTATCAACAAAATCTATTGTTAACGTTTTATTACAGACAGATAAACTTAAATTAACATTCGTAAACTAATTCCACAGTACAGTGAAAACTGTAGTACAAGTTTCATTCCAGCAGTTTGTTAGAAGACCTGGTAACAGAAGACTAAAAGTATAAATGTTATTTTAAAATGAGCTATTCCAGCATACTTTAACCATTAATTTCAGAGTAGTTGTGTGTAGTTTTTTGTTGTTTGACTAATCACAAGATACGAAAATTTCCATTTGTATTGAGAAAGGAATTGTCCATGTGATGTTTTAAAAAATCTAGTTTTTGATTTATCACAAGGAATTACTGGTCCTTTGGAGTGTAGGAATGTCGTACATTTTGGTATTCTTGGCTGCAGGGGAAAAAATAGCGAGATGGACTTTTCTAAAAGCACTAGGCATGTTTAAACGCTTTTGAGAATCCAAACCAGATGTTCGTAATCAGCAAAAAAAATGTTTAAATTGAAATGCATGTAACCTGCATAACATGAATCTGTACTCTCTCTCTCTCTCTACCCCCACCTCTGTCTCTCGTGGAAAAAGGGGGGATAGCTAGAGAATGTGTTATGTTTATTCGAGTCGTCTTTAGAAATCGCAATATTTTTACATCTTTTTACAACGTATTTAATTAATCAGATAAGTGCGACTGACATTGATCGGGTTTTAAATGTCGTGTAAGTCCGGTGAATTTAACCGCGGATATACATTTCTACAGGACCATTTCAAATCCACTGATACATTATTTTAATGGACCCACAGATCACAGTACAATACCAGTAACAAATCGTTACAAAACATCGTTATTTCCAATTTAATTGAACAATGCAAAAGGTTTAAACGTTTTTATTTATCTAAAGACATTTATGTACAAAAAGAATGAGATATCGATTGTCCATCCAAACGATCAAAAGCAATTCAAATATCATAAAGGTTGATATTAAGTTTCGCACGTTACATTTGGGACACCATTGTGCAATAAAATAAGATAAATATCGAGGCGACATTTGGTAGGTATGATTTGTGGACTAGCGAGGTTAATACCTAATGTGACCAACAGCTTTAAATCTCAACACGGATTATCTAATGACTTAACTTCATGCTAAGTTCACAGGATCAGATTAAGAAATCAAAACAGAATATTCTTCTATCTAAACTCCAAAGATAAATAAAAGTGTTTACTAGAAAATGGCCTGTCAGAAAAGAAAGGGTTGAAATTTAAGTTATAGTGAATCTTTAAATTTAATTGTTATATGCGTACTTCTTTGGATTATGTTTTACTAAAAAGAGGTTTTACTTAACACCAGTTAGGGAATTGAAGTGGAATTCCAGGTTGATAATTAGTAACACCGATTTTAATTATCTGGATTTGCCTTACATGGTTTTGTGGTGAGAATGGCCGAGGGAGAAAATGCTACTATTCTGACATATGTTCGGGAAAAAGAGGCGGCAAAAGAAGAAGTGAAAAAGATAGAAAAAGAATTAGCCGTCACGAAATCCAAACTGTACGACGCAAACCTAAAGATTGACGAGCTCAAAGAAAAGGTAAGGTTCTGTACGACAAGACGTTGTCCATCTTAATCAGTTTTATTGGGTATTCCATATTTCTTCATGATGACCCAAAGGCTGTCTCTGTGACCAAGTCGAAAGCTTTCTCAAAGTCCACAAAATGTATGTACATGGTATAGTATTCCACCCGTTGACTTGCTCTTGAGTGTTCCTGGGGATGAAAATCTGATTCACATGCAGTCTCTCTCCGGAACCCTGTTTGCTTCTCCCAACTCCAGCCTGTATTCTGTTGATGAGGATTCTGCTTAGTACTTTGCTGGCTAGCGGCAGCAATGTCACTCCCTTGAATTTTTGCAGTCCTGTTAGTTGCTTTTCGTGGAAATTTTGCAAATTAATCAGTCTTTTGGTCCATTTTGGGCACCTTCTCCTCCTTCCATCCTATCTGGTCAAAGGTAAGCTGCAGTTCCTGGCTAGTCAGATTCAGTTCTGTCTTTACCATTTCTGGTGTTATTTGATCTTTTCCAGGGGCCTTACCAATCCGAAGCGTCTTCAGTGCAGTCCTTTTCTCCTGTGTGGTGGGTGACCCAGCCGAGATGTCTAGCTCTTTCCCCTCCTACTGTTCATCCTGTGGTGGTGACTCTGGACTGTCCCCGTTGAGCACATCTACGAAACGTTCATTCCATCTGGCTGGTATCACTTCTTTATTTTTCAACAGCCCTCCATCTTTGCTCTTCACCACTGCTGTTTGTCTCTTACTCTTTTTTGTCAGCTGTTTTACTACTGTTTCTGCCTCCCGTTCTCTGCTGCTTTCTGTGCTTGCTCAGCTTTTTCTGCCTTTCATCTCCTCTTGTCCTCATTCGCATTTATTTTACTATTTTGTTTTTCTCTCTGATATTTCATCTCTGTAGTTTTCCTTCAATCTAGTCTTGATTCCTTCTGAATTTGTAACTCTCTATTTTTGCCTTGATGACTTTTTCTGTCATCTATCAATTTCCAGTGGTTTTCGCTGATTTAAGACTTGCTTTTGCTGTCATGTTGTAAATAAGTTTGAATTTACCGGGTGGCAGTAAATACAAAATTTACATCTGTCACGATGTAAATTTTGTATTTACTGCCACCCGGTAAATTCAAAATTTACAACATGACATTGCCTTTCATGAAGCCAAGTACTTCCTCTGCTGAATTCACGTATGCCATCTGTTGCTGCTTCCACATTTTCAGGATATTCTCTGTCTTTTCCTTACATCATTCTAATTTCTTTCTCTTGCAGTCATTGAACTTTGTTTTTATATTTTTATTTTTGAGGCGCCCTACATCCAGTCTTGATTTCAACTTGTTAAGGTCTTCCGTCTTCAGCGGAAGACCTTACTGTTATTCTTAGGTTTCTTTTCCACTATTTTTATTATTGTTTTTTCCTACCGATTTTGTGCACGCGATTTCTCGGAAACGGCTCGATCGATTTTCATGAAACTTTCAGATCTAATAGAACATCAAAAAATCTAGATATATATTTTTTTATTTTGATGACTTCACTTCCGGTTTGGAGTTTTTTTTAGCGATTTAGTGAATTTTAGAGGGTCACTTTGTCCGGCAGTTTTCTCAAAAAGCACTTAACACAGAAGCATGAAATTTTCAGTGATGCTAGAGCAACCTTTGGAGAAATGTACTTGGTATATCATAACTACCGGATGTACGAAACGCCGACGCTCGCTAGGGTCCGAAAATAGTCCAATCGTAAAAATCAAAATTTCTTACACCTTTTCTTCAATATCATTTTACCTAGAAATATTTTGTAAAAACATATAAAACAAAAGAAGTGTAGAATTACATGATCTTTCAAATGATATCTCGAAAAAAGGGCTGGCCTCTATACAGTTATTTGGCCAGTTCCGAATAAGAAACCGATTCGACGGTGCTACAAATATACTACGAATTATTTCAAAATCTAAGTGTTTTGTCAAGGTAGTTCGATGACTTGTGGAATTAAATATTGTTTCATAAAAGTTCAGCCTTCCCTCAATAAAAATGCATTTCGCAAGTTACCATAGGTGTCCATTTTACCAGTTACGAATAAGCCGACGGGTTCCGGATACCCCAGAGATTCTTATTCAATTCAACCCTAAATTAAAAAATATACGTCCCAGACGTTATCCATTGGCATGCCTAAGAAAAGTTAAATTAATTGCTTACCAATAAATTATTTGTATTTCCAAAGGTTGAGGAGAAATTAGAGGTACTGTGGGCACTGAGCTCATTTTAATGATACCCCACGCCTCCTTTATTATTATTTAAGGCAAAGTCCATGTTTTACTCTGGGAGACCCGAAAAAAATGTCAGATTAAAAAGTAAAAAGTAAAATAATAGGTCACAATGTCACAATGCAATAAAGAATATGTGAAAGTATCATTAAATCTTATTCAGTGGTATAGGAGGAATTGCGGACAAGAGATGGATATATCTTTCAATATTACAAAGAATGGCAGTATCTATGTTTTTCTCAGGGAGCCCAAATTATGTACCAGATCCAAAAATAAAATAGGTGCACTTTGGCACTGTTTACAAAGATTCTGTGAAAGACTCATTAAATTCTGTGAAGCCTCATTAAACTTCATTCAGTGGTAGAAGAGGGGTTGCGGATAAGAAATTGATACCCTAGAGCATATCAGACGGACGGACGTACAGCTGGACGGACGGACGTACAGACGGATGGATGGACAAACATCCCATTACTATATACCGCTTCTTCCTGTTTTTCAAGCGGAGGTAGAATAAGTCACGTTCACAATGAAGAAAACATCGAAGAGTGAACTTATAATACTGTGTTTAAAATGGGTATTCGAAACTGGTAAAATAAGAGCACGAAAATATTACGATATCTTCCAGTTTTCTAAATATTTATTTTTGACAAGTTTTTAGTATTTGTTAGAGTACATATCAAACTTACTTTTGATACCTAGAACGTTGTTTTATGTGAAAAATTTATGCATCTACAGAGGTTTTTCTGCAGACTTACGCGTCGCGGTGATTCAGATTTGTTGCATTGTAAAAGTATGTCGACTGTTTCAAGTACGATAACGAAACCAAACTGAGGGCAAAAAATCAAAACTTCACACAATTCAAACACTCATGAATAAGCCTTCTTACCATAGAAATCAATTTATTTTTACACCGTTGAATTTATTAATTATCAGTCCTTAAATTACTAATTATTCGGAACTGGCCAAAATCCGGAACTGGCCAAACGACTGTAATTAAGGGCCGCGAGGAGCCGAAAGTTTTTCCTTATTATCTCAAAAAGTATCGAGAATTTGTAATATGTTAATATGTTAATAAAGCAAAATTGTTCAAAATGTCAAGCCAAATCTATTGGGGTCATCAAAATTGTCCGGTTACGTCACTTCCGGTCAAACCGGAAGTAGTCCGAAAATGCGTATTTTTGCCGTTCTTGACAAGTTTTTGGGTAACATCTGTCACTGAGAGCATAAATTCAATTTTTCGTCCGTCGTTGTCACTTCCGGTCAAACCGGAAGTAGCAAAAAATGGCTTATTTTTGCATCGATTAACATAAATGTGGAGGATTTAAACCATTTTGGATGTATTTATTCATTTTTTTTAAAGAGTGAAATTTACTTCCAGTCAAACAGGACGGCAGACCTACTCGTTGCTTTGCAACGAGCTTTGCTCTAGTTCTTATTCTTATGTGTGCTGAGGCGTAGCCTGATTCGAGTCTTCACCAGGTAGCGGTCGCTGTTGGCATCAGCTCCCCTCTGGACCCTGGTGTCAAGAACAGATGATCTCTATTGACCACTTATGAAAAGGTGGTCAATTTGGCTTTTTGCTGTTCCAATAGCAGATACCTTTTGCCTTGTGTATGTCTTTACGAGTGAATAGTGTTTCTGTGATTACGTCCCTTGGTCGAACAAAATTCACACAGCCTTTCTCCGTTCTCATTTTGTGTTCCCAGTCCATGTATACCCTTAGTTCTTTCGAATCCTTTATTGTCACTTCCTACTTTGGCGTTGAGGTCTTCCATGATAATGATGATATCGTTCTTGTTACATCCATCCAAGGTCTTCTGTTGCCCCAGACAGAATTGATCCTTCTCCTCCTCTTACTTTTCATTATGTGGCGCATATGCTTGTATCACCGATGCTATACTTATCTTGTGTAGAATCTTGCCGTTATTTTCTTGTTAATGGCTGTCCATTCCATGAGTGCTTTCATTGCCTGCTGGTTGATCATTATTGCAAGTCCTCCCGCTTGTAGTTCTTTATCCTCGCTGTATATGACTGTCTGACACGAGGCCAGTCTCATCTTCCAAACTCCTGCCCATCTGCACTCACTGATTCCCAAAATGTCCAGTTGGTATCCTTCCATTTCTCACAATCTGTGCTGAAGCTCCTCTTCTATACATTGTACTCACATTCTAGTGTCATATGGTGGAAATTTGTTTGGTTGTCACAAGGGATCTAGTCGGACGCTGGGCTTCCCTCGGGCTTTCACCCCACGTCGTCTTGCTGCCAAAATTGGCGGTCCCCGCTTCACCCGGTCTTATTTGCTCTTTTATGTCCATTGTTTGTGGCTGTCTTTTTTCTGCTAACCCCAAGCTGTCTTTCCCTTATGCTGCGTTGGTCCGCGGCACCTTCTTCAGTCTATCCGGTACAACCCTCAGTAAGTGAGGGATCCCTTATCCGCCAAACGTGGGACATCCGTCCTAGCCGTGCAACCCCAGCCGAAAATTCAACCCCAGGTGCCTGGTAATTTTCTGATTTTTTATGTCAAATGCAAACCACGATCCTGATCTTAGAGACTTAAACTGGATTAAAAAATATGACCCTATATCACCAGTAACATCGTGATTAAAATTGATTTAATTACAATTTCGTATATTTCTGTCTAAAAACTGTTTTTTGTAATAAACCTTTTTTTCTTGAAGCCTAGTACGAACAAAGTCCAGTAAAAAGTAAGTCGTTTAAAGAAAGAAAACACGCAGTGCATTGGTGTCTGAATTTATATCGGTTTTTTATTCCAAAATTGTATAAGTGTGCAACATTTTCCGAGGGCTGTACCGAATAAAATAAGTTTATCAAAACTAAAACGTTGTTTTTTTTGCTACAATGCATTGATAGAATACATGTAGTTTGCTTTTAGAATTCATTTACGTTTTATTTCATGTACATGCATAATTGTGCTACTATTTCTAAGATATCGTACTTGTATGACTTTGTTTCTATCTAAGATAAAGACGTTAGAGGCGAGTAAACCCTCCACAAAGACACAACCTGCAAAGGCGGCAAATGGCAAAGCAAGCAGCAATAATAAAGGAAATCCCGGTAAAAAATCAGCACCCCAAGGTAAAAAGTTAGGAGGGAGTGCAGACAAAGCCTCACTAGCTCCCCCAGCAGACTCTGGAGCCTCCAGCAGGCCGGGGTCAGCCACGACCCGTCACCCTCCTATAGTCGGCAAAGAGGCCCTCTCACAGGACTCCGTGGAGTACTACAGAGTGAGTCAAGATTTCCTTTTCTCTTTTTCTTGTGCAAAAGATATCAAAATCATAACTTAAAATCTTAAACTGTCGCCCGCGTGGCGCAGTGGTAAGAGCGTCTGCTCTAGAGTCGCGAAGTAAGGAGTCAATCCTTACGTCGCGGGTTCGAATCCCATTGTGGAACGTGGAGACCGGTCCTTCGGATGAGACCGTATAAAGCGAGGTCCCGCGTCGTGGTAGATGCTGGCACGAAAAAGATTCCTCCCTTCTCAATGGCCCTGAGTGCCGAGTATAGGACAAAATTTGCTGCTCTTCACCGGCAAGTGGTGGCGTCTCCATTTGAGTGAAAATTTCTCGAGAGGATCGTTAAACAATATACAATCAATCAACCAATACTTGTAAATCTGACATATATACATACAGCACAATGCAAAACGTGACAGACAACGCCTTTAATTAAACGCTATAATTTTGTTTCAAAAGAAACATTTTTATAAAGGAATGTCAGTCATTTACCCCTGTATCTCTCATATCAGAGGGTCAACAACCTTAATAAATAATGTAAAACAGTGAATGTTTCCTTCCTCTTTGTAGGAAATAGGAAAACAATTTCCAGATATCAAACTCTCAGTCGTTATGGATGCAGAGAGCAAATTCAACCAAGCAGACCTCAACGGAGACGGGGTAAATATCCAAACTCACTTTGATTTTACTTTAAAATGTTGATGCCTCTGGAACCTAATTAGCTTGTTCATAATATGATTACTTTACGTACTACATAGCAAATCGACAAGGACGAATTAGATCGAGTTTTGGCCCATCATGTGGCATTGTTTACACCTGCCATGATTCAGGAACTGATCAAAGAAATTGACCAGGATGATAATGATACACTGGAATTCATGGAAATTTTAACGGTAAGTGGGAGATGGAATGTAACAATTCATTGAAATCATAAAGGTAAGGGAGAGGGGTATGTAATATTGTAATTTATGGAAATCCTGACGGTAAGCGGGAATAAATTCATGGAAACCCTAATGGTAAGGTGGGGATAATTCGCGGAAATCATAACAGTAAGGGGGGGGGGGGGGGCTAAGTAATGTATAGAAATCCTAACAGTAAGGGGGAGGGGGCTAAGTAATGTATGGAAATCCTAACAGTAATGGGGGGGGGGATAAGTAATGTATGGAAATCCTAACAGGAAAGGTGGGGGGGGGGGCAAAGTAATGTATGGAAATCCTAACAGTAAGGGGGGGGGGCTAAGTAATGTATGGAAATCCTAACAGTAAGGGGGGGGGGGGGGTTAAGTAATGTATAGAAATCCTAACAGTAAGGGGGAATAAATTCACAGAAACCCTAACGTTATGGGGGGTGTTAATTCACGGAAATCCTATTGTTAAAGTGGGGGGGGGGGTGTCGAAATTCACAGAAGACCTAACGGTAAAGAGAGGGGATAATTCACAAAAATCCTGACGGCAATGGGGGGGGGGGGGGTAATTCACATAAATCCTAATGGTAACGGGGATAATTCATCTTTGCAGTAAGGAATAAATTCATGGAAATCCTTTCCGTAAGGGGAAAAAGATTCATGGAAATCCTAACGGTAAGAAGGGGGGATAAATTCACAGAAATCCTAATGTTAAGGGGGAATATATTCAAAGAAATCCTAACAGTAAAGGGGGAGAAGGCGGAAATAACTCATGGAAACCCTAACAGTAAATTGGGGGGGGGGGGTATGTAATTCACGTAAATCTTAACAATAAGGGGGAAGACATAAATACATGTACTTTCAATCTTTAACTTTGAGATCAATGTCCACTTAAAAATACTTTATTTAGGCAAAGTCATAACCTGTTCATTAATAAGGTGACACCTGTTGACAATATTTTCACAGATATTGGATAAAATGGGCAAAAGGAGGCAGAAATTGTCCAATATACCCACAGCAATCCAAGACAATAGTACAAAAGTCTGTTCTATACAATAGTGTCAGGAGGATTACCATACAAACTCAGGACTACAAATCTCTTCTAAACAATACTGTTGTGTAGTGAAATAATCATATATAAAACTCAGGAGAAGACTATTCTGTGTCATGAGGATTGGTGCAAAACTTGGGATTTCATTTGTGATATTAAGAGGCTAAAATTTCAAGACTGACAAAAGTGCAGCAAAGGAACAAAATGAATCAATGTCAAAAGGATGCCAACAGGGCTTAATCCCCATGGAGTCAAAAAGAAAACAGCTGCTTAGGAAATATAATTTTACAGATTAAACCATTTAATTTGATTTTTATCTCAGCAATAAGCTGTTTAATCGAATACAAATCCCCACTAGAAATATCACCCAGTAGGCTTTAGTTGCATTTTAATTAATGGTCATGTTATGATCTACTTTAGAGGACATAAATATATTATTTATATGTTTAAATGCCATAAGGTATTTAATGTTTTCATTTATTCAGGTCAATCAAAATTCTGTTGTTTATTTTAATGTCTCAATGAAATTAATACTTGGTTTTTGTCCAGGATTGAAAATCTATATAATGAAGAATTGTACAAACTTTTAAATTTTTAATAAATGCATGTAACATTTTTTTTTAAGCTTTAAAAATGGGGGGTGGGGGGGGGGGGCAAACATTTTATATGCACTATGATTCCAAATGACATGCTACTCTTATTTAATAAAGTCAAACAATTTAAAGACTGGATCAGTGCAAAATCTGACTTTAATGAATGACCACACACATAGGACTGCTATTAAACATTGCAGGAAATAACAAACTGGTAACTATATAAGGCAGTTTTTTTTCTCCACCATTAGATGTGTACATTTATTAATTTAAAATCAAGATCTCTTAAACAAATATTCTTACATTAGATATATACATGTATATAAAAAAGTTGTTACATCTTTAATACTTAATGAAACCAATGAAGATATTACATAATTGCACATTAACACATTCACACTATGGAATAGGATTATAAATACATTGACTAGATTTATGTAGTTGATATATACTCCCCGTCAATGAAAACGCAACATTCTAATTTTAGGGTGAAAAGTATATACGGGTTATAACTATATACCAAACACGTTAGGACATCTTTAACTTTGCCAAATCAGTTATTTAATGTTTGAATGGCTTTCATTTCATTACCGAAAGCATTAACAGATAACATTTATAAAACACCCCCCCTTGACCATTTAATCAAAACATGCTAGTCCGCTATGAAAATTATCATGTACGCATACGATTTTTACCCATTAGGTTTATCAATGTCTTTATCTGAGCGAAAAAAAATTTTTGGGCATTTTTAATTGCATGTTGTTCAGAAACTGCGGTCGAATTTTCTCTAACTTGGCGTAGTGTTACAAGAAAATGTTATTTATGCTACTGCAATACATGAGCCTGATGAGTCGTGATATAGTGTACATTTCAACACTGCAGCTCTTTTTTTCTTTATTTTAAGAATTTCCAGCATTAGCAATGAAAATCACATTTTGATGAAAAATAGGCATCACATCCGGTAAAAAAGAAAGATTTGTTTCCTGGCCTTTTAGCACAATACTTATGATTAACAGTTTCAAAACCTTGAAAACCCAAAATATTGTTTTAAATTTTATTAAAAATGCAAAAATTTGATTTCAGATAAGAGGGCTAAAAAGCAACTTCCGGTAGAGGAAGGAAATTCATTCAACCGTTAAATAATTGATTTGGCAAATATGTCTTAACTTTTTTGTACATAGTTATAACCCGTATATACTTTTCACCCTAAAATTAGAGTGTTGCGTTTTCATTGACGGTGAGTATATATCCCAGAAATTTTTGTTGAAAATTTTGCTTTGGGTTTTAATGTAGGCAAGTCCCTCTCAAGTAGGAACAAACAAATACAATATAATTAAGTGGAGATAAAATATTAATCACATGGTAATATTTAAAATAGAATTAACAAGTAATGCATTTAAAGCTTAAGCTTGAAAGCTAAATTATTGATATGTTAAATATATAAAAATTCAAACTCATTAATACTGATGATGATCATCCTGTAAACAAAGAAAAATACAAAGTACAATGTACATGTATAACATAAGACCAATGGGTTTAATGAATAATTCAGCAAATTTTGACAGAAACACATTTAAGTGAATACACTCAAGAGATTCTATACTGAAGACCAACATTTAATTTGTTTGGGAGAAATATTTTACATTACTTTACGTATGAAACTCAATATGAATCTCAAATAAAAGAAGTCAGGGATACAAGCTGGCTTTCAATTTACTCTGAGGACCATGATTCCACATCCTAAAGTTACATTACAACACAAACTTTTGGTACATACGTATGTATTTGGAATGATTTTTTTTGGGGGGTAGGAACAAGGAAGATAACCCACAACAAAGTCTAAAGACTCTGGCAAGAGTTACTGAGCATTAAAACAGATAACAGTATAACAAAACAAAATTAAAGCACTGCTGCTTGGACAGAAAAAATTATGTATAAATGCACATATGTATATAAACATATGTATTACATATTGTGTAAACATAAAATGTGTACTTTGGAAAGTTAAAACTCTAAATGTATGAACATGAAAGATCTGTGTAAAATAACGACGGTATGTTATAATAACATAACATTGAAAACATCATAATCATAAATATCATCTAATGCACTCCCTTCATTACATAGTAATAAGATTCACTCACACTGAAATGCAACTCAGATCTAGACATCCTTTTCAGATTTTAATATTAACATACATTAACAAAGACAATAACTTCCTGACTTTGGGGCCACCAACGTATAAAAATCTCAGCCTCTGCAAATCTTAGATTTCTGCCTCAGCTAAGATTTTCCAAAAAGCACCATGCCACAAACATTTCTGAGATTCACGAATGTAAGCTGCGATGTAAGAAAAATCTTAGAATTCTGTCAAGATTTCCAAAAACTCTGTACCATCAACGTTTCTGAGATTTGTCTGTCACATAACTTTAGATTTTTGAAAATTTTTAGAATTAATCTCATTGCTTTGACAACATTTTTTTTCTGAGAATGCATATTAATTAATAAACTTAGTTGATTTTGCAATATCAGATCTTAGATTTGAGAAAAAGACAAGTCTGAGTTTGAGAAAATATTTGTGGCAGAGTTATTAGAGAGAAAAACACAAATTTTTTGAAAAATTTCAGATTTGAGAAAAGCTCAGCATTGGTGGCCCCTAAGCCTGAAATAGATTCATCCCAATATACAAGGAAATTCCATTTTTTTTTTTTTTTTTGCTTATATAGGGATCATGTTCTTAATGTACATTGCAGGTTGGCTTTATTTTTCAATTTACAGCATTTTTGAAAATATTGTATTTTTCTTTTCTTGCATTTTCTTTTAACTTTTCATTTCCAGCATGCAGAAGTGAAACATAAAAAATGCTAGAAATTGAGGCATAATACCAAATATGAAATGTACAGTTACATGCCCTTATAATTACAGGAACACATGGCAGTAAAAATCAGGTAATATTGTATCAGCAACAATGGTAATTTCTTCAGATTAAAAAAAATAAGTAAAAAAAAAATAAAATAAAATCTTTGGGCTTTGATTATCTTTAGCTAAGTAGTAATTAGTTTTTACTGGGGGGGGGGATGATTGACAATGCAGTCATTTTTTTCTTCAGCACTGTTAGTACAAGATAAATGTCAACAACAGCAACACAACAACAACTGTAACTGAATTATAATTTTTCATTTTCCTTCAGAAATCAGCATGCTTGTAAACAATCAACAGAGTTCTTGAAATCTTTTTTCCACTGTCAGTCAATTGGACTGACTGCCCCAGGTAGATTGTCGGTCCAGACAGATTTTTATCAGTCCAACAAAATAATTAAACATAATTTTAAGAAGATTAAAATTGTATTTGAATTTTATTATCATTACATTTTGCAACCTCCATCATATACAAATATATATACAGGCGAATTTGATCATCGTATAACAAATTTCGTTGAATTCTTGTGGGAGATCAATTTTCTTCATAAGTTTTTAATCTGGTTCGATTTTTCTCACCTGGCTAATACCTTATCGCCGTCAAGAACTTGTTAAAACAATTAATCAATCATAGTTTGGTACTTGCCTTCATCGAAGAAGCCATTACGAGATACTGAAAAGCGATTAACAGATTATGTTCGTTCGGTCATAGGGAATTCGTACGAAATTTAGTCGGATTATTGCAAGTTGCTTTCTCAACATCTACCAGTCATTTGGACTGACACAGAACGTAAAGTGATCGGTCCTTGGTTGTTTTTATCGGTCTTGCCGACAGGACCGAAAGATTTCAAGAACTCTGAATCAAACAACCAACTGACAATGTATAAAATGATGGTTTGCTGGTATTTACTCCTCTTTTCTACATTTAAACTGAAACCACTAAAAATGGTTTCAAATTCTACCTATGCTGTATTGCCAGAAAAAAACTTCTTTATTAAAAAATCATACATCTACTGGCTCTGTTGCCTCCTCCTTGGATGACCTTGACCTTGTGACATTTGGTTGGGCTGTAGTTTTGAGCTCCGTGTTCTCGCTGGACGTGACTGGGATAACACTTATGTTCTTATCCTCATGGTTGGTGGGGAGGGGTAGCTCCTCTCCTGTCGTCATCTCTGTTTCCCCCTCCATTCTTTCATATTCCCCAGACTGGCCTGTTGACAAAAACTTGATAGCTCTGTCAATTCACAAAAAATAGCGAGAGATTATTAATGTTACAGAATAATTTATCAGAACATCAGTATGCTGTTTTAAGTATAAAGAATAAAATATGATCTAAATTCAGATGAAATGGATCTATTTTTTGAAAATCTTATTTAACCTTTTTTTTGGTGAAGATCTATTTGAAATAATGGAGACCATAATACTACTGTACTTACATAACAAATCCCACAGGAATGACTAGCAGGATGACGGACAGGACAAAGACAAATCCCGTGAAGTAGTCAATGCTGTCTGCGTAGAGAGACTGGAACATGAAAGGGGCCAGGAAGTACGTGATCCCCTCCCCACAATGCATCAAAGCAAACAGGGACCCTGAGGAATAAAAAAAAAATCATTAATTTTCATACAGGCTACAGTTATATTGCATATTAAATGTAAGCATAGATGAAGAGAATACCATCACCATAAAAATCAATAGTTCCTCATTGTGCCTTTGTTATATCATAACTAAATTAACAATCTGACACTTAGAACATACCATGATAGAGAGATTGGTTGGTTTTGACATGCAACAATTCAAAACACATTTTTCTTTACATTTAACAGAGTTCAGGTACTGTGTGCAATAGATAGCCCAGGCTGCTGCAACTGAACAAAAACACACCATAACCTTGATTTTGCCTGAATAACCTTAGTTTGAGGTCAAGATACACCTGTAAGTCATAATATATTTTTTTGGTTAAGTATGGCTTCCTTTGTTTCCCATTTGAATATATGACCTAGGACTAGAATTATGCCATTTTTCTGACTGAGTGACCTTAAACTTTTCCAATGACTCAGTCATGGTCACAACAAACTCTCAGATTCAAGGTAATCTTTGTACGGAGTATACAATTCCAAACATGAATGTCTTTTCATTTGAAAGAAATGGACTGAAATGAATAATAAATGTATATATTTTTCCAATATGTGCCTTTGGGTAAAAAACAAGACACATTTTCAGATCATAAGCAAACTTTGTTTCAAAATTAAGCTTCTGAAGTTATGGTCCCAGAAGGAAATAGTGGTTCTTATCATGCTTATAAAATCCTAAAAATTATTTTTTTGGAAGGAGGGATAAAAATAACTTCAAATAAACACTAGGGAATACATTGCCTAGCAGGTTTTCTGAGATAGTGTAAAATATTGCTTGCTCAAAGGTACCCCTATAATTTTAAAGGAACATTTTCCGACAAGCACTAGGTTTCATGAAGTTGAAAACTAATAAAATATTTGGGTACTATGTTAACAAGTGTACTTCAGGTATATGAGATATATCTCCTTTGGTACATTTATATACCAATTTATGCAAAAGTTCAGAGTGGTATAATGTTTACTGGTAATAATGAGACTTATCTGTAGTCAGTACCGGTACTTAAATACAATGGTGCAAAATTTAGCAATAAGAATTTAAGCTGGGTTTTACCAAATTGGTAAAATAAGCCAACGTAAGTACAGTGTACCCAGCAAAATATCCCTTAAAATGGCCAGACTTAACCTTTAGAAAACTGGAAGTTTTTTAATACCTTGATCAGCTGTTTCTATATTGTTAGCAACAACTGCTCTTAACATTGGAAAGGGAATCAGCTCCAATACCAAGAGGAAAATTGCTGGAATAGAATAACAATTTGATTACATATAAAAAAGAAAAAAAAAAAACAAGTTTCTCATCAATAAATTATCAAGAATGTTGAATTACATAAAATAGTACAGATTACAATTTTTCTTACCAAAATATATCACAACTTCATTCTGAACAACAGCTAACCAGAGTGTCCCCACAGCCTTGGAGAAAAGTCCCCCAAATGTGATGTGGATATCAGAGAACCAGTTCCTCAGCACGGGGGGAGTGAACAGCACCCCAAAAGATGCCACGCCCATGGCTACCGACAAGAAAACCCCAACCTTGTGAGACTGCCAGTGATAAGGAGATCCAGTGAAATAAAGAACAAGAGTGTTAATTTGTCCCAAATGAACCCAGGCATAACTTTGAAATGCTAAAATGGCTAGCCACATAATTAGAAGTTTCCTGTCTTTACATCTAAAAAACTTTCCCATAGGTCTGAATGTGTCTATACAACAGTTTTCTGTGTCATATCTATTAGGATTACTTATTTCAACTTTTACTTCCTTTACAAGGAAAAATGAAATCAGAAAAGCAATGCAGCCACAAATCAATGTGAACCAAAATGGTTGGTGAAACCCACTAGCTTGTACCCAGTAGCCAACCATAATATTAGCTATTGCATATGCTAAGCCATTTAAAGATTCTTGTATAGCAAGACGTGATGAGCGCTTCTCTTTTTGCGTTGTGTTAATGGCAAAAAATGTACTCCCAGCTAGGAATGCAGTCATACTGCCACTCAATCCTCTCAGGGCTGAAGCCATAAATAAACCATCCAATGTATAACTAGTGTACAGAATCAAGATGTAAACTAAAGAGTGAAGAATTCCTCCTAGCGAGGGCATCCACAGCAGAATCTTCCTCCGTGAGGTTCTGTCACTGACGGCCCCCAGGATAATTACAGTAATCACTGCAGGAAGTCCCTCTGCTATCTGTAAACTCAGGATGGCTAACGTGCTCTCTCTGTGAGCAACGTTAGACAGACTGGAGCCATTGCCACTGTACACAAATGGTTCTATTGCAGATGCTTTCAAGTTATTTTGTTTGTAAAACTCGGACTGAACGTACTCCTGGAATAACGGTAAAGTCATGTGTCTGGAGAGAAAGAAGAAAAAATACGCCACCTCTACTAAGTATGGCTGTACCTCAGATAACATCTCCATACAATGGGCATTTGACTGGCTAGCAAACCGTCTGACACTCTCCATTTTGAACAACTCTATATATAATTAGCTACATTCATAAAAACATGATAACTGTCATAAATATTGTCAACTCTGACGTTGTTGAAACCGGAAAATTTTACAAAGCGACACCAAGCGGTAAAGTTCGATAATCAAGAATTCATTGTATTTCCCGCCAAATGTCAATTATCTAAATAACGAGTTACTTTGTATATATATTTTTATGAATATTGTATTAAATTGTTGTTTTTATTTTTCTCATCAGAACAATACATTAGTGTAAGAGGACAATTGGACCCTATCGAAAAAACGCGTCATTATTATCATGATTATTGCCATTTAACTGTGACGTCACATGTTCCATATCATTGTGACATCATTTACTTATTGCCATTTAACTGTGACATCACTTGTTCCATACAATATTGTGACATCACTTTTTCTTATTGATAAATCATGTCTCACCAGGGTGTAAGATGTTTGTCTAGGGCAGAGGCCGCTGACATTCGTAGCAACATCCCTATTGCTGTTTACTGGTCAGATGATGACGTAGCAAATTGGATAGAAGAGAACGGTTTCCCACAGTACAAGGTAACAGTATGTTGCTAAAATTTAATATAAATTTTGAATATATTTATAAATATGCCATTGTTTTCGAACATATGTCATTGCACCAATTAGAATATATTTTAATAAGTAAATATTTATAGCATAAAGATGCACACGAACTTGAAATATATATGCAATTTTCATCTAATTTTGTAAATAAAAATTAAACATAACCCTTTTTGCCTTTATACAACTTGATTTTTTAAAGGGAGACGTTCATATTTATAATATCTTCCTTCACGAAATTAGATGGGGAGTGCCTACAAGCCCAGATAGCAAGACATAGTTGGGCCAACGTTGGCCCAATTTTTTTTCCAACGTTGGCCCACTGTTGGAAGTCCTACGTTGGCCCACGGTAATTTTGCTCATCGGCCCAACGTTGGTCCAACATGTTGGCACATTGTTGGCCCAACGTAGGTATAATTGTAAGCCAACAAATAGCCAACATTGGTAAATGGTTGGTTAGGTTGGCCCAATGTTGGCCCTCAGTTGGTCCAACATGTTGGCATATTGTTGGGCCAACGTAGATATAATTGTATGCCAACAAATAACCAACATTGGTAAATTGTTCGTTAGGTTGGCCCAATGTTGGCCCTCAGTTGGAAATGTTGGCATATTGTTGGGCAAACGTAGGAATAATTTTAAGCCAACAAATAGCCAACATTAGTAAATAGTTAGTCAGGTTGGCCCAATGTTGGCCCAATGTTGGAAATGTTGGCATATTGTTGGGCCAACGTGGGTACATATCCAAGCCAATTAACAGCCAACATATAGATACATGTAATGCTCATAAGAAGGACATGGAGATAACGATCAGTATTCAATCTCAAAGTCCATAAAACGATACAAAACAAGAGCAGAGCAAACACGGACCCCCGAAACATCAGAGGTGGGATCAGGTACCATGGAGGAGTGAGCATCCCCTGCTGACCGGTCACACCCGCCGTGTGCTCCATGTCATGATCAGGAAATAGGATCAGGAAACTGTTTCTTTAGCATGTTTAGGTTGGCTCTACCCTTTGTTGCTTATTCTCAAAAGATTGAGAGATGTTGCTCTAAGCTCTTTGTTGGCCAGTTGTTGGATATAATTTAAATCTGTTAAAACAAATTGAATAAAAAAACATATATCTGTTAATTATCCTTATAATGACATATATCATGATTATTGAAAGTGTACTCTTTATATACACATTTATATGCATTCACAATGCTTACGAGTAGAAAAAAAACCATTACAAATGATTATCTGTAAAAAGATTTTATATCAATTAAATTGTCAAAAAGTACAAAAGTAATATTAAAAAGATGATGAAGATTTTATATCAATTAAATTGTCAAAAAGTACAAAAGTAGTATTAAAAAGATGATGAAGAAAGTTTTTGGAAATAATTAATCAAAGTCTTTAATCCTGGCTAGCTTCCTCACTGTCCCTTTCCTTCTCTTTCTTTTTCTCCTCCCTTTTTCTTCTCCCCCCATCACGATCCTTGGCGTACCTTAGCCAGTCCTTCACAAGTCTTTCAATTTCATTGTCAGTCGCTGCACTGCAAAATTTATTTTTTCTCACAGCCTCTGATTTGAAAATAAAAAGAATGAATTTGCTTTGAAAACAAAATACTGGTAGAGACATCATCATGTAGATATTTATATGAAGACAATAAAAAATATTAACAAGTGCATTTTAATTTATAAGCTTTGGTATCTTTATCGTAAACAAGAGGCCCAAGGGCCACAGCGCTCACCTGAGCACATCGGCTAAGACAAAGACTTATCAAATCAGACCTGAAAGTTTACTGAGGTAAAGGGGGGAGAGGGCTTGAATTTTAACCCCCTCCCCCCTCTCTGGTCATATTTTGAACAAACTAGAAATCTACACTACCTGAGGATGATTCCATATAAATATCACTAATTATGGCTTTGAAGTACTTGAAAAGAAGATTTTAAAAGATTTCGCTATATATTCCTATGTAAAACTTGGGTCGGCCATATTGGCCCAACCCTAGCCCTGAGGGTCATGATTTTAAAAAACTTGAATCTACACTACCTGAGGATGATTCCACATGAGTTCCATCTTTCCTGGCCCAGTGGTTCTTGTGAAGATTTTTAAAACATGCCATCAAATTTTCACTATTTCTGAATTATCTCCTCTTAAATAAGGGCATGGCCCTTCAATTGAACAAACTTGAATCCCCTTCACCTAAGGATACTTTGTGCCAAGTTTGGTTGAAACTGGCCCAGTGGTTCTTGAGAAGAAGTCGAAAATGTGAAAAGTTTACGACAACGACGGCGACAGACGACGGACAAATTTTGATCAGAAAAGCTCACTTGAGCATTCGGCTCAGTTGAGATAACAATATTGTTTATGCAATAAAAATAACTAGATTGAGACAACTTGACAGAAAGATTTTCAATACTCTGTTATACTTACTTATAATTATGTCTTTTAACTTGAGACTTGAGAGCCCTCTTTTACTTCCTTTACCGCTCCAGTTCAATTGGATTGCCAGTGATGTTGCCATCAAAAATGAAAGTACTCTCCGCACACAGGTTTGCACATTGTCACCACCGATACATATTAGTTTTCCAAGCTTAAAATCACAATATGTAACTGTTTACTGATAAAGATACGTGTACGTAAAAATGATAAATTTGTTTTTGTAGAACATTATTTATTATAAAATATTTACAATAAGACAAAGTATTTATTCAAGTTTATACCATTATTTTGGTGGTTTCTTGGCTCTCCAGTTGCTCCTCTAAAGAGTCCAGTTCCTCTTGGGTTTTCAAGGGAAATTCAATTCCAATGTCTACCTCATTCTCCATGGTGGTAGTAGTTGTTCCAGTAACCTCAACTTTTGCCAATATATTCTGAAGTAATTTGGTATTAAATCTGACCTGTCCCTTTACATCCTCTAAAATAGTGAGGATTTTGATGTTCGTTGCTGAAAAGTAATCAATTATCTTTAACCACAGTAAAATCTGTTTGTATACAAAATCTCCAAAAATATTAAATTTATAGAATTTGAAAAATACATCTGTAACAAAACTTTAAAATATTGGTTCAAAATATACACGGTATACTTATAAATAATTCTCTTTTACCTGTCATTTGTTGATTTGGCGTTGAATCCAGTGCAGATTTAGATGAAGTTGGTGATGATGTCGAACTTGATGTTGTTTTAGTGGATGGGGTCGAGGGTGCTTTCCGTGCTGGTGATGCAAGTGAAGGCAGGGCAGGGAGTGGTGGTGGGTCCGGAAATTGTTTCTTTGATTTTCGAGGTGATCTTCGAAGGCTACCTGAAGTTTTGTCCTGGCTTATATTACATTCATTCTCTTCCTCGCTTTCAGAGGAAAGGGGATCATATCTTGGATTTGGTCTGAATAAAAATTAATGTATTAAACAAAACAAATAGGAATAACTTACTGAAGAAAAGTATAAGAAAATGTTTTAATAATCACAGCCAGTACTTTTTCTTTCTTTTCGGTACTGTGTCTGTTTCTTCATCTGCCTGGTCACTCTCTAAGTTTGAAGTTACTTCTGCTCTCGAAAGCCTTTTCCTAGCCTTTTCATAATCGTCTGGGTGTGTAAAAATAACAATATTATAACAGAATAAATTTGGATAATAACATAAATATATGATGTTTTCTGTTCTTCACTCATTATTATGTTCATTCTTTTTTCAAAATTTGCACTTTATATATGACTGTAAGAAAAAAATAGATAAAATTATTGTATGAACTTTGTAAGAAATTTCAAAGTATTTTTCAAGGAAAATATATATATTTACCAGATTCATACAACACTCGGATGGAAAGACACATGAAAGAAGGTGTAGGCTCCATGGACTGTTTAACAGCATGGTTTATTTTGTCCACATTTGTCCACATCGGCCATTTGCACTTTTTCTTGTCATCAGTGAGCCAGGTCTTAGGAACGACCGCAACAGAGCCCTCATCAATAAACTCAACCACTGCGTACATAGACCTATCACAGATCAAACATTTATCTTACGACGCTGTATACAAAATTATATATATTTAACTTCTTGACCTTATTTTCACACATATCTATAACTACAGTACATATAAAAACTACTTTCTTATGTAAGTTTTACCAGATAGTACTTGTGAATGGGATAGCCAAATATTTCCTTTTATGAGGAAGTAGAGTGCATTTTGCTTGGATGTCAGACAATTTACAAACACTTTCAGTAGTGCCTAAATCATGAACAGTTTGTATTCCAAGAAAACCAGAAGGTACCGGAATATCGAAGAAATCCTCCGAATATTTAAATGGTTGGTATACAACATAAGTGTCGGCATCATCTAAAATGATGTTTTTAACCACACCTATTTGTCCCCCTACACGCACGCAACTATCTTTCTGATTCAACTTAATACTAAATTTGGGAGTTGCTACTGATCCATATTGAATTCCATTTGAAAGACAGGGTGGCAAAGGTCCAATTTTGTGTTGTTTCCTTAAAACTGGATAATGTTTTTCAGGGGTTTTAGTACCTTGTGTATTCCTTTCCTCTGAAAGTCTACGGATAATCTGCTGTAAAGGGAAGGATGGTTTGCGCACCATACGTTTTAGTCTTCCCAAAAAATTTTCAAATGGAAAGGATGATACATTATCAAGATTCCCATATTTGGAAGCATCAGCTGACAAATGAACCAATCCATGAACATTATACACTAACATGTCTTTCCCATAAATTTGACTGAAATGTGTAACAAATGCAACAAGAAGATCATGAGCAAATGAACAATACATTTCACACAAACAATCATTCAACAAAATGTGAATTGCAACAGAGAGTAGCATGAAATTTTTGTACAGATTGTTGTGTACAACTTGCAAAAGAACAAGAGGACCTGTATACAACAGAAATTGTCTGAACTCTGTCGCTTTCCATCTATCAATGACATCTAGGGACCGTGGTTTTCGGGAAAATTCACATGGAATGTAATTTTTCAAAGACAATAATGATTCAGATATTTTGTTTACATCTTGTGAACCTAGTCTACACTTTAATGGTCCCCTTAGCCATAACAAAAGCAATCGTTTGACAACACCTAAACACACTAGATGCATGTAATCTATAGGGAATTGGGTCACCATGCCTACATTTATTTCCGCTAAAGGTGATATGCCTTTGTGGTGCTCTTCATCAGATAACGAGTCAAATGAGGGATCTGTTCGTATGGGTGCATTGGTTTCAGGAAAGGTCATTTTGCCTAAATGAACACCGCTCTGTGTACATTTGTCACAACCTGAGTAGCCAGAGTGGCCTTTGACACATTTCACAAATGCCCTTGCTGGAGTATCACAGATAAACGAGTCTATTGCTACACTGAAATGCTTGCCATGGATATCTAAGCCATTTTCTTGTATTTCCTTGTACTCTTCAATAAAGTTTTGAAGATAATTGTTTAGATTGTTTGGTTTGCTTTGTCCAGAGAATAAACCAATAATAAAAGGGGAATCATCAGTAATGTTTCTTATCCTACCAAGAATAGGCCAAAACTGATCATTGGTGCTTTTGAACAAAGGCAAACCGTCAATGTTTATTTGCAAAGCAAAACTATATTCATTTTCAAGGAAACGAAGGCATGGTTCAACCTTTTGAGATATGCTACTAACAATACCAAAATGATAGTATTGCCCTCCGCCAATTTCTGACAAATTATAAGTTGTTTGCGTCTGTAATAGAGTTCTTGGGTCTTTTCGCAATTCTGGGAAGTGTGGTTTTAAGATATCCAACAAAGATAACAAAGCCATATTTGGTATCTGAAATGTTGTAGACCATTCCCTAAGTTTTTGTGACATTGTCATCTTGTCCTCATTATCAGACCCACTATCTGAACTACTAAAAATATTGTTCGGGTGAATCATGTTGTCATCACTTGCTATATGTGCAGTATCTGAATCATGATCATCTTCACTCAGATAAAAACTCTGGTGTAAATCTAATTGTCTCTGAGAATCTGATTCCGATTCCATATTTTGATTTATCACTTGGACAGACTGATTTCTGGGTTCAATATATTCTACTGAATTAGCAATATTATCTAAGTCTCTGAGTGTTTCATTTTGATCTGTCCCAACAGTAGAGTTTTGGATGTTCTGTAAATCAGCCAAATGCCCAGAAACGCGTGACCTCATATTTCTTCTCAAAGTCCAATATGACTCAATTTTCCTAGCCATAATTGTTTGAAAACAAGGTCAAGTTTAAATTTAGATACTATTTGCCACCAAATAATTTTTAGATAGGTCTATGTCTCCTATATCGTTTTCACCTAAGTTATATATTTATCTGAAACAGAAATAAAGTTTCTCCAAAAATATCTTTTAAATCAAATACTCCAAGTTAATTGTTTACACCTGCACTCATAATTTCCAGGGTAATTCACTGGTAAACGGCCTACTGTGCATAGCCATCGGCATATGTTTACATCCAAGGCTGTAACTGGAAATTAAAAGTGCAACCTAATTTACGAACCAAATCCGGAAATCGGGAGATTTTCTTTCGGCAGCAGGCAAAGCCTATTTTAGCCCTCTCCCTAAGTACAAGTTTAGCTCCCACCCACAATGTAGTAAATTGTTGTAATTGTTTTGTTCAAATTCACATATTGCCAACTGACCTAATTTTTCACCCTCAACCCGATTATTTTTTATGACCCGGCGGGTAATGCTTTTCAACCGATTTTTGCCGAACAACCCCAATCCCATTCACTTATGTGAATAAAATTTTGTATAAATAATGAAAAAAAAAACTTGTACTAAAAAAGAATATATACATAAGCAGAACATTATATAATGCATACTTAAAGGAAAATAAATTCATGTTTACCAAATATGCAAACATTTTGATCACTGCAATGATGGTATTTTGATATGATCACTTGTAAATGGCGGATTGCTAAAATATTTAACATGTTTAATGCAGCGCAACGATGTATAGGCTTTAACATTAGGAAAAACCATCACATTGATTATTATACAAATGAATATATTTTGTATGAATTTTGATCAAGGACAAATAAGGTACTGGAAGTTAATAGTTACAGCTTAAGATTAACTCCTTGGTCTTCGGGCATAAACATGATAAGATGGAACCAATACATTTGGTACATTTGAAAATAATTTAAGGAAACAATAAGAATTTATACTCACATCTCTTTTTTGAAACAGCTATATAACCGTTGAATAATCCAAAAGTAAAATCCCGCTCTGTATATTGAGTCTGTAAACCACCTGTGGGTAATTGAATTTGACATCTCACACCACAGTGCCCGCATCTTGTTGTTTTAATCGCTCAGACTCCATTGGTTTTAACGACTGGCCTATCTAACTGTTTCAAAACAATCATGAACCTTGTTGGGTTACTTTGATTTATGTATACACGCATAAGCCTCATGTACATCCTGTCCCTGGGAACTTAATTCAGATGTCTTTTCATACGTTAATGCAGCGTTTTATTAGTTATTTATTTCAGAATCTGCTTCCTGAATTTATATTATTATTCTTTAATATTTTGCAATATCAGATAAATTTGAAACAACTATTTGACAAAAATTTGAAATCTTAGAATTTATTACAGGGACCTCAGCAAATTAACAAGTTTCATTAAAAAAAAGCACCAACGCATTTGCACTATCTTATGTTTCTCAGCTAACAAGAACACTGAATTTTAGATCGTAAAGCAATTGTTGGGCCAACATCGGGCCAATGTAACAATCCCAACTTAAACTTGAACACTAATTTGAACACTCATGTTTACATGCATCGGGCCAACACAGGGTCAATGTTCTATTAACAGCTCAATAAACTATTTTATATGGGATGCTTCACAAACGTTGGGCCAATGTTGGGCCAACTTTTAATCGCAACCTTCTTTGATGATAAAAAAAAATGGATTTGGTTTACGTTGGACCAACGTTGGGTCACTGTAGGATCAATGTAACCATCCAACTTAAAAACTATTATAAAAGAACACTCATGCTTACATCGGGCCAACGCTGGGCCAACGTACTATAAACAGCTAAATAAACTGTTTTTTTTTATAGGATCTGTCACAAACGTTGGGCCAATGTTGGGCCAACTTTATGACCCCAACCTTCTTGGATGATAAAGAAAACTGGAGTGGGGCCAATGTCGGGCCAACTTTATAATCCCAACCTTTTTGGATGATAAAGCAAACTGGAGTTGGGCCAATGTTGGGCCAACTTTATAAACCCAACCTTCTTGGACGATTAAGCAAGCTGGAGTTGGGCCAACGTTGGGCCAACGTAGGATTTCCAACATTGTTGAGAAACCTCACATGGTAGCATTGGCCCAACGTTGGCCCAACGTTGTATACCCAACGCCAACCATACAACCATTTGCCAACGTTGGCCCAACATAGTCTTGCTATCTGGGAGTATGTATACAGTGTATGGATAAAAACTGTTTTACTTTATTAAGTGTATTTTAGCCCCCCCCCCCCTCCCCTCGCTGCTGCCAGCTTATAGAAAATTCAAGTTATACCTGTCTGATCTGTCCCTGTGCCAGTATACTGGCATGGTTTACCGGGATAAACAAAGTCTTGGAGAAAAGGCTAGCTGCAGAACCGTCTCCGAAAAAATATAGACAAGTGGGCTATCCCAATTTTTTTTAGTCCGGCGAGCTACAGATCTGTAATCCTAACCATAACCATAACTAGAAACAGTTTTTTTTAATTTTCAGCGATGTTTCTTGGAAAATATTATAACAGGAAGAAAACTGATTGCCATTGATGCTTCCTCCTTGCCAAAAATGGGAATTCACGACTTTGAGCACATCAAGGTGCGTTTAATTTTAACCACTGGCATTTAACAATTATTTCTAAAAAAAGAAAAATTATTTAGAAGAACAACATTCAACTTTATGCATATGGAGGTACATGTAACTGACGATGTCTTAAGGAAAATACAGAGCACACACAAATTAAAGAATTATAAGATTTAACTTTAAGAAGAGGGGAGTGATGGAGGTGGTGGCTGATTATATCAATTACGTCACTATGCCACTTTTGTAGTGTTCTTCCTGATATACTTTATTTTAACAAATAAAAACACAAAAGATAGACTTGTATATTTCATTTAATAAAATATAGTATATCAGAAACTGACGCCAAGATCATCAGGCTGCATGGTTTACTTTATACGTAAATGTGAGTTGAAAGCTAGAGCAATATACATTCTGTGCAAGCAGTTTTACACTGATGTTCATGGGAATTTATTTCTGGTATCCCCCCCCCCCAAAAAAAATAAAATATGAGAAATAATCAAATTACTGATGCAACTTTTAATCCACGAAACTGGGGAGGGCTGTCAAATTTTGCTCCAAAAGGAATGCTGGATTTGCGTTAAGGTAGGATTCTTCTCACATTTCTTGTATTTAAAAATTATTTAAATTTTCACAGAATCAAGAGGACAATATCACTAAGTGATGGTATCAGTGAGATTAAATTTGACCATTTAATATTAGAGGCAAGGTCAGGTCAAGGTCATTACCTTTTCCATGGACATAAAGAATAAAAAATTACTGTTTTCAGTCATGTGATCCCTACTTGTAATTCAAAAGATTGAATGTTATTCTTTTTGCATAAAAAGATACCACCATATTGGGCCTATAAGATGATATTACCAAATTGACATGGATTATTTAAATGAAATGGATATTTGCTAATCCGAATTTCCTCTACTTTTCTTAAATTTTTAGGATTTATTAGTTATTTTTATATGCTTCCTATATTTAACTTTTTCCAGTTTTCACATATAGTAAAGTTGTCAGATTAAGGTACAAAATGGTACAAAAACTGAAAGTTTTGATCGTTTACTAAGAGAGAAAAAACACTTTTGAAGGATTTTTGGCTCAAATCTGTACTTAGATTTGAAGCATTTAAAAGCCACCATAGTTCTAGTATGAGTGAAAAATCTTATTCATTTGATATATTTTGAAACTTTAGTCCCTTATTATTAATTTAAATTACATTTGAAAATTTCGTCTAGTCTTTGATTGTGTAAAAATTATAACTAAATTCAATGTTCTATAATAATTTTGAGAAGCAGAAAAGAGGATATTTTCATACGCCACCATTCCGCCAAAAATATAGTCCCTGCTAGTTTTCAAACGCGGTTTACCATTTCTATTTAAAGTTGTATAATTGTGATGAGGAAAGAAAAATATGGTCTTGTAAATCTCTTACATCTAAATATATAAGACAAATGTACTTTGAATATTCCATCTAGTCAGAAACCAAAGAAGAATCCTACCTTAAATGGAATTATACATTAGATTGACAAACAGACCAAGTTTTTTTTAATCACAAGCTTATAAAAGTGAACAGAGAAGTAATGAACATTATTTAATGAATTCACGTTCTGTTTCCTGTTTCATTCTCATATAGAAATTCTGGAAATTCGCCCGTCACTTTTTTTCAAAAAGATTCATTGGGGGTATTATTGTTTCAACAGTGCTTCTATAATTGTTGTTATTTTAGCAAATAACGGCTTTAGTTCGGGATTTGTTGGGAATACCTAAATACCCCATGAAGAGAGAAGTTCGGATGAGGGACCCTCGGATAGCGTACCTGGAGTTAAAGCGCCGGACGGGCAGAGAAATGGATAGTACCACCTTCAATATCTTCTTGTTTGACAACCGACACTTCTTTCCACAGAAGAGAAAATCAATCTCACAGTAATGGAGATATCTAGATTCATTTTACCGTCTTAATTATGTTTGATGGCATTTTTATACAATAGCTGCAGTGATGTTTTATTTTTTTGTCATTTCTTTTAACAACTTCACTTGATATATGGTTCAGACATTTATATGTCAAGAAAAAAAGTCACAAAATTGGACTTTATTTTGGCAGAAGAAAAATATGTTTAAGAAATTACACCCTTTTCTTGACGGAAAAAGTACACAAAGACAAGCAATTGGTATGATGTGTTTTAATCCAATAAATTTTGCATGAAATATACAAATCATCAATAGTCACTTTTTTTCCGCTCAAGTCCCCTACCGGAGCAAATCGCCTGAATTAGGAAATCAAGTGTATGCATTAAAAGTAGGCGGCAATGAAAATGATACAGATATTTTTTTACAGAGGAACAGTGAAAATATCATTATAACAGTATATAAGCATGGTCTTCCATGGAATTTGATTGCCTTTCTAAGAACAGCCAAGAACTGTCACTGAGGTGTTTCAAAGATAAATCCAAAAAGGTTAAAAATATTACCAGTATTTGGATACATTTGCACAAAATTTTGATTTCAAATGTGATCTGGTTTGTTTATAAAATTTCAAATCTTAACAACATCTGAAAAACTAAACTTCAAAAACATTAATTGATGTTTACATAAAAAGTCGTCTAACTCGTCCACTTCATGAAAATTAATACTTTAGTAACACCCCCTCCTTGGTATCTCTAAAATACAACGTTTAAAAATTTCTTCTGAATCGAATAGACTACGCACAGGAGGAAAAATTTAGCATAAATCTAATTAAATCCAATATCTTGTCTCATTGGCATTCTGTATTTCATGATAAATCAAATTTTTGAAATATTATTTTTCGAAATCTTTTACATATATATTGATTGGGAATTGGCAAAAACATGGTGCATTTTTTGAAAATTTAAATTACAATACGTCGTAAACCAGTTGTAAAACAACAGAATTCTTTTAAATACAAATGTTCACTATAAATGCATAATCTATAGAGAAGTATACACGTATAGTAGTGCCCTATCGGTGCTTGGGGATGGAACCCTCTGCACATAAAGATCTCTACCCCGAAAGCTGTTAGATTTTTTTTTTCATAAACTAATTCTCGATGACATATACACGGAATATTCAAACTGAAAGAAATATCTTATACAATCCTTTTATAAAATTCACACATACTAACAATACTCAATAATTTTGTTGTGTATACGTATATAGCTGTGATTTTTTTTAAGAGTAGAAGAGCACCACCTTCAAACTTGATAATTCTGAACGTCTTCGATCTCACAGTGTTCCAATAAAGATATTTACAACAAAAATAACTTCTGAACAAAACACTAGTACACCACAACGACGGATCCACGGAAAATTCCAACTACACATCACCAGCCGCCACCATCTCCAATCCCACTCAGCATGTGGAGTTTCAATTCTCGCATTTTGATGCCTTAAAATGTCACTCTACAAGTAAACAAAACAAAGCTTATAGAGAAACAATAAGCGGAAATCAATTTTGAGAATCGACGATGAAACTTGGCAGCTCTTTGTTCTCAGTGCACCAGGAATTCAGTATTCAGAAAATGAATCTTAATATTAGCACACTCTCTCAATGAAGTCTTCCTCATCCTCGCAAAGCCATAAGTCCTCTGTCAACACGTTGGTATTGGACGGTGCAACGTGTTGACACAGGACCCCTGGCTTTGCGAGGCTAAGTCTTCCTGTACGCCTCGGTAATATGTTACACAATGAAGCTAAACAAAATGTAAATTCTTCAAACGGACATACTTAAGAGAAATAAATCCCTTTTAAAAAAAACATCTGCTTTACTTTCAGGCGCGGATCCAGAAATTTTTCCGGGGGAGGGGGAATAAAAAAAAAAAAATTCCGACACAGAAATTTCTTGACAAGCAGAAAAAAAGTTAAACTCGGTCTCCAAACATGAAAAACCTATTGGGGGGGGGGGGGGGGGGGGGGGCTTTTAAAGCTTTGTACCAGTGACTTTTCATACTAATATCACATAGATCTGTGTTTTCAAGGAGGGGTCCATAATCACTTTTACTTGGTTTAGAATAAACATTTAAAAACTCTGCAAAATCCCAGGGGAGGGGGGACTCTAAATCTGCACATGACTTTGGTCGTTTACCCTTGTAATACTTTGACTCCTTATTATGACCCAAGTACCCAGGAAGATTCCACATAAGTTTCAGCTTTTCTGGCCCAGTTTTTTTTTTTTCAAAGACTTTAAATTTTTTTTTCAATAATCTATATTTCAATGTAAATCTTGAATCCCCTTTTGTTGCTCCACCCTACTCTCGAGGGCCGTGAATTGAACATTTTAGAATTTACACAATTTCAGGAAGAAATAAGTTTCAGTTTTTCTGGTGCAGTGGTTCTCGAGATTTTTCCTATATATTTCAATGTAAAAATTGGATTCCCTTTTATGGCTCCATCCGTCCCATTATTTGAACAATTTAGAATTTACATTACCTCAGGAAGATTCCACGTCACTTTCAGCTTTTCTAACGAAGTGGTTTTTGAGACATTTAAACATAATATCTGATTCCTTATTCCGACTTCACCCTACATCTGTAAGCCATAATTTAGAATCTACACTATCTCAGAAATCTTCCAATAAGTTTCATATTTTCTGACCCAGTTTTTTAATGACCCCACCCTATTTTTTGTATTTCATTGATTATCTCCCTTTAGAAGGAAACTTTGCCCCTTTATCCTCTTCACCCAAGGATGCTTTGCACAAACTTTGGTTAAATAGGCTTTTTGAAAAGAAGTAGAACATTTACAGACACTTGGATGCACAACAGACAAATGGTGATCAGATTAACTTACTTGAGCTTTCAGCCGAGCTCCACAAAATGAAGTCTCTGATGAGGCTGTAGCTCTACTGGTTTATAATCTTAGAAAATTATTCAAGGTCTTGAAAGTTTTCTTGCCTATTAGACACCAACAACAAATAGTATTATGCTCACTGGTTTAGACTACCTAAATGAATTAGACTGTAGGAGCAGATAGCAACAAATTCTGTTATAAAAACATGTCTACTTGTGTACCTATCATTATTTAAAGAAAAAAAAAAACTTTTTAAGTACCGTAGATCACTTCTTAATTTTCGCGACACCTAATTTTCGCGAGATAGTCATGGACTCTTTATTAGCGAGACAAAATTTTCACGAATTGTGGTCATTGCTCCATATAATCATAAGGAATTCTATTATACGCGAGAATGAAATTTTTGCGAGCATAACGTCTCGCGCAATTACGCCAAAATAAAGCTCTCGTGAATACAAAGTGATTTACAGTATTATATTTATCTCCCAGGGTCCATAAAATCTCCAATCTACACAACTTGGAAATGCTTGCAAATTATTTATTATTTAGTGTGGCTACTGTCTTGTTTGAATAGAGTGATAGAGACCCTTACCACTGCATCTCATGCTTATTACAACTTTAAAACTCGGTTTGCCTTCTAGATGCCCAAGAGCAAAGAAGAAATTTTTTAAAAGAAATAATCCATTCTCAGCACATGTATAGATTCAAAATAGTCCCACCCTTATACCACAGCCCTGACCCAAGGGCCAAGAAATTCATAATTTTTCAAGAGGCACCCTTGCACATCATAACCAAGCACAAGTTCACTGGCTGCATACCTAGGGGAGATTTTCAAAGAATTAATGCATTTTCAGGATATTAATCAATAGAGAGATGGCATATTTTATTTTGGCAAACCATTTTGAAACATATACTAGTAAGTGCTCTCAAAATGGACGATTTCCATATAACTAAAGACCCAGTTACTTCAACCCATAATTCTTAGCATCTCTGAAAGGGACAAATGATTAATAAAATCAAAGGGCTCCGTAAAGGTGATCCAACAAAAGGATCTATGGATGGACATTCCATGCACAGCTAGGCACTATGACCTTGACTTCCTTCTACCTTGAAGACTTCACAATTGGACTTAAAAGATAAAACTTGTTTAATTTGCAATCCCTGAGAAGGCACAAGTCATTGATCACCTATTACCATTCTTTATTGAACAGATCTGTCATAAAACATCCAATATATCTCCAGAGTACTCAATATAACATAACTAGAGCTATAATATTATTGCATAAGTTAGTCTCACACCCTGAGGTGTATTACATGTAATACAACTGTAATAAAACATTGTAAAATGCTAGTCAAGTGTAATAAGTACTCCTTTCATGTAAACACTTAATTTTAATGTTTTTGTGAAAGAATGTAAACAGAATCTGTCTTATGAGTCTGACATCATTTAATAAAATGATGAAATGAGACATTAATACACGTACTTTGATTTTTTTTGGTCATTGAATAATATTGACTTGTTATGGTAACAGTTAACCATTGTCCAAATCCTGCACAGGGTTTTGAAGACTACACACTACTGTAGGGAACCTAGCTATCAAATTCTCTAAATATCTCTAGTATTCTGCACCACAATATAAGCACTAAATAGCAGATTCACTGTCTGAGTTTTATAGTCAGCTGTAACACTTCTAATCTGAGATTCAGGTTTGGACAGTAAAAAATGATACATGTATTTGTATATTTCAGGGTGAAATCAAAATGAAATGGGATAAAAAAAAAAGAGAAAGATTTTTGTCTTATTTTTCTCTTTCAACAATGAAAAAAGAGGATTTTTAAATGTGTTTTCTCTCTCTTACAACAACAAATTCTATTTAAAAATGTTGTCAGCTTTTTTTTCTTGAAAATTAATTTTGTGTGCATCAAATATTTTTCATTATAAAATTAATGTCCACTTAAAAAGAGTTGCACAAAAAGAGGGAAAAAATTAATGTGCCATTGTGGCACCTCATTTAATGATAAATAAATAAAGCAATATTTAAATACATATATATTTATTTATGGACATACTACATGTCAATCTTCATAAAATCTCAAAATCCCATTTCACTTTGATAATGAATGTGTCATGATGATTTACAATGGCTGCCATAAGACTAAAGGGAAGAAACTCTCCAGTTTCCTTTCAAATAATGCTTTTCTATACTTAAGTACATTTCTATAACATAATTAGAATTCTATAAATATATTGGACCTCTAATGGGCAACAAAATATGCTAACGCGGAATCTTATTACAGCATTATGTTCAGAGTGTACATGAATCTTAATTTTCCATAATTTTTTTTGCAAAAACTGATACTGACTGGTGAAAACACACCAAGGACTAGAAACACACATTAACCATTGTCTTCACTAGGTTTATAAATGTTCGAATTTGTCATTTGCAGTGTCTCACAACAACAAAAATCTATGACAAAGCATACTGTTTGACTTATTTTGTTGTTGCTAGACATGAGACACGACTTATGAGGTATACTGTAAAGGGTCTGTTTGTGAAAAAGTTCATATAAGTCTGTGTTAATAATCAAATATTGAATGAAAATATATTTTATGTTTAAGGTAATAAATTGAATGAATGAATTCTGCTTCTATGCTTTATATCAAGTCAGTAAGACTTAAAAGAATATCTCTATAGAAGATGTTAGATGTATCAAGAAACACTTTATCATAAAGTAATCAAATAACCCTATATTTTCTCTCAGGGTTAATTCACAAAAGAATAAATCTATCATATGAAATGTATAAATCATCTATCCAATGGAAGATCATCCAAAAACACTTTTATAAATAGCTTTGATTATTAAATGAACATTAGAACATTAGACTAATATGTTGTGCTTTTTCTTCTCGAGTTGCAAGTTTTTTAACATGTTTAACACAGGCAAATATCCCATAAGATTCACAAACTTAAGTATTTTTTCATATGAGAAAACTAGTAATTTTTTTTTAATATTTCTCTTCAAAATAGCCAATGAAGGTGAATTTGACTTCTACTTTGACAAAGCCATGAATTAAGCATAAGATTGAAATGAAATTTCTTGGTGCCTTTACAAGCTTCTGTGTTAGAGGAGGATAATTACTGGATATTAAATACTGGAGGATAATTACTGGATATTAAATACTGGAGTCATCTGACTCTCATCTGTTTTTATTCTTAAATTTTTCATTCATGAATCATGAGATATTTACCATGAACTGTGGAGATTCCTTAAGAGTTAACAAAAATGTCAATATCAAAATACATATCAAAAGAAATATGTCCAGGCAACAGAGGTCTCACTGATTGGCCCACCGTTGTAGTATAATCAATGTTTCAAGGGACAAGGCTTTAATAGCCTGTAAATAAGTACTATCGTATTTAAATCAAAATGATACCAGTATATATATATATATATATATATATATATATATATATATATATATATATATATATATATATATATATATATATATCTCCATCAAATTACAAGATGTGATGAAAAGAAAAATAAAACAATTTCAACCAATCACAATACACATTTCTTTTTACTGTCTTTAAAGAGGGCTGAGTTGCTAGCTATATATGTGTGAAAGTTGCCTGGACATTATGGCATTTGCAACGATGACAAAATTGGAAGAACAGTGATGTAAAATCATCATGCAGAGGGTTGCGGCATGCTAGCCACTGTGACCTGATGTCGGTGGGGCAGTACTAAGACACATCAGTGGTTCTCTGTAGCTAGCAGCCACATAATGAAAGCATTCTGATGTAAAAATGGCTATTTACAATAAATGAAAAATATATCACATAATCTTGTAGTATACAAAACAGATCCTGACCCTTTTGGCCCTCTTTGATTTTTTACCTGGAAGCCTGCCATTTTAAGGTGGGCGCCAGAAACAAGGCCATATACTGGACACCATGAATCGGAAACAACAATAAAAATGTATAACAATAGAAAGTGCCCATAACAATGTGAGTGCATGACAATAGAAAAACAACAAGTTTGATTGTTGGTTATAAATTAGCCCTTGATCTTATAATGTTTATAAAACACAGGACAACATGCAAAACCACAATAATTATTCTTGTATATGAACTCTTTTGCCCTTGCACTGCAGGGAATTTTTCAAATATAAAAAAATTAGCATATTACAATCAAAAAGACATAAACTTCCATCAAAAGCAAAATATATCTAGTAAGAAAAATCCAATAAAGTTTGCACATCTAAGAATAAGAGATGAAAGACAAAAGTACGTTTTCAAAAAAGATTTTTCTTCCCCACGTAAATGATAACAATAGAAACAGAAAATATCTTGTAAATTGAAGCTGACAACATTTGGTCCGATTAGAAGACAAATACTGATAGATACAACACCGACTCAGGAACTGGCATTGATTGTGCGTTCACTGCGGGACTTGCCCAGTTTGTAAGTTTCGTTCACACCTTTCATGCCAATGTCCTGCCATCTTGCCAGATTTTTCTCTTTGCGGAATTGTTCCCATCTTTCATCGTCTGATTCATGAGACAGAAATCGCTGACCCACATTCTCCTCTAGCTGGCGGAGGTCACACCAGGTTTGGTAATCCTGGCAAAAAGAGCAATAAAGTTAGCATTAGTCACTGAAATCAGTCTGAATTGATGGTAAATTTAATACTGAAAATGACTACCAATTTTTTTAAAATAATTTTTTTTTAACGTTTCACATTTTTTCTCTTTATAAACACAATGATCTATCCTCAAAATAAATTATGCATCATCAATTTTCCACTGGATAAGAAATATTAAACTTTCTGAGTCAGATATAATTAACATCTCCAGAATATAAAGGCTATGAATAAGAAGAGCATGTCTATAAGAGGCCATTTAAAGAGAAGTGTACATAATGAAGAAAAACTGTGAAAGCAAAGCTAAAAATTTAGTAACAGAAACTGCAAAACAATAAATGAATAAAAAAAAGGCAAATTTTTTCTGAATCAAACCAAACATTTTTTTTTTAATTAAACTGATAATTAAATTTTATGGGTAATTTCAAACAAAAAGTTCTGAAATTCCAAAGAAAGGGAGGTAAGAAGTGAGTCACCTGGAGCCACACGTGTGAGAGAGATTTATCCACTGTGAACCTTTTTCGCATTTTGACTTGTAGTAGGTTACTGATCAAATCGATGGCTGCAAGAAGGCAAGAAATTATCAAAATTTGTTCCAAATTAAATACTTCATTTGATTTCATGCCTTATACAAGTATAAGTTAGATTAGTTCTGTTTCCACTGGATTGAAAGGAGCAACTGAAAATTATTTTTCTAGATCTAAAGTCTTATCAATACTTCATGCAGCATTATTTGTTTCCATGTCTGACATAAAGAATCAATGCATGTCTCCAACTTAAAGATTTAGAAAATTTAAGATACTCTCATTCTAGTGATGACAAACTCCGAAAAAAAAATTATGCATTTTTGAAATTTTAGGCTTTGATTTAAGAGAAAAAAAATTACTGAAAACTTTAAGGTAAATTTCTTATTAAATCAAAATAATGATTAGGGATGGATTAATACAGATACATTCAGACATGGATTATAAAACTATAAAATATATAAATCAATGGCCTCTGAGGTCTTGTGGATAACTGTGAAAGTGAAACTGTGAAGAGATTATGCTCTGAAATAAGAGGAATAGTTTTTTCCACTAATTACATATACGGTACTTGAGAGACAAATCAGAATTTATGGACAGAATGGACTACAAGTTTAAATAGTTTTATTTTCTTGATTGACATAAAAAGTTTCATTTACAGTACCAGATTAATGCAATTATCTATTTAAGCAAAATTAATAAATTATTTTATACAGAAAAGCAAACACTCCCAAACTTGCCACTGCAAATGAAGACAATAAATTCAGAGTACCATCTACAATCTACAGATTCAGTACACACTCTAACATGATATTAAGATGTGTTAAGACCAGGTATGTGACATGAGGTATTGATCACACAAGTCACTGAACACAGCCCCCTATAGATCTCTCTGTGTACATGACTTACATTGATCTTCACTCTATTCAGTAACTCAAAATGCTCACGTGACTCCTCAATTCAACTGCCTTTTTCTTCTTTTTCAATTATCATAATAGCAAGTTATATATTCATTTAATACAGAGTAGGCTGAATAATCCCCCAGGGTACTCTGATTCACTTTTGTTTGATCCAAAAGTTTTATCAAATACACACAGATGAATTTAAGAATTGATTTTATAATGCGTAACACTTCAGAAAACCTAAACCATCAGTGGATGGCTTTCATCTGAGTTTGTTCACTGGGTAAAATCAGTTTATAAAATCACATTCGTTAACATTCCTCATTTCTCTGTAAATTCTGCCTCAATGCTGTGATTGTGTACATGTATACAGTGAGGTGACAGTGGGGTGTGTTCAGTGCAAGTAAAGCAGGTGTACACATGTTCAGCACACATGTGGATATATCAAGCACCTGCATCAACCAGGGATGTCTGAGGACATGATTACAAGAGGGACGCTTTTTATGATTGGTCTGTAACAGCATGTTGATACAGTCTCGAGCTGGAATGTAACGGGAATATTAGTGTATAATGGTATACTACATGTCTGTAAATATTAAGAACACACATTTAACATGACAAACTCTATACAAAATTACATCCATGTTATACTTAAGTTGTCAAAACATTTTCTTGTCAGTGTTTATCTATCTGGCAACTGTTTCATGCATAACTGACTAAATACACCATACTTCCAAACACCCAATGTAATTAAATCATTCAAACTTTTCAAAAATTGCTTATAAAAATGAAAATGATTATCTTCTCTTTCAATATTTCATTGTAGGATTGAACAATTGGCATTTTTTTGGTCAAATTGCCTTCCTTGTTTTTATGGCTCTAGTTTGTGATATTATGCTGTAATTCTTTAAGTGATCAAAGTACATTCTACATTATTGATTTAAACAGCTCACCCTCCTGTGAGATTTCCTTCCACGGTGTGGCGGGGTACATGAATGAGGCATTCTGAATCTGGTCACTAATCTCTTCGTCTTCGTTGAATGGGAATGTACCACTTAAACTGTAATGATTGAGATGTAACAGTTATCTTCATCACAATAAAACTAGGTGTGTTTTAATGCAAACTAGAAGCAAAATCACACACGACTTTTTATAAAATCTGCAAAACCAGAATGTAATAATGGTATTGGTATGCATGGAACATTAATGAGAAAAATGAGACTTGTATGTTGTTTATTTCATTGATTACAAAGATGAATATTTACTTTCCAAAAAGATTTTTCCTTACCCACAACTGACCGAGTTAAGTAGGAAGATATTACTTACCTAACATATATAACAACACCTACAGACCACATATCCAGAGACCGGTTATATCCTTTACTCTTCAGTACCTCAGGGGCTGAAATTTAAATCAATATTCATATACATGTTTCAGTAAACAGTCATGTAATCAATACCAAAAAATTTACATAACCCATTCACAAAAGGTAATAGGGTAGTGTTCTTTTCTAAAATGTTCACCCATTCATTCCCATGTATATATATGTAAAGAGTAAAAGAACAATGAAAGCATGGATTTGGTTTCAAATAGCTTAAAAATTAGGTCACCGTGAACAAGTACATGTACTACAGACATATTGTAATTGAGTTGAATAGATTTATATACAAACACAGGGCCCTCTGTTTTACCTAGATAAGCTGGGGTACCCACAACAGATCTCCTGAAAGACTTCTCACCAATGATTCGAGCAAATCCAAAATCACAAAGCTTTACCTGAAATCAAATACATGAAGCATCATGAAAAAAAGCAGGGAGATAATCAAAAAATAGACAAGTTCAATTTTCCAGGTTCTATTCCTGGGACTGATTATGGGACTGATCTCTGGTAGCTCACCTGGGGGAATGCTGTCTCTGATGATAATAAGACGTTCTCTGGTTTTAAATCACAATGGACAATATGTTTTGAATGTAAATGCTTTAGTGCCATTAATATCTGAAAATAGAAATTCAAAAAATGTCAATTTTTAAATCAGATTTATTATTCAAAACTTCTTGAACAAAAACCAAAACAATTAATTTATTCCTTCAATGAAAAAGCATACAGCTTCATCCCCCTTGCCATTCAAACAATTCCTTTTACCTGTAAGATGAGGAACTTTGTGACCTTTTACCTGTGAGATGAGGAACTTTGTGACCTTTTACCTGTGAGATGAGGAACTTTGTGACCCTTTACCTGTACGATGAGAAACTTTGTGACCCTTTACCTGTAAGATGAGAAACACCCTTTACCTGTGAGATGAGGAACTTTGTGACCCTTTACCTGTGAGATGAGGAACTTTGTGACCCTTTACCTGTGAGATGAGGAACTTTGTGACCCTTTACCTGTGAGATGAGGAACTTTGTGACCCTTTACCTGTGAGATGAGGAACTCTGTGACCTTTACCTGTGAGATGAGGAACTTTGTGACCTTTTACCTGTGAGATGAGGAACGTGGTGACCCTTAACCTGTGAGATGAGGAATGTGGTGACCTTTTACCTGCGAGATGAGGAACTTTGTGACCCTTTACCTGTGAGATGAGGAACTTTGTGACCCGTTCACTGAGCCGACCTCTGGGACTTGACAGAATCATTTCTAACATGTCTCCCTTCTGCTTCTCCATCACCACAAAGATTCTCTCGGGGGTCTCAAACATCTTCTCCAGATTGACCACACCTGGATGGTGTAGATTCTGAAAGAAAACATTTACTGTCATACTGTTCCGACTTCATTATACAGTGTAACTTGTCTTATCTGAACATTGTGTATTCCAAAATCTAGCCTATTACGATGAAAATCTTTTGTCCCTTTCAGTAATCTTGTTTTTAAGAAAAGCTTACCAAAAGAATGTTATCTTATTAGACAATTTCTATGGAGCCAGTGTCCAGTTTTTGAGTAAGAGAGTATTTTAGATTCAATATTTTGAATTGATCATGAACACAAATATTTTCTCTATAAATTATAGAGCAATAAGAGCAGTAATAAATGTTTCTCACATATTATTTTGGATCAAAGACTATGCTTATCAGCAAGTATAATTGTGAACACTCTTGTTTTTTTACCTGCAAAATGGACACTTCATTTTTGAGCTGGGCTTCCTGTTTGGTAGGGAATCGTAATTTGTCTATAACTTTTATGGCTACTTCTCTGTTTGTTTTTCGATGTTTTCCTGTAAGATAACAAGACAAATAGAGTGTGCAAGAGAAAAATTTTAATTAAAACAGCAGCATGATTACCACCATACTGACAGTAGTAATCTGCAACACCTATAAACAATCACGAGTAGTATGATAAAGACATACATGTATGAGGCTTCTAGCATGGTATAAAGTATGAATATTTTGCTATTATGTGACATACATGATTATCTATCTATAGTATCTAACAATCATGTTTAAGACTGAGAAAAGTTTAAATTTCTACCTCCATACACAATTCCAAACTGTCCTGAACCTAGCACATCATCGGGGTAGATCTGGTAAAGCTGACTAATGTCCTGAAATATCAAAAAAATCTTAAAATTCAAGGAAAACATTCATTCAATTTAATGCCACCATAACTTGTAATTTTTCACTTCAAATTTACAATTAGGCAGATAATCTCATTGAAAAATATAATAAAAGGACAAGAGACAATGATTATAATATCTACTGCACGCGTTATTACAATTTTCACACAGTGTGATACAAGTAACTAAGTGTTATATTCTATGGCTGTCTCAATATTCAAGCCTATACCTACCTGTCAGTAATATAAGATTATTCTCTAATTTGGTACAGTACAATAGAGAGAACAGGTGATATTTCAAGCTGTTAATTGAAGGAGGAAGTTACTATACATGGGGGGATTTATTAGTAAGGACAAAGAAATCCATTCTATACACTAAGTGATAAACACACTCTTATATACAGGACTATTTAGGACACTTACCGGAATTCTGGACTTATGGATCTGGTCAAAAATGAGCTACAGTTACAAGTTATCAAATTTTTCAAGATCCAATCATCTTTTCCTATCTTTTTCTTTCTCTCTCTCTATTGGTTCTTATATATTTCTCTCCTCCCTCTCACTTTTCCTTTCTCTCTATCCACTTATTTCTTTCTCTCCACCCCCACCCCCAGTAACTACTCAGTTGTAAGGAAGGCACCAAGACCTCAAATACTGAGATTCTTATCTGTATAAAGAACATAGCAAAATACCTTAAACGGGATTTGTAAGATTGTTAATTAGCAAGATTTCCTTGTGAGAAAGTTATTTATAAACGGAAGAGTTTTACTGTACATGTATTTATTTACACAAACACACACTCTCTCTACACAATCCTTTTGATTTAATCGTTTACTGTATTAAGTTTTATCGACAAAACCTGGGAGAAACTGACCTTTTGAACTACGTCCTCTTCTGAGACATTTCCATTGTCCGTGGTTTGACCTAAATACAACAAAACATACACTGAATCTTTCTTAATGTTCCCAAAATGCCTTTAAAAGCCACGCATTACTTGTTCTGGTCATCGGACAAAGTCTGCAGTTGAATCAATCTGAGATTAAGAGTAGTTTAATCATCTGTTGATGTGAAATTTCAGATTGTCAAAATTTATTTATATTTTTGGCACTGAAAATATTGTTAAGTTTACTTAAAAAAAATCTTTTTTTCAAAATATCAACCTTTAATACCAAGGTCAGCTTAAAAAAATTCTTTGTTTTCACAGAGAACTTAACAATTTCACTGATTGGTTGAGCTAGTAATAAGACATTTTCACTGATTGGTTGAGCTTGTAATAAGACTTGTCCCTCACCCTCTGACACGACACTGGTGGTGGGGGTGACCGGCATCAGGGCCTGTCTAATGGCATGTTCCCAGTACCGCGCCTGTTCTAGTCCAGTACCACTCTCTGTGGACACGACAAAGTCTCCTTCCCTGCCACCAAATGTTGGATCCTCTCCCACAAAGTAGGTGATATTCTGCAGGCGTATCTCAAACACATGTGGTGCCTTACTGATCTCTGAAATTGGTCGCACTTTAGCCATCTCAATGGAAATGATATCCATCAATAAAATTTCCTGAAATTAAACATCAAACTTGTTATTACACATCATTACAATCTTTCTCTGCTATTCTTCTGTGGATCTTGTAGTAAAGTGGACTATACTGCAGGATCACATGTCTACAGGATATTTCTATTAACACCTCTATAGACCTATGGTCGTTAACACCAGCTGTTCGTCTATAAATGTAATTAACTTTTTAGAAAATATTATTGAAAAATTCAATAACTGATCAGCATCTGTGAACTTTATCCAGAGAGTGGATAAATTCCACAGAATATTCTATCTCAGACCGGTAACCTTATTCAGTTACATATCTCAGACACCTGTTTTTCTGAGAAATCACTTTAATATGTTTCAGTTTTTATTTTTTATAGATTTAATGGAACATGTATAATATGTTGACACCACACTAAAGTACAATATTCAATTCTATAACCTTGAATTGGAATCCCCATGAACCAAACTATGAAATTTTAACCCTACAAAAATAAATGATTTTACAGTGTCTAATTTTGTTTCCAAATCCTAAAGTCTGGTTTTTTTAAAACTTAAAGTTCATTTTATTTGTGAACTTTCTTTCCTTTCCCATTTCTTTTACATTTTTTTTTCTTTCTCAGTTTATACATATTTATTTACATAAATTATATTTTCTCAATTTATACATATACATGATATTGTCTTTTCCCAAATTTTCGTTGTTCTTTTCACAAAAATAATTTACATTGAAAACTTAGGCATTTTCTTCATCTTCTCAAACTTACAAAGGATATTGTTAAATCATAAAAAAGAATTTATTTACAGTTCTGTGACCCAATATTATAAGACATATTCAATACTTACTTAGCCACTTACTTCTGAAGCTGTTGATTAACTTCAAAACTGGCTACTTAATTTTCTCAAATGTACATAACAAATCACTAATTCTAGAATATGTATAACTTCTACACTGAGAATTTTGAATTTTATACACCCAGCCACATGTTTCAACAACAGCTGCTGTGCCTCTCTATTCTTTTAAGTAAATGTATCAATTTCTCGTTTTATTACTGGTAAACCATATTGTTTTTTCGAACAATATTCATTTAAAGTTATTTATATAAACCTAAGACAAAAACACAGTGAAACCCAGCCCCTTTAGGCCAAAAAAAATTAATAAATAGTTTCTCAGGCACAGCCGCATCAGTTCAAAAACGGCCGCATTGATAAATTTTATTGACATATTGAAAAGGGAAATAACTCAATTTTCAATTTTTCCAAGTTGAAAAAGAAAATAGAGTTATTCCCCTTTTCATAAATGCAATTTAGATAGACGTTTTTATTAGAAAAACAATACATTTCTTTTAAATTTACAGTATTTTATGAATTAACTTTTTAATAAATGTTTGGAATAACATTATTTAAAGTTAAATACATATTTTAACTAATTTCGGAAAACAAAAATTAAGAATTAGTAGATATTATCATTTCATTGAACAAATAGCTTAAAAAATGTCAAACATTCTTCAAAAAAAAAAAAAAAAAAAAAAAAAAAAAAAGCCTGCCTGCCGCATTGAATTTTGAATTTTTTGGCCTGAGAAACTATTCATTAATTTTTTTTGGCCTTACTATGTGACATGTGTAGCATTTGGATGCCCATTTCAGTAACTTAATTCAAATTATATAATTATATAGTATTTAAGATAATTGTTACCTAGTTTTAACATACAGATACTTTAAATTGAACTAAATTGAGTATAAAATGTTAGGTAAACCTTGTGTTTTCTATCCACTACTCTTATTCCATACTTTCAAAAATGTTGACAAACAACTCTGACATCACAGTCAGAATTTATTGTTTACAGATCCTGCATACATATCTATGAAACTAGAGTTTTTTCTTTTAACACATTTTATTTTCCACTAAAGGGAGACAACACATTTGTCACTAGGCATGTAAGGGTTGACATCACAAATTGTTTCCCTACATGTGACATGACCTAGACCAATCAGACTGACTGTAAATGTATAAAAGGTTTGTCATTCCTTTTGAAACACTGTAATGTTATAAGAATTTTATGAACCTAATTGTACTGATTTATTTGTGATATTGACATGTTATCTATCTCACCTTGTAATATCGGTTTGAGTTCTCATGCTGGAACATAGTGATGGCCTTTGAATCTAACTTCCAGAAGTGTCTTTTTCTCTACAAAAATCAGAGAAACATATTACATGCACATTCCAAGTTATTCTGTGGTCACTCCAATGTATCAAGAAAGAAATCTTTCATAACTAATTGTTTAATTTCATATACAGTTAATTCTCGATAAACCGCCACCTTTTGTAATTTAGAAATCATGGCGGTATAACGAATTTGGCGATGAATCGAATTTCCCATCTTTTAGAAAACAAGAAGTAGAGTTACCGTTCTTAGAAATACCATTTAGCGTTTTCTATTCTTATTATTACATGTACATGTATATAAAAACATATTTCTGATTAAAATACTTCAAGTTATTTTTTTTATGTACAATTTCGCAAAAAAAAAAAAATGTGCAGTTATGAATGAAAGATAAGTACATGTGTATGCGTGTAAATCTGCACGTCTGGTATTGAAAAAAAAACCCATGCTGGGTCGTCGTCGTGATATATTGCCGATAGAACGTAAAATGAATTCTTGAATAAATTTATTGTTTATGGCATCATTGTTAATGAAAAGTTCACAATTTATACCGTATAACTATATTTTCAGCAAACTTTGCATTGTTTAAAACAGAGATCATCAAATTAATATCGTTATCGGCGTACTTTAACAACGACTGCTTTCATGGCGAAGCTGTGATTAAATGATATTTATTAAACAGAAAACAGAATTAAAAACAGTTCATGTTAAAATTATTGTTTATTTAATTCTTGTTTAATTACTTAATTGCATGCGCATGTACCTTTTCTGCCTTTGCATGATTTACAACAGGGATAGCCGTCAACCAATTAGCCGCGCTTCACTGACCACATGCACCTGTGGCGGTATATCGAGATAATTGACACTTAAAAATGGACGTTTGTTGTGAAAACAGGGTGGCGGATGGCGGTATGCGAATTTGGTGTTATAAAGAGAATTTTATACAGCAGGAAAAACGTTCTTTGGAAATCATGGCGGTATTGCGAAAATGGCGATGAATCGAATGGCGATAATTCGAGAATTGACTGTATTTACATTTGCAAATGTTTGCCTTTATATAACACTATTTGAACAAGGCAATTTTATTTCTCTGTAAAACATGTTCGTCATGTGACCATAAATTGATTGTTTATCATAAGCGATCTACGTAATTTCATGGTGACGTCATAAGTAAACAACGTGTTTAACGTATTCAAATTTTACCGTTGAGTTTTGAAAAAATGTAAATCTCTTATTGATTTTTAAAAAACTTCAGTGCCTAACTATTTTTAATAAATCAGTCACAAATGTAAATATAAGTAATAAGGTATCATTTTTTGAGTTTTATTGGGATGTAAAATGAGTTGGCACATGATCAAATCTTCCATAAAGCGCCTCGGGCTTCATGGGATTTGATCACATGATCAACCCGTTTTACATCCCAATAAAACTCAAAAAATGATACCTTACTTCTTAATTGTATAAGTGATACACTGGTAACCATATAGTTTCAAACTCATTTTTAATTGTGCATCTAGGTTTGTGCACTAAGTCTTAATTACTGTGAGTCTCTGTTTGTGTATGGAATCTTACTTACCTGTGAGTCTAGGTTTGTGAAGTGTACTAGCCACCCCTCTTTAATGATCTTTGAGCCAGTTCTTTTAGTGTGCTTTATAGATTGCACAATTCTCATCAATGGAATGTTACTGCTCTGGGTTGGGCTGTAATCACAAATTTTTGTCAATATCATCTCATATATCTCATTTTAGAAACATACACAGAGTAAAATGTTCTCTCTACCATTGGGCCTTAATATTGTGGAATCATTATTTCTGTTCCATGCATGGTAAGTAAATAGGACTCATTCGTCATATTTATGACGTCAGGTGTCGCTGGTGTACTAGAGGTGGTTACGTAAACGCTTTAATCACCGCGGCGCTTGTAACAATGTAAACAAATGGACGTGTCCTCGAACTTGGAGCCAAACGGAGGGGCTGAATCGATCTTTAATCGAGCTGTCACAACCGGGAGAAAGGTTTATCCGAATCTTGGGTAATTATTGTTTGTAAATAATATACATTTATGGAAACTTTCTAAGAATTATCGAGTGTAACATGCCTATATGACGAAGATAGTACAACGACAAAGCAGTGAGTTTACAATCGACGTTTTTGTAGGTTGTCAGATGTATTATCATCTTTACTACTTACACAAACACTAGATTCAAATGGAATTAGTATATGATACGAATGCTCATGGCGATATTTTGTTTTTTGTTTTTTTGGTTTTTTTTTTGTTTTCATTGCACAGCTAGGTTATGTAGCCATTTTTGTAGGTCTACACTGGTTACATACTGTTAAAAGAGCAACGTCCCAAATGATCATCAGGGTAATTAAGTGCAACGTAATATTCATTGCAAGGCAAATACAAACTAAACATTCATTTTATTTTAGTTTACTTAAAAAATTAATGATAATAAACAAAACTGAAACAATCACAAACATCATATTTCAACCCTCACCAAAAGACTCTCCAGATCCTACATAGAGATACATTAAATGACCATTCATTGATATTGGATAAATATAATTGATTTCCAATCAGCCTAATATTGTTTGTTTTTTTTTAAATTAAAAAAAAAATTGAGACTGGTACGCTTTGATGTAAGTCGCCCACATTTCGCAGTGGTTAGAGTGTCTGCCTTGTCTACAGTCGCCAAAGCTAAGAGCTGAACCTAATGTCGCAGGTTCAAATCCACTGCATTACGTGTCCTACAGATGAGACCGTCTAAACCGTGGTCCTGTTTTGCAGTAAGTGTTCGCACTAAAAAGATCCATCCCTGCTCAATGGCCCAGAGTGCCGAGAATAGGTATATTTGCAGTCTGCCATCAGCAAATGATGGTGTCTTCGTATGAGTAAAAAATTCTTAAGAGGGAAATTAGACAACAAACAAACATAGATTTGATATGTGCCCTTATACTATATAGTGCATATGAATAATTGTGAAATTTATTTGTTCTGTACATATTTTTTTCGTAGTCAGTAGCCACATGTATACTTAGAGTATTACACCTTTGTTATAATAAAGGTAAAAATGAGTACAAATATTTTAAAGTTATCATTTGCTAGGTCCATTTTGTACAGTACCGGTATTTGTGTTTCTATAACGTGACCCTCGACAACTTAGTTTACATTTACAATTTCATTAAGTCGGAAAGATATACTCAGTAATTAAATAAAACCTGCTGCATGTAAAAATAAATAAAAGGAATATATACATGTAGTAGCTGTTATTGTACAACTAAATACAAAAAACATAATTAATTTTACAGTCCTCTGAAAAAAAGAATTTATTATCAGGACTATGGATTGACCTCACTTACAGGCTGACTGTAAATTTGTTCCTAAATAAAAGCCTATACTGAGTAAATTGGTTTTTTTTTAGTTATTTAAGAATATATTTTTTTTCGTTTTATTTTATTTAGGAGATCAGCAGGTAAAATAAGAAGTCAAAGCTTACAGGGAGCTTTATTATGGCTGGATGGTACATGTAACATAAAAATTCTATTTTTCCCCATCTAATTCATGAAATGGCATCCATCCTATTGTCAGTGCTGTCAGGGAAAAAGATGAACTGGTATGTAATTGCATTTGTATTTTTTTTAATAATAGAAAGTACTCATAAATTACACCTAAGCTAGGCCATCCTTAAAAAATTGTTTGTTTGGAATTGCCACCTGAAGGGTTTCAGACACAGGAGGGAGGGAGGGAAATTACTTTTTTTTTATTGAAAACCTAATTTTACATAGATCAGACACTATATTTCAGTGTTTTGTATGGTGCATGTGATACATGTAATGGGCAAAAAAAAAATTGATTAAATATAAAAAAAATCTTCCTACTTTTGGTCAATAAAATTTTTTCAGGAGGGGGCATTTCAATGAGACGGGAGGCAATTCCAAACAAACTATAATTTTATTTTGGCCTAAGCAATGCTTCAATGCTTCCAATTCTAATTCTTAAAAAAAATGCATTTCCTTTTATTATCACTAGGTGTATTACAACCTAAGACAAAGTGTTGAGATGTTTGGCAGTCCTATACATTCACAGAGAAAATGTTCTGCTGGAAATATGGGGCAACATTCAGCCTGTACACACATAGACTAGGTATGCTCATGCTTGGAAAATTCTCTAATAGAATACCGGTACAATAATCTTGTATGCAGCATCTTCAGGCTTTTCACAAACTTACAATTAAGGATTGATTAAGAATTGTATTTTAATTTGAAAAGTAGATCAATTTTATTCAAAAAATTAAAAATATTTAAAGACAGTTTAATTTACCAAAAAACAAGTGCAGTCATGACAGTGCTAATTACTCTATACTAATTGCTACTCATTCTTATTTGAAGGGATTCCACCAAAAACTGAAAGAGAAAAGAAGCTGATGTACTCAAACAATCCCTGGCAAGAGAAATTAATTTGTGAAATGAAAGAATGCACAGACGTAACATTTTAATATTTGTTTGTACAAAAATTGACATTGAAAGGAATTTACTGTATGTGTACTTAAAATAGCGGGCTTCATATTTTAGCTGCTTTTGAGCAGACGAGGATGTGCTAATTCATAAATACCACTTAAAATTCATTTATAAATAGAATATACGACACAAATATTTGTAGCATTAATTCAAGATTATGCCAACAACCATATCCATTGATTGCGCTGAATTTTGAAAACACCAACTTATGTACATGTACAGTATCTTTCCAAAGCTTGAACTTTTTTCTGTTAACGATTTTGCTTATTTTATTCATGGCTGTAAATAAATAAAACAAAAAAGATTGTATTAAATATTTATACATATTTGTTCCTTTCGTAGTTAAATTTGAGCATGCAAGTACAATATTCTTGGAAATCAATGCTTGTGGATTTGACGAGTCTCTCTTGCCCATGGATTTTGTTAACATATTGATTGAATCTACATTATCAATGAGTTAAAATCCACAAAATTACATACCCATGAACAATTTTTCTTGTCCATGAACATTGAACCCCACAAATTAACTTGATTAAAAAGATTCCACAGAATTCATAATACATGTACAATCATTTTTAATTCTTTTTCAAAGTAAGCAAAAAGATTTTTTTTAATTTTTCTAAAAATTAAATGTGTCAAAAATTCTTAAAACTATATACTTGTGTTCTGAAATTTAAAAAGTAATGGTTGAACATCTTCTAAGCACATCTCACTTAATAGCCTAATCATGCTAATAGCTTCTACAATATGTGCCAATATGAGAAAGAATCATTCGGACAGAGTCTTCAACAGCTTAAATGCTTGCATTGAATTTTTCATATCTTCGTTAAAGAATATGGCTGATCTTAAAGAAACATCACAGTGACTGCTAGTTATCACTGGGGATACTGGTCTAAACTTCATGATGCACACTTTAGTTCACAACTCTTGAGGAACAGCTCAGTCTTTGTGTCTTGACTGCAGCCACGGAGCTGTTGGACTTGTATTGCTGGAGTTTTAAAGTCCAAAACTGGATGTCAAGTTTACTGCATCCTTTTTTAGTCTACTCTTGTCTCCTGTAAACAAGGAACTGTGCAAATATTATTTTTGTTTTGTTATTGTATTGAGTTAAAGTAGAATATTATATAATCAATATTTATCCAGGGAAAACCAAAGACCCTACTAGTACTAATCAAGCGGGGAAAAATATCTCATTATTTCTGGTGTTGAAATTTAAAATATATAATAAAATTAAACATTGATCTTAAATTATAAATTGCAGTACTTATTCCATTTGCTAACAAATCAAGTTAATTGTATGGGGACATAAACACATCATACACTCTATTTGTACATTTTTAAAAGAAAACTGTCACTGTACATTAAATTAATCAGAATTAATCCTATTACATTTACCAGTGCTGTGTCTGTCTGTTTAACAACAAAATCACAAAGCAACAAAAGCTTTAGACATTTTAATTAGATTTCAAACTTTTGAAATAATATTTTAAATAATATTGCCATGTGTCAAGCTATTAAGACACTATTAATATAAATAGTTCAAATGTCCTTTGATGAAAAAAAAAATAAAAAAGGGAGTTCACTTTTTTCAATTTAAGAAAAAGTTAAAAAGTCACCAAGTCAATATGTTTTATACTATATATAGTAACTCATTTTTATAGTTAAATCTATACGATTTAATGACATATACTTCGTAAAATACTAGTTAAAATTAATCAAAATCAATATTTTACCAAAAATCTAATCCTTAATATCGCCGACTCCAAAATTCTGGTGACAAGCGACATCGTGTTTACCAAGTCAGCTGATCATCTTCATGACCGATTTAGCGTCACTTTTCGTCTCAAACAAATGTCTGGATCTGAAAATAATGAGTGTCCGCATCCTCTACAACATCCTGGCACACCACAGAGGGTTGACATTCTTTACAAATTAATTAATTTGGAGGTATACGTCCAGGAGAAACCACAGTGTCTCGCCACGCTACCATTTGTTTACACTCAGTCAAGCGCTTGACAAATTCAAACGTTTGCGTAACCACCTCTAAAACCGCAGCGCCACCCGACGGTTAATGACGTGAATGGATACTATTAAGTGGATTGTTTTGATTGACATTGTCTTTATAAATCTCACCTGAGAGGAGGCTTCTGTTCTATATCGTCGTCATCAAGATCATCATTAAAAGCATCGTCTGTCTCATCTGCCATTTCTGTAAATGTTGTGTCTGCCTCTGAGGGGTAGGAGTCTGATGGAAAACTAGGCTCCGGTAAAACTGACAAAAAGGTTTAATTTTCATTAATTAGAAAATCAGATTAATGCTTCTTGGTATGATTATGATCTACACTATCATAGATATTATTGATACATATTCTATATTACATATCAAACGATCATTCTGTTCCTTCCTTACCTCCAATCTTAGGAAGTTCTCCAGTGCAGTCCTTTGGAACATGTTCTGCACATTTCTTGTGACAATTAAACTTGCAATCTGTGAGAAAATATGTTTACTAAATGCTAGTCAATTTTCATTATAGACTGATCCAAATAGGAATACACACAACTACATATGTATTCTGAACAGAGACTTACCTTTACATTGCATTCCTTGTCTAAACAAGCCACGTAGAAGCTTTTTACAATACTGGCACATAGTGGGGCGGGTGTAGTTGCGTACATTAAATGTATGTGGTACTTTGATTCGAGACTGAACTTCTCGTTCCATCCAGATTGGTCGTCCACTCCAGGACTTGGACCGGTTGCTGCGTGGTTCTCCCGCAAGAGAAAGGGAGGTTCCAGGAACAGCTAGAGATGTCTGTAAAACAGAAAAAAACATTTATCCACAGGTCTAAACACACCAACATGAACTTATCAATAGGTACCATATGGGACTCACGTTAAATGACACAATGATAAACAGATTAACCCATGAACACAATCATCTCTGTGAATATTGTTCATAATCAGCAAAATACCCAGTATGTTACATACCTACAAATGACAAAAATTCTACTAAACATGCTTAAGTTGTAACATTTCAACAAAAATTATGGTTAATTGGTAATTATAAAACTTAACAAAACACATTGTAGAGTGCATCATGAACAAGAGGTATGGTAATAGTGTAATACTGTACACAGGGTATGGTAAAAGTGTTCCATTGAACACAAGGTACAGTAAAAGTGTTCCACTGAACATCAGGTATGGTAAAAGTGTAACACTGAATACAAGGTGGTAAAAGTGTAACACTCATGCTAAAAGTGTAATATTGAACACAAGGTATGGTAAAAGTGTAACACTGAATACAAGGTGGTAAAAGTGTAACACTCATGCTAAAAGTGTAATACTGAACACAGGGTGTGGTAAAAGTGTAACACTGAACACAAGGTATGGAAAAAGTGTAACACTGAACACAAGGTATGGTAAAAGTGTAACACTGAACACAAGGTATGGTAAAAGTGTAACATTGAACACAAGGTATGGTAAAAGTATACTGAACACAAGGTATGGTAAAAGTGTAATACTGAACACAAGGTATGGTAAAAGTGTAATACTGAACATGTAAAAGTGTAATATTGAATACAAGATATGGTAAAGGTGTACCATGGTAAAAGTGTAACACTGAGTACACAGTATGATAAAAGTGTAACACTGAACACAAAGTATATTAAAAGTGTAACAATGAACACAAGGTATGGTAAAGGTGTAACATTGAACACAGGGTATGGTAAAGGTGTAAAATTGAACACAAGGTATGGTAAAAGTGTAACACTGAACATAGGGTATGGTAAAAGTGTAATACTGAACACAAGGTATGGTAAAAGTGTAACACTGAACAAAAGGTATGGTAAAAGTGTAACAATAAACACAAGGTATGGTAAAAGTGAACACAAGAACCCAAGGTATGGTAAAGGTGTAACACTGAACAAAAGTTATGGTTAAAGTGTAACATTGTACACAGAGTGTGGTAAGTGAAACACTGAACACAAGGTATGGTAAAAGTGTAACACTGAACAAAGGGTATGGCAGAAGTGTTACACTGAACACAAGAACCCAAGGTATGGTAAAACACTGAACACTAGGTATGTTTACAGTGTAACACTGTACACAGGGTGTGGTAAAAGTGTAACATTGTACACAGGGTGTGGTAAAAGTGTAACATTGAACATAAGGTATGGTAAAAGTGTAATACTGAACACAAGGTATGGTAAACGTGTAACACTGAACACAAGGTGTGGTTAAAGTGTGACACTGAACACAAAGTGTGGTAAAAGTATAACATTGAACACAGGGTATGGTAAAGTGTAACACTGAACACAGGCCATGATTGAGAAGTCACTTGAGCACTAGATATGGTACAAATGTTATAACTTAACACTAGCCTAAAATATCATATGATAAAAACTTAATGACATTTTTAATATAGAAAAAAGGTGTTCCACTGAACACAAGCTATGGTAAAAGTGTAACACTAAAAACAGTCAAAAAATGTAATTACATTCAAAATAAAAAAAATGTGCCACAAACACTAGGGGAAATGGGGACGTAATCAGGTGTAGTTATTTGACCTTGAAAGGAAGGTAAAGATTGGCCATGAAGAAATTGTAACCCAAACTCTTGGTGAGATAAAGGTTTAACCTTGAATAGCAGCCAAGGTAATGTTCTGAACTTTGTATATCAATTAAGATAAATTCTAATCTAAAACATCAGGATTAATAAATATATAACTGAGTACCTAATCAGGCATGTAGCATCGTTTTTGAAAGTGGGGGGGCCAACCAGAGAAATTTTTTTTAATTACCTGAAAAAGTTGACAAGCAAAAAAAAAAAAAAAAAAAAAAATTTAAAAGTTGCCCAAACTCGAAAATCCTATTTCTTCGGGGGGTGGAGGGGGTGGTGGGGGGGGGGGGTGTAGTGGCCAACTTTTTCAGAGCCAAGTTACTTTCACTTCCAATTTTTTTCCCTACAATTCCTTCATATCAATATACTTTGGTTAAAAGTCGGGGGGCCAACCATTCTTTCAATGAACATTTACTATAGTAAAAGTAATGTTGGAGAAAAAAGTGGGGGGCCAGGCCCCCCCTGGCCCCCCCTGATACTACGTCCCTGCTAATAATGTAAAAGTATGTAACCATCAACAGAAAAGGTATATAACCTTGAGCATGTTGAGTAATGGAATATATGTACAAATACATGTACAAAGATAAGAAGTTGCATGCATTTAAAGTTGACAATGAAGCATTTGGGAATGTAAACAAATGAAGAAAGCACATAAACCACAGCTTTTCAAACAGCAACTTTTACCTATAAAACCAGCTCCAAAAGTTATTCAGATGCAAGGATAAGCATATGAATTTATATGTTGGACACTATATCATAAAATTGAAACCAAATAACTCAGAAACTCTAAACATGTATGCACCAGTGCTCCTGGATAACATGGTTTTACTGCATTGTAGAGGAAAGGTTGAACAAATTCTTACTGCCAATCTTCTTCATTTTTTAAAAATTCCATTTAATACTCATTTAATTAAATGTACTTATATCCTACTCTATGAAAGCCAAAAGGATGGTGAAGAAATAGTACAAAGAATTGAGAATTAGGTGACTTGCATAGCCATTGGGAATTATATGAATAATAAGCATGTTTAAATCAATAACCCTATGATGAACGGTCTATCCCAGGGGTCATAACTCGCACGCTAAGTACAAAACACGTAAATGCAAATGAACGGCTCCAAACTCTAAAAGTACAGATACAATATTGACTTCCATGATTTGTAGCATTGTCTGACTGTTCAAAATCTTGTGTTTTATATCTCATTGCACACATTCAGTGTCTACAACCTAAGTAATGGTTTAGTGACTCCTTCTTGATATCAGGTTTTAAAATTTTCAATGTGAAAATCGTAGCTACATGTATTAAAACAAGAAATTTGGTGTGCTACATATCCGCAGTCTGTGATTGTGAATGTTTGGCTAAAATTTTGATAATCCTATATGTTCTAAAGGTACTTATTTATATTTGTCATATAATCCAACATATATGAAATATATTAAACATATATAATACAAGCGTAAGTTATTGGTAGGTTGTACATAAACATTTCTTTACAAAAGTGGAATGCTTCAATGCACTAAAGTAGGCGTTACATTTCAGATAATTATATATACATCTCTCAATTCACAATTCTATATGAACTTACACAAAAAGCTCAACTAAGTTTACTTGGTAGAATTGATATGACAATTTCTATGTCTAACTCTGCACAAAATAAATTAAGTTCACATTTGATTTTGCAACAGAACAAAATAGAAGTGCTCTTGTATAAACAACAGGTCAACAAGACCATACAATGAGAGACAGCAAGCTGATGTTCCACATTAACGCAACAGGACAACAAGATAAAAGACACTGCAAGATCATGTGGACTCTGCCAAAAAGAACCAAAGAGAACGGACAAGCTCATGCTTGATTGTGCGTAGCAAAATAAGCGACAATCCTGCAACTTACTTCCTATGACAGGACAAATTTCATATTCGACATCATAATACAATACAACAAGACAGAGTTTTATAAGCAAGCATTCGATTAATTTGATACAAGCAAAACAAAATGACAACACGATCATCACACAACAAGGTGACAAAACGGAATTGACAACAAGCAAGTACTTCATTGCTATCCCCTCTGACACCACTTGTGTTTTTATTGGAGTCACACTGTAAATAGATAGCAATATGTTAAAAAGAAGGGTTATACCATTTGTTCCTCTTAAATGCAGTCTTGACCAAAATACATATTTGCTATTTCTTTTCATAACTTCCTTTTTCATCCTAATATCATTGGTTACAAATTTCAACACTTGATTTTTTTTTCAACTATTTACAAAATATATATTATACAGGGCTGAATTTATAAACAGGAAAAATTCTGCTTTACTTCAGAGTTTATATGGAACTAAAGAACATCTTTTCAGTGACAAAATCATAGTAATAGCCCAGAACTATCAATTAAATTAACATACAAAATATAAGAAGCTAGATATGCATTACTAAGTTAACAAAGAGTGACACAAGGACAAGAGATTGCTGATCTACACGAGGAGCCCGGTGAGCGCAGACTCGCATCAAATATACTGCACGATGCCATTCTTCTAACAGAGTCTGCCTAGACATGCACAAACTTCACAAAACAAGGTATAATGCACAGCAACACTCAGGACTTGTGGCTGATACTATTCTCTGCGATTCCTTGCATATCATGAGATTATAATTACTGGCTTACACAACACAGCAGAAAATGACCTCCACAGTATTAATACATGTAACAAGAAGCCTATGGGCCTTAAAGTTCACCTGAGTAACTGCAGCGTTCTGTTGTTCTATGTATTTCCTGTACACTGTAAGTACTAGATGACTGAACTTATGTCTCTAAGATGCTTAAGAAAAGGTCTTTATGATGAAAGGGACTTGTAGACAAATGTTTTTAGAGAGGACTCTTTTGTACTTAGAAATCTTTTTTATTTCAGTTTCAAGGTAAAAAATTGATATTCATATATATCTTTTTTAATAGGCCGAGCTGCCAATGACAGGAAATTATGCATAAGGAGGGGGTCCAGAAACCACTTAGGCCCAGCTGTTTGGTGGTAAAAAGGAGAGAAAATAGTTTGAATACTTTGACAGCTGCTTTTAAAATTAAAATTATACTGCAAATTGAATTTTTTTCCTGAATCTTTGAATTATTTCATTTAATCTGATCAACATTCAACAGTAACTCTACCAGTAGAGACTGGTCTACAGCATGCTTCTCTGATCCTGTGAAATGACAGCTCTTACCTTTGAGATCAAGGTGACTTGGCTTGGGCTCTCTGGGAGAGCTACATAATCGTTTTTATCTCGTATGCTCAGATCTTGCATGGGGTATGTTATACTACTTGTTGATGGGCGACGTTGTCTGTCATATGAGCAGTTATTTGGAATCTTGAAGGCACAGCGCTTGTGAAAATTCAATCCACAACCTGATAATTTAAATGCAGTTTAGTGACCCTGGGATAGTGATCCTTAAAAAAACTTGAATGGTTTAAGGTATTTTCATCCTCCTGTGATGTCATAGGCTTTTTGCAAAAACTGTTATTTATTCAAATTCACATCAAATAGAACAATATCTTTTGGAAGAATGCTATTCAATAAACGCCATGAACATACTAATTACCGTTTTCTGAGAGACTGTAGGCAATCTGGATAATGAAAAATATTTGTTATCTTGTTAAAGAAAAGAATTTAAAAAATAAATATTTTTAATCAATTATTTTAATAATCTTTAAAAAATGTTGACAAGGGCAATAACTCCTCAGGAATCTTTATTGAGGCATTTTTCTATATTTTTCTTCGTACATAATATAGTTTCACTGATATTCACAATTCAAAAGTATCTTAAAAGTAGCAAGTATTTCAGAACTTTAAACATTTAAGCATTGAAATTATGCATTTGGACCAATTTTTACACAACTTTAATGATACTATTTACCAAAAATTAATGTACTTTTTTTAATGTTGACATATATTTCTGTTTATTCATTTCTCCAAAATAATATGGCAACCTATACATTTTTTGCAAATATTGGTAAATTTACACTAAATTGAATATAAACAAAAATACAGTTCTGGAACTTTGAACCATTAAAATTGTGAGGGTAAAAAGACCTTAAAGTGTTCATATGGTGTTTTGCTATGTATTCTGCAATTTAAGAGGTTCTTACTGAATTACCTACCTTCACACTTAAGTCCTTGTTTGACCAAGCCCCATAGCATCTCCCCACAGAAATCACAGAAATGGGGCGACTTGTAGGAATGGATGGACAGATTGTGTCGTTTTATCTGGAGATCCTCCATTGTGATCTGGGCTGGAAAAAATAAACAGGGAAAAATTAGGTACACAGACAAAGGGAAAGACTAAATGCGATAGCATCCATCCAGGAAAACTATATAACCCAATACATGAAATCTTTGGACAGAACTGGGGGTAAAAAATTCCAATTTTTTATTTAAAAAAAACACCAAAAAACAACAAAACAGTAAGTGGCATTGTACACACCAAGAAAAACATTATATCGAGACATCACTGACTATCCTTGTAGTTGTAACCAAAAGAAATGTGAAGCTGCTCCGTGTGCTATCAGTGTACCCTCCTACAGGTCAACTCACTGTCTGGGTAAATCTTCGTAAAACATGTTCATCATTCCATGTAAGAGGATTTCAGCTAGCTTACATTCAGGTACTCATGGTATATAATTCTACTCAGTATTCAAATTAACAACTGATGCCAATAAATAGTATAGCGGTTTTTGAAAAATCAAAGTACTGGTAAATATTTCATACTGAAAGAAAACAGTTCTCTGATGACACTAAAGTTCAACAGCATCTGCTGAATGTTAATTATTTTTTAACTTTATGTTATAACTATAAATACATTGTAACTAATTCAGTTCTGATTTCAGGACACTTTCAGGTACAGCAATATAAACAATCCTTTGTATGCTACTGAGATAAAACAAACTAGAAATGTTTTGAATACTCTGGTCAGGTGATGTAATGATGTGGAATAAGAGTCTTGTCTGGTTGAAACATCTGCTTACAACACAGAAAGAAAAAAAGACAGTCAACATAAAAATTGAAAACACTCAAAAGATTCCAAATTTGTCACTGACATGAGAGAAAACTACGTGTTGATTAGGAGGGACCTGACAAGTCAGTAGACAGGAGCTAACGATATACTGGGCTGACCCCAGACAGTGCGATTTACTTTGATGATGGAATGTCTGGGCCCTTAGTAACATAAGCACACATCACACTGCAATCTTTTTACCTTTTACATCAAATGCTTCATTATAAAAGAATTGAGAATTAGATGTTTAAAATTAAAACCCTTTACTTTTCTATTCCAGCACATTATTAACTGTATAAAACTGTATATAACTGTTTAAAATAGACCAAAAACACCAAGTTAGAGATGCATGTCAGCTAGTACATTAATAAATATACAGTGTAATCAAAATTCTGACCCTCTAAATAATGAAATGTAGCAATATAAAAAATATTGTATTCTATTTTCAATACATTGAAAGCCATTATATCTTAATTTATCATTAATATTTTTTATGTATGTGTGCACATAATTTGTGTGACAAAAGACAAAATGAGCTTATATATACACAAGATGATGAGGAAATGCCGTTTTAATGAATCTGAATCGGAGATACCTTCTGGCAATATAGTGGGCGTATCCTTCCTTCCTCCTGTCCTACATAACACTAATTGATTTTGTCAATCTCATAAGATCAATAAAGAATAATCCATCTATCCATGTCCACTAGTGAAAAGTTAGGCACTATGTACAGCCACTTGAGAAACCTACGTGACTAGCTGATTTGTGGAATTCATTTTTTTTTTTGTTTGAAGTCAGGTGACATCATTGGTCATGATTTGCGTGAGATTTTCCTTCAAGGTATAGGTTTAGACTGTTACTGTGAATTTACACAACAGAAATATATCAAGTGAACATAAAATTCATGAATACGGATGCCAAAATTCTACAGAAGATTAAGACTAAGATAGCCATGTATTTTTATTACTGCATGCAACCATTACAGGAAAAAATAAACCTTAAAAAATAATTAATTAGTTTAATCAGGAACTTTATGACTTATTTTATTAATCACATTAGTTTTAATCAAATGCGTTTTAAACAGTCACCATACTTTCCTTAATTACAATGAAATGTACAAGTTAAGCATGTGTAATATTCCCAAGTATACGTTATTTGCAATGAAATGTACAAGTTTAATTAGCATGTGTGCTTCCAAAGTATGGACGGAAAGAGGGATGTCAGTGCTAGATTTGGAATCTAAAATCTCGTTCTTTTAAGGTCATTTTCTTCGTCTATATGATTTTCTACATATTAAAAAAAGATGCACAAAATGATGTAGAATAGGAATTATTATACAGTGCTGTCTTCATCTGCAAAGTTAGTGGGGCTCATCCACAACCTTTTAGAAAAATAACACACACCACTTTAACTGTAAAATGAAGTTAAATTAGCTTCCTTATACTTATATAATAACCCTGCACTTTTGCCTGTTGGAGGAAATAAATTCATGTCTGCACCTGATATGTGAATTTTAACCTTTATTAGACATACCTTGATAAGACAGTGTCATGTTTCCATCACTTATTTACAGGTGTGAACTGTACATGCACTAGTTTGCCAGACATAATTCCCTTTCTCCAAAAATCTAGTAAAATAAGCTATGCAATTCAAGTTTCTTTCAGCATTGTCATTTAATTAACCATTTGATATATCTAATGTATCATAACTAAAGCTGAATTAACTTGTCTCTTTACATTAAACTACACAGTAGGTACAAATGTGTTCATATCTATAGACTGAGAAGAGATCGAATGAAATAAACTGTAAGTTCATTTAGGTGATGAACCGGCCTGTCTGCATTTTTGTTCCCTCTAGACATAGTCATAGTCAGTTTGATACAGTTGTGTTTAATGTTACAGGATACCTGACTGATTTAAAAATTATTTCCTGTGACAGCTCCTACACTGAATTTGCAGCATTGAAACCTTCCCTTTAAAGGTTCCAATAAATATTTTGAACATCTTTTCCCCTGCAATTGTATGCATTTTTTAAAAATATTTTAATTTGCTATCCTTTGGCCAGTTTCTCATAAGAATTTCTTTGCCCCCTCAATAGGGAATTATGTACATGTTTAAGGAAACCTGAAGTCTCAGACAAAACTGTAGCTCTACTAGTTTTCCCTTCTTCCTCAGCACTTGGACTTGCCTTGTAAATGAAGACAACTGAAGTAGTCAGAATAATGATCCTTTGATTAGTCTCTCTGTGTGGAAAGATTTATGGCCATCTGACTAAAACTGCAGTAGGTGTGGCATTTTGAAAGAATTTCACATGTTCTTTTTAAAGGAACCATGGCAAAACCACAAGAGGTCCATGGGCCATCTTGTTCATCTGAGCACAATGGCCAGGAAAAAGCAGAAATCAGTTCAGTATTGAAAAACTTAAAATATAATTGATTTGTTCACACATAATTATTCTTAAGAAGCTTCCATATTGCTTTCCCTTATCAGCACTTTAGAGTTTTTTTCAATATTCTTTTATGTTGATTTTGAACTGTGATGTCACCAGCAATGGCACAGTGGTTAGAGAATCAGCTCTCGAGTCGCAAAGTAAGGAGTTGATCCTTACGTTGTGGGTATGATCCCACTGTGGGACACGGAGACCGGTCCTTTGAATAAACCGAGGTCCCGAGTCGCAGTTATTGCTAGCATTAAAAAGATCCCTCCCTGCTCAATGGCCCTGAGTGCCATGTATAGGACAAAATTTGCAGCTCTCCAGCAGCAATTGGTGGCATCTCCATATGAGTGAAAAATTCTTGAGAGGGTTGTTAAACAATGTACAATCAATCAATCTACTGTGGCCCCTCCCTACACATGGAGAACAATTAAAAACTAGAATTTACACTATGTCTGAAGATGCTTTCAAATGATGGCATTACTGTTTAATATTGAGAAAAATATCTGATAAATGCAATGATTAAATAGATATACTTTTATTTTAACTTTCTTCAAAATATGACATACTTTTGATACCATTTAAGATTATTTTAATCACTGTACAAGGGGCCCTTATTTCCTAAAAATTGAAAAAGGCCCAAGGGGTTGATTAAAGGGACAGGGGAGGTTAATAGGGATTAAACGGTACTAAGGATATGTCAAAGCAAGTTAACAGGACAAAGACGAATACTTGGATATCTCCATGCAAGTCCAATCTCTTTCTCCTCAAGAACTTCAATAACAAGGTTTGTATTGACTATGAAATATATTTTTAGAATGAATGTGTTTAATACAGATAATACTTAATTTTCGTAAATAGCAATAAGTGCAGCAATGAAAATTCAGATTTGACTTACATGCATGAAAGAGTTTATATGCATATACACCACTGTCCCAATTCTCGGAATCATTGTAATCAAAGTTCTGGTCAAAATCCGAGCTGCAATTATCCATTTTCATTCAGAGAACGTCTCCAGAAATAGGATGGTTTAATCCTTCAAACTTGAACCTTGACACTCTAGTTCATGTAAGACAGCGTTACACCGTGAACAAACAAATAAAACTATCAAGACTGAGTGAAAAAATAAACCATCAAATCGTAACTTAGTGACATCCAATATTTTCATGAAATCAGCAGCGCTTCTGCATGTGCCAATCCTAGTACTATATACTTGGCCTCATCAGTTTCTGTGTAACTGACATTTTAATGAAACGTACTGATTTAAGTCAATAAAATCTGCCAATATTGTCCTCTAGATCTACCCTCCTTTGATAGACATATGATTATTTAGAATCATTTAACCACACTTAATCTATCACAACTCTACATGGTGAAATGACGCAAGAGAAGTATAGATTGGTAGAGGTCTTGTTCACATTGGCTTCGAAATCGCCAATATTATGTCCACTGTGATAGATTATATAGCAAAGTGTGGGAGAACAACTACTTTTTTTTGTACTTGATAAATCATAAGATTAATTTTTTTTTTTTTAATTTTGAATCTATGTGTTCCCAGGCTTTTCCCTGATAGGAAGAAACTTGAATATGCACCTCAATAGGTTGAGGTTGATCAACTATAAAATTGATATTTAACTTAAGCCTACCTTGTATAGAAAGAAATGGTATTTTATCCCAAAATATTCCCATTCATTTAACAATACTTTGGACTGCTATTGTGCAACCCAACTGTTATTCATATAAACTTGAATCTACATTGCATGGTACAATTGCAAACTAAAATTCTGAAAGACTGTAGCTCTGCTG